TCTCCCACAGCACCCGCCATGCAGGGCCCATAAGTGAGCCACAAGTGTGTCATACATCTAAACAATCAACTCCAGGGGACATGAGCTTTTGTTTTGTTCTCTACAACATTTGCATAGGGCTGGGTAGAGTTGAAAGCTCAGTCAATCTTTATGAGTGGCAGATTAAAACGCCAGAGTTTCCTGCCCGCCTGAGTCAGTCAAGTTGGACACACCTGGAATCTTTCTGACTTAGATTTGCAGATGTCTCCTCTTGACGTTGAACCCTGCAGACAGAGAGGAGATGTGGGAGATTGGGTCACCCAGGAAGATTCTTGCGTCCTATGAATCACGTGACAGGTTTATTTCACTAGAGTCTGGACAGAGTATTGCCAAAGTCTTCTCACTTCACTTTGCTCCACCTCCACCCCTGCCAAACACCCTCTCCACCCCTGCCAAACACCCTCTCCACCCCTGCCAAACACCCTCTCAATTACCGATTAGTTCCCCAGACATGGGGTCACATAGATGGGAAGCAGCATTCTGGGCATCTTTCCAACACAATGCAATCCATGGCCCGTGTGGTTTATTGAAAACACACAGGCTGGCTCGTTCACTGACCACTTCCCCTCCTCCTCAAATTGAAAAGACAGCAGCAACTTGGGGAGCTAAGTTTATGGATACTTTGGGTGTCTGTTAATTGGTGCCTATGTGCTAAGGAGCCTGATGAGCCTAGGGATGAGCTGAAAATCCCAAACAGGCAAGAGACATATTAAGTAGAACTCTCTATTAACTAGAACTCTGCTCCAGTCTCTGGGCTCCTAACCTCCCACATAGGAGGGCTGTGCTGTCTTCTGTTGTTTCCCACCTCTGCCCATCAAGACAGCCAGCAGAACACTATGGGCTGAGTTACATTTCAGATTCCTCACATCTTGCATATCTAAATCAGAAGGAGGTTAGAAGACTAGTGTGGGTTGAAAGAAGGGAGGGACCCAGAGAAAGGACACAGAAGAGATAATGTGTCCACTGGACACGAGTGAGTCCCTGGCTATCAAATATAAAGAGCACCTGAGTCTATGGCCATGCAAATTCTGGAAACTAATAGCAAAGAGATAGATGACGCCCAGCTCACCCCTCTGAGATGGGTGGCAGTGTGTGCTATGATGTGAATATGGTTTGTCTGCTCCCAAACATGATTACTACTGTAGTGCTGGGAGGCGGTGCCTTCAGGGAGCGATTAGGTCTTTTAGAGAGATCAATGCCTTTCTCACTGGTTGATGCTCCTCTCGGTAGAGAGTTCCCTATCTTGTAGGACTGGTTTCAGTCACTGTGAAAACAGTCATTACAGAACAAGGTTGCCTCTTGTGTTTGGAGCTTTTCACAAACATCCACTTGCCCTTCTGGCTTCTGTCAGGTTATGAAGCAGCATGGGGCCCTCACCAGTGTGACCAACTGATGTTGGGTTCCCAGGAGCCAAAATAAATGTCTTTCCTTTTTAAATTACCCAGTCTCAGATATTGCATTGTAACAACAGGAAGTGGACTACATGCATTTTTGTCTTTGGGATGCAGAGAACTGAAGATCCTGATAAAAACTAAGTCATGGATAAAGACTTAGGCATCACTAGGTTGAAGCCTAGTGGGGTCAGCCAACCCCCACCTCCACCCCCAGTGCTTCTTATCTGTAGTGGCTATTATAATCCAGGGGAACTTGTTGGATGTCTACATTGGGTGAGTGAATTTGGTAATCTCCCTCACATTCGAGAGATGGAACAAAGTTTTCTAACCTGTTAGGAGAGACAGGAATGTGGAGGTCACCATCAGCTACCAGGACCACCAGGCAGAGCTTGCTCTCTCCCTTCCTTTGCTGTGCACCAATCCAAACTCAAGCTATGCTGTTCCACATTTTACCCATCTCCTCCTCAAGGTCTGTCTGCTCCCTCGGGTGTTCAGAGTCCTTGGAAAGCCGTCAGCACTTATGTTCAGTCATGGACATAGACGTCTCATCTCCACCAGAAGGAAAGTTCTTACAGATAGGTGTCTGTGGTATAGAGTGGCCATTGTGGGCCTAGTACATACTAGGCACACAATGGCCACTCTATACTCATTACCTACTTTTTTTGGGGGGGGGGACAATATTAGGGAAAAGTAAATAAACTGCAGCTAATTAATAAAAAAAATTCTTTTCTGTATGAAAATAGCAAATTTGCGCTTTGCTTCTCAGAGCACTGTGACATACTGATATGTGATTCTAAAGTAAATAGTTTGTGCCGGGATAGTTGGACCTGGGATGGCTCATACCTAGGGTGGCATGGGATATGCGCTGATTCCAATGAGACCACCATCGATGGCGTCTAGACAGGAACCTCAGCCCTTCACTGCAGACAGGGCACATTTTTTGAGCACACATCTTCTGTTTGGGTCCCCACCAGGCTTGACACTAAGCATATGGACTATTTGTAAACAAGTTCAAAGGACAAAGATATGCCTTGTAGAGAATCTTTGCGAGAGGGAAAAATCCTGGAAATATCTGGCACGTGGTAGGTCTCACCAAATACACAGGATCTCAAAGCTGTTCTTACTCAAGAATTCCAGAATGTTTAGAGAAGGAAAGGCATTAGTATAACCAACGCAAATGTTGTTTTCATGTGTTTGAATTGGAAAGTCTGTGAGATTACTTTTCAGCAGAATCACAAGTCACTGCCTAAAAAGACAGGTAGGCAGTTTCAGAGACAAAAGCCAGGCCAGGCTTTAGGAGTGGCGAGACTCCCATCCCTCAGTCCAAGGAGACCGGCTTCTACTGCCAAATCTTCTAATTTTCACAAGAGGAGCTAGAACTCAGATTTTTATGTGAAATTTCCAGATATTTAAAATACTCTGGGGGTGCTTTTTTATGGCCACCCCTACATTAACCAGGAGTCACCTACTCATTCATGACTGCAGCTAATTAATAAAAAAATTCTTTTCTGTATGAAAATAGCAAATTTGCGCTTTGCTTCTCAGAGCACTGTGACATACTGATATGTGATTCTAAAATAAATAGTTTGTGCCAGGATAGTTGGACCTGCATTCATGCCCCGCCCCCTGCCTGCCTTCCAGCAAAAGAGGCTTCCTATCTAGCATCCAGCCCTCATCTGTGTCCAGGTCCCATCTTCCTCCACCTGCTCTTGGACTTGGCTTTTGTGACCTGCCACTGCATTCTGAGTTTGCCTCAGCCACCGATGCTGCTCTCACCTTCTGCCAATGATCACCTGGACGTGAATCCCAGGAATCAGATGTTCTAACTCCTGTGACCTCTCCACAGTTGTCCTGCTTCCTGCATCCTGACGCTCTTTCCTTGGCTCCTTTGTTGTCCCCTCTCAGGGTCTTCCTTTCTATTCTCTGACACCCTCCAAGTTCCCAATCTTCTTTATAGGATTCTCTCAATGTCATCCCCTAATTCTGATGTTCCAAAGGGTTCTGATCCAGGCCTCCTCTTTTCTCACTTCACACTGAATTCTTTGAGGAGCTCACCCATACCCCCACAATTTTCAAAACACATGGATGGTTCTCAGGCCCACCTGTCTCCATTCCAGCCCTCTCCTACCCTCAGCGCCTGTATGATCTATTTCTAATGGGTCACACCAATTCAGCAGGTGCAAGATTGGTCACCCAGCATGCTGCTCCTCCTCCTGCGTAACCCTTCTTGAGGGCAAGTCACTGTCATCTAAGTTCCTCAAGCAGAAATCAGGCCAACCTCACCAATGTCCCCACTCCTCCTCAAGAAGTCTTGTACCATCTGCCTATTAAGTATCTCCTGAAATCATCACTTCTCTATCCCTTCTGACAAAATCATGGTCCAAGGTCACCACTACCTGGCATGTGGACAACTGAAGTGCAGGCCACCAGGCTCACCCTTCAGCCCCACACCTTTCGTGTAAACATGGCCACATCCCTGCCCTGCCTAAACCCTGCTGTGGTCCCCCACTCTGCTGGATAGATTCTAGACTCCTGCACATGCACTAAAGGCCTTTCTAGCTCTCAGGCACCTCTCTGGCCTCTCATCCCCTCCAGCCATGCTGGACCTTGCTTGACTTCCCACACACTATCCTCTCCCACGTGCACCTGGCTCCACCTCCTGCTTCCCATGCCTTCTTCACACCTCACTTCAGCAGCACCCTCACCCATCCAACCTCCCTTGACTTCTCCTAGACCTTTAGATGTCCTTACTATGCACTCCAAAAGCCTCTGTGTGTACCCTGGCACTTACATTGACTGTGAGCTCTGTGAGGACAGGGTCCTTGCTCTGTTGCTGCACGTTGTTCCTGGTGCCTAGTGCCATTCTTGGAACACAATGAGCACCCATTAAATGTTTGCTAGGGTTATTTTTTGGCACTAGTGATATTGAACCAGGAAGGGTCTCAGCCCTTGTCAATATCAATTCTCATTTTAATGAAAAAGCCAAGGTCCAGAGGAATAAACGCAGGGTTCCAAGTCCCCTGTGACACAGAGGAGCAGTCAAACCTAAGACTACTCATTCCTAAATCCAGTGCCCCATTCCCTTGCCTTTTCCCCCAACTCCAGCCAGCCCCAGCTCACACAGCTGCCTGGGCTGGGCAGATGCAGTTGGGGAGGCTCCTGAGCAAGCGCCCCTCACCAGGAGAGCACCTGGTGGAGAGTGTGCAGCCTTCATTCACTACTTCCTCACTGCCCAGGCCGGCCACAGGTGAGGCTACTGTTGGGAAGCCCCAAGTATGACCAAGGGCAAGCGGCCCCTCTCTGCCTTCCCTTCAGCCCTAGTCTTCAGTTCCTGGCATGTGGGGAATGGAATGTGCTGTAAGATCTCGTTCTGCCAAATTTCTGAACTAGAAGCAAGAACCAGGGTAGCATATAACATTTGATCTGGAAAAGCCAATTAACGGCAGCGGGCTAAATTCAACCATCCGTGACAAAAAGGGAAGAGGCTTTTCCTGTGCATGGAGGTGGGGGGGGGGGGGATGGAGGAGTCAGGCTTGCCTTCCCCAGCTCAGGTAACAGCCCCAGAACTGCAGATTAGAACTTTAATACCACTTGAAGTACACAGATTCTTTCACTCTGGGTAGAGGTTCTCCACCCAGCCGGCTCTTGACCATTCCTGGCTTAGGAAATGTCTGCTTTCCCACATGAGCCGCAGGGGTTCTCTCTGCACTATCTTTGTCATGAAAGTCAAAGCTGGGTAGGCTCTGCGGACATCTCCCTAGACACTGAAGATAGGACGGTGGCCAAGGGAGGGCAGGCCAGGCCCTCTGGCGCACAATTCTCTGGAATCTGTGAGCAAAGGAAGGATCCTAGTGAGAACTCGGCTCAGAAGAAGAGCGGGGGCGGTGCCACCTCTGTAGGAGCCGGCCAGGCTGGGGCGGAGAGGTCGGTCTCCGAGGCCTGGTGCACCACTTCGCCGTGGATGCGCTGGTGCCGCACCAGGTGGGTCTTACGGCTGAAGCTCTTGCCACACTGAGGGCAGGAGAAAGGGCGGGAGCCGGTGTGGATCGCTTGGTGGCGGACCAGGTTGGTTTTGGAGCTGAAGCTGCGGGCGCAGATGGCGCAGGCGTGGGGGCGACTGCCTGTGTGCACCGCCTGGTGACGGCCCAGGTGGGACTTGCGGCTGAAGCGGCGGCCACACTGAGCACAGGCGAAAGGCCTGGCGCCGCTGTGGGCCCTGGAGTGGGCGACGAGATTGGGCCGCGAGCCAAAGCGGCGACCGCACTGCGCGCAGGCGAAGGGCCGTTCGCCCGTGTGCACGCGCCGGTGCCGCGCCAGGTGCTGTCCGTGGGCGAAGCCGCGCCCGCAGTCAGGGCAGAAGAAAGACCTTTCGCCCGAGGGGGTGCGCTGGGGCGTCACTGTGCCCGACGCAGGGCCGCAACTTGGCCCACAACTTGGCCCACGGGGCACGCAGGCTAAGGGTTCGGGGGCAGCAGGGTCCACGGTGGCTCCCAGTGAGCAATCGTCGCACCCAAAGGAGCGACCTTCGCTGCGGTGCAGACGCTGGTGTGAGGCGAGGTTCTTTTTCCAGCCGAAGCTCAGGCCACAGTCAGAGCAGGAGAAAGGTTTCGGTCCAGGAGGGGACGGGGTGGAGGACTCGGCGGGGGAATGCGGCGAAGAAGGCGCGTCGGGAGAGGGCTGGGCTCGACTAGCTGCTTCGTGCACCCTTTGGTGCCGCACCAAGTGCTGCTTGTGCGTGAAGCTGCGTGCGCACTGCGTGCACTGATAGGGCCTCTCGCCGGTGTGGATGCGCTGGTGCCGGATCAAGTGCGTCTTCTTGCGAAAGCGCTTCTCACACTCAGTGCAGGGGAAGGGCCGCTCGCCTGTGTGGGTCTTCTGGTGCGAACCCAGGTGTATCTTTTGGCTGAAGCGCTTGCCGCACTCCGCGCACGGGTAGGGTCGCTCGCCCGTGTGTGTGCGCAGGTGGCGGGTCAGGTGGGCCTTCTTGCTGAAGCGCTTGTCGCACTCGGAACACGGGAAAGGCCGTTCCCCGCGGTGGCTGCGTTGATGCAGCAGCATGTGGGCGCGCTGAGTGAAGCTGCGGCCGCAGTCCGGGCAGGCGCAGGGGCCCTCGCCCCGGTGCAGCCTTTGGTGCAGCCGCAACGTCAGCTGGTCCCGGAAGCGCCGCTCGCACTCCCCGCAACCATATGGCTTCTCCGGGATCGGGGCCCACCCGGACAGCGCGATCCCGCCTAATGCCCCCGTGGCCCCTGGCTCCAGTTTGTATGCAGCAGCCAGATGTCCCAGTTCAGGCGCTGGGAAAGGGCTGGGAAGTAACGAGAGATGCTGGGGCCATTCGACTGCCTCTCCTGCCTCCGGTTCCTCGTCCTCCACCTTCACCTTCCGAATCATCCATTCGTCTCCTGAATAGTCAAAACAAGAATTGTCTAGTAAGCTCAACGCCAGTAGTACTGCTTCCCAGGAGCCCAGCAATCTGGCTTCTGTTCTCTCCACTCTACCCAAAAAGTTCCCGGGAATGACCAAATCCCAAACTCTTCTCATTCTCCTCCTGCTCTGCAGCCTGCCATGCTGATGAACACCTGCCCCCTTCCGTGACTTTTCTCCCAGGCTCTGGGTGGCTGCCCCAGGTCTTGCTGTCCAGCAAGCTCCTTTCTGGAACCGTGTCTCCAGTTGAGTAGCTCCCCTGGGTGTCCCCAAAATCGGCTGCAGCTCTGCAGGTTTGTTGCCAAACACCTGACCTTCCCACACCTATCCTTGGTTGACTTTAACATTAGAACAGTATATCTTCTCCCAAAAGGAGACCTTTGGGCCTTGACACCTCCTGCTCTCTTCCTTTGTCTGGCCACAGAGTACCAGGGCACCCTAAAAGTCAGTTCCTTCATCTCAAATGCTCCCCCTGCTGCTCCCTTCAGCCAAGAGGGGAATCCCAGTTGACAAGGAGGAGGCTGAAGTTTATAGGACCTGGGTAATTGGTGAATGTTGTCAGCCTCTCCAGAAGCAGGGAGGGCCCTGGGGAGAGCCTTGGCCCAAAGGCAGGATTGAGTTCCTGAGGAACTCTCATAAATGCATCTGTAGGAGAAGGGCCCATGGATCTGTTCTCTCTCTCTTTAAAGCCCCCAGAAGATCCCCAGTTCTGCTGGAGAACCATTGGACCAAATGATCTGAATTCCTCTCTAGCCCTTAAAGTCCTTCACAGCCCAAGCCTTGGTTACATTACACAGGGACTGCTACAAGTACATCTACCCCCAGTTTCTTCCATTAATCTATTGTTTCCAAACAACTGTTTATTTATCATACTGTGATATGCCTCACATTTTCATTGTGTCACTCTTCTATTCAAGAACCATCAATAGGTCATTTTTTCCCCAGGATTTAGCCAGTTGTAGGTGCATCTGAGGCTCACCCAGATCTACTCCAACTTTCTTCTTTTAGGTGAGAATGCTTCATTTCCACCACACTGCTCTCCTTCAACCCCAGTCACATGTCACCTTTTCTGCTTCAAAGTCCTTTCTCAGTCTAGACTGTCTCTCCATTCTGCACCCCAGCCAGCTTCTGAGCTGAAGTCTATGCCTCTCTCAAGATGCATTACAAAGCAACATTTTTTGACAGATCCAGTCAAAATAAGGATCTCTCACCCTAAACTTCTATAGCACTGACACTTCTTTTCTTATTTGCAACTCTTATATTGTTCTTTTAATCTTTCATCTTGGTTAACACTGATGCCATCTCAATTACATGTTAGCTTTGGAAGGCTAGATACATTGTATTCTAATTTTAAGTCTAATAATAACTAAGTCTAATAAAAATGAGCATTGCCACCATTTATGGAGGGCCAACTATAGATGAAACACTAGCCATACACCATTATAAACCTCTCAACAACCATGAAGTTATTGTTATCCTTATTTACAGATGAACAGATCACAAGGTCCTGGAGAGGGGGTAGTCCATCCTAGAGTGCTCAGTGGGTAAGTATGTCTGTACACCTCTGGGCCTATCTCTTCCTACCACACTCAGCACAGTCAGTGCATAGTAGGGACTAGATAAATCTTTGTTGGATAAATGTCACTGTTATTATTTAGATGTGATGTCCCCCAAAAGCTCATATATGAGACAATGCAAGAAGGTCTGGAGGAGAAATGACTGGGTTATATCTTAACTTAATCGGTGAATTAGTCCCTGATGGAATTAATTGAGTGGTAACTGGAGGCAGGTAGGGTGTGGCTGGAGGAAGTGGTTCCTTGAGGACGGGGTTATAGGGTATATATTTTGTATCTGGAGAGTGGAGTTTGTTTCCTGATCATCATGTAAGCTGCCTCCCTCTGCCAACTCTTCTGCCATGATGTTCTGCCTCATCTTGAGCCCTGAGGAATGGAACCTGCTGCTGTGAATTGAGACCTCTGAAGCTGTGAGTCCCCAAATAAACTTTTCATCCTCTGCAATTGTTCTGATCCTTTAGTCAAACAGCAAAAAAAGCTGACTAAAACAGTTAACCAAGCAAGAGGTGATGAGGTAGTAGCAGGAGAAAGAAGTGATGGGTAGGTTTAGGTACGGGAGAGATGAGTTTACTATAATAGTCTTGGAGAACTTGGTACCAACAAGATCAGTGATGGTTTGGGGAGAGGAGAATGTAGGAGAGAGACAGTGGAAAAGTTGATCCACATCCTTTATCTTCATGGCAACTGTAATTCAGGTGATCAACAGCCTAAGATTAGACCAGGGAAGATGAAGAGGGGAAGTTAGGACTTCTAGCAAGGTTTGAAACAAGGTATATTTCTCTTCGGTGATGAGCCTCTTCGGTTCCACAGTCTACAGGGTGTAATTCTTTTTAGGTGCCGGAGTTCTATAGCAGAAAGGGTCCAGGGTCTGAACTCTTCTTGATTGGAAGGGCCTGGAGTAGCTGTCTCTCAAGGGAATGGGGCTTGTGAGGCCCCATTCCCTTGCATGACCTCTTGGTGGATGGAGCAACAGGAAGACTCACCTGAGCAGGAGCCCACAGGCTCAGCCTTCTGTGGAGTACATGCCTGTCCTTCTCTGCTGGGAGCCTCAGCTTGTTCGGTCTGGGCTCCTTCCTCTGGATCAGGGGCTTCAGGCCCTGGGAGAGAAGAGGAAACCTCAAGGCCTCCAGAAGCATCACAGATGGATGAAGGTCCCCACTGCAGCTAGGAAGCAGGGACATCTGAAACCCCAGCCCATCCCCACCCACAGGACTCTGTCTCCCATCATACCTGCAGGGGCTGAATTCCCAGCTGCCCCAGGGAAACCTCAGGCTCCTTTAAGCAGGGCAGCTGCTAAGGGTGGGCAGGTTGCAGGAGCCATAAGTGAGGAATTTCTGGAATATGTGTATGTGAGGTAGTGAAAGCAAGGAAGGGCCCCTGACCTGAGGCTTACCTGAGGCTTCCAACAGCAGGACTGTACTTCCCAGACCCCTGAGGGACCCCAGGTCCAAGGCAAATCATTGGTAAGGATCAGAATGTTGAAGCCAGGCCTGCTCCTGCCTTAGCACTCCATCCTGGCTGCCGCTACCTGATATTCCCTTAGCCACCTCCTTAACCTCTTTCAAATCTTGCTCCAATCTTTCCTTCCCAGTGAGGCTTGTTCTTCACCCTCAGTGAAGGGGACCTTCAGTGAAGGGCCTCATCCCTACCTGTAGCCCTTCACTGAAGGTCCCCTTCACTGTGCTTTATTCTCTCCTGAACAGCATTTATCTTCTAAGGTAGCTTATCATTTCTCTTGCTTTTACATTTATTGTTAGTTGATTCTGAACACTCTAAGATTAAGCTCTTTGAAGGTAGGGGTTATTGGTCCTGATGGTATTCTAAATTGTCTAGAATAGCAGTCACCATATAGTAGGTACTTAACAATATGCGGTGAAAGGAAGGAAAATTCCTTCCTGAGACATCCTACATGGTCCCCATTTACATACCTGAGCATGTACCCAGTGTTCTCTCTTCACTGGAGGAGGACATCTGCCCCTGGACATTATGAGACCTGTCCTTGGGCTCACTTTGGGGGGCCATCTCTGGCTGTCCCACAGAGAATCCTATTACAGGCAATAGAAGAATGGGTGCAAGTAAACCATCTTGTACAGAACTGATGATCAGAAGTGGGGCCCTCCCCTTCCTAGCCTGCTCAAGGATAGGGCTTCCCAATAATAGTGATAAGAGACAATAGCCCAGGCTCCCCAGCAGTCTGACCAGGTATCAATCTCAGCTCCTTTGAGATGAATCAAAGATAGAAGGAAGAAACAGACTAGCTTTAGAGAGAATAAGTTTAAGTCCCAGTGCTGAGTGAGTCCCCATATACACTTGCAGTTTAGCACAACTTCCCTCCTCTGGGCATTCAAACAGACCTGGTGACCTGAAAGGATGCTGTCCTACAGGCCCCTAGGGCCTCTGGCTCCAGGGCTCAGCCTCTGGAAGAACTCTACTCTATGCCTTGTAGATGCCCCCTAATCCCACCCTACCCCCAAGTGCCTTCAGTTCTCTCACCCAGAGAGCTGAGGGCCTCCAAAGTCTCTCTCATGGCAACAGGGAGTAGCCCCTCCTGGAGATCAGGTCACAGACCCTAAGGAGAAAAGACTGCCGTCAGGTTCCTCCTGCCAGTTTCCACCTGGGTCTAGAATAGCAGCCACCATATAGAAGGTTGGTCAGGAAGCTCTGCCCAATCACTCCCTCCTAGCTCTTCCCAGGAGCTCCAAAGGTGATGTCCCCAAACAGGTGAGGGAAATAAGGGAGTATGAATTTAAGAGCAGAGACCTTTAAAGATGGGGGGCCCAAGAAGAAAGGCTTGAAGCCATTTCTGCAAGCTCTGGTTGGCTCTAAAAATCAGTTCATCCACCTACCCACCCTTGCCTGGCAGTCTCTCCAGCCAGCCCCAGTTCATTGGCAGCCCCACCCCAAGCACACCCCAGTGTCCTTGCCTGGGGACTGGCAGGAACCATTCTCTGGGGAGAGGGTGGAGGGTGGGAAACCAGGGTGGGGAGTGGGAAACTTCATTTCCTGGGTCCTCCAGCTGTCACTGCAGGAGATGGTGAAACAGAAGCCAGCCGGCAGGGGAGGGAGTGTCAGTTTAGGACTAGGTGGGGGCTCCCCATCAGAGAAGGGTCCTTGTTAAAGGTAGGAAATGGTCTTGGCTTCTCCAAAAGCCCCTACTTCAAAACCACTCCCTTCCCCATGAGGCTGCTCTGTGCTAGGACACCCCCAGGCCAGAACACCCCTCCTTGCACCCACTTCCCTGCTCTGTGCCCTGTGGGCTCCTCCCCCTCCCCCAGCAGGCTCCCCTCCCCCTCCCCCCCTGCAGCCTTCCCTCTGTCCCTCCCCTCTCCCGGCTCCCTCTGCCTTCCGCCCTCTCTCCCCACCAAATCGGGTAGCCTCCTGGAGCCCCTCCCCCTGCCCCGCCCCTACGGCTCCGCCCCTGCCCGCACCGGCGGGGCCAACCCCTCACGGCCCCCTCCGGTCGGCCTGACGCTGCCACCGCCTCCCTGACCCTCCGCTCCGGGCAGTCTCCGGCAGCGCTCCGTTCCCCTCCCCCTCCCTGGGCTCTGGGCCGCCCTTCCCCGCCCGCCCGACTCTCCCCCGCTCCATCCCCCTCCTCGGCTGCACACTCTCTCCCTTCCTCCCCCCTCCTCTTTTCCTTCCTCCCCAGCGCCCGCCCTCCAGCTCTCAGCTGGTCTCCCCCACCCAGCTCGCCCCTCCCTTCCCCCTCTCCTCCCCCACTCTGGTTTCCCTTCCTCTCCTTTCCTCTCTTCACCTCGGTTCCCTCCCTCCACCCCTCCCCAGCCCTCCTCCTCTGTCCCCGCACCGCCCTCCCTCCCCCTCCCTCCCCTGTCCCCCCTGCAGCTCTCCTTCCCCTCCGCGGCCCCCGCCTCCCTTCCCCCTCTGCCTCCCCAGCAGGCTCCAGCTTCGTTTCCCTCCCCTCCCGGTCCCCAGAACCGCTCTTCCCCTCCCCCTCCAGTCCGCTCCCCAGCTCCCTCGTCCCCTGGCGCCCCAAGGCTGGGGCTACGGGACTGACCCAGCTCACTCCCGACCTTCTCCCTGGCCCTGCCCCTCCCCACCCCACCTCCCCCTCCGAACCCCCTTCTCCCCAACACCTCCCTCTCAGTGGTCCTGTCCCTATTTCTGCTCCCCACTGACTTCTCACCACCCCCCAAGTTTTCCTCCCGAGCAGACCCCACTCCACCTCCCCTCCTCCGTTTGTCCTCCAGAGTCACTCCGGGTCCCGACCCGCTGCCCCGCTCCGGGGCTCACCTGTCAGCGCCCTGCTCTCCCGCCCCTCCCCAAGAGCCGGATCCCGGGCGCCCTGTTTTCCTCCGCTCCCGTTCGGCCCACTCCCACTCTCCCTCTGCTCTCCTGAGACTCCCCACTCCCTCCCCTGGGGACCCTCCCGCCCCTTTCCCAAACGATTCCCACCCGGCCCCCCGCCCTTCTCTCCAGTTCCCGGATCCCTTTCCTGCACTCCGCGACCCTCGCCGCCGCCCCTCCTGCCTCGCCCCGCGGCTCGGTCCCCTCCTTTTCGCCGGCGACCCGCGCCCCTCCCCCATCGCTGCCCCGCTCCCGGCGCCCCTTCCCCGGGGGCTGTCACCTGCACGCAGCGGGCTGTGAGTGTGCGCTGAAGGGGAGGCGGGCGGAGCCGCCGGCGCCGGGAGCCTCCCGGCCCTTACCTGGCGGGCCGACGGGTCGCCGCGCTGCAGCCAGCTACGGGGACCCAGGCGCCCGGGCCTCCTGCCCGAGCCGGCTCTGCTCACAATGGCGCCCGCTGCCTGCAGCCCGGGTGCCGACTGCCCGAAAGACTGACAGACTGACAGCCCCGAAACTTCACGGGGAGGGGAAGGAAAAACGCCGAGGGAGAGGGAGCTGGCCAGCGGCGCCCTCAAGGGGGAAGAGACCGAGGAAGCGGGAGCGGAGCCCCGAGGCACCAGGCTAGGGAGGTTGGGGACCGTGGTCTCAGGGAGTGGGGTCGAGGGACGTGCACCGCGGGGTTAGGTGTGCAGGTGAGGGTCCTGAGGCCCGACGCCCGCAGGAGAGGACGGAAAGTGGGAGCTCTGGACGGGGGGGGGGGGAAGGGGGGAGGGAGGGGAGGAGGGAGGGGAGGAGGGAGAGGAGACCGGGGAGGTAGGGCACTCGGGCTGCGAGGGAGGGTGCTCGCAGCCTCGGAGGGAGGAGCCGGGGAAAGGTGGAGCGCGGGAGGGGGTGAGGAGTTGCCGGGAAGAGGAGGGGGCGTGTTCGGAGTGGGAGCCTGGGAAGGAGTACGCTGGTCTTTAAATCGCGAGTACTGGTAGGGTTTGTGGCCCCGCCGCGGTCCTGCCAGAGACGTGTCGGACCGACCGTGGGGCGGGGGGGGGGGCGGGGGGGGTCTGAGAAACTCCTGCCGGTCCCGCTCTCCACCCGATCCTACCCGGATCCACCCAGACCCCTTCCCTCCACCTAGATTCCCGAGGCTTGAACTGAGACCCCCTGCGAGAACGGTGGAAAGGGGCCCAAGGAGAGAGGGCCTCGGCCGCCCCCCAGTAGAAATTGGGGAGGAGGTTCTGAGCCAGGACCCCTAGGAGGAGGGGTGGCTGGCGCTGAGCTGCAGGGGGTGAGGCTGGGCGGTGACTGCGTGGGCGGGGCAGGGAGGGGTGACGGAGAGGGGAGGGCCGTCTGTACTAGGTGGGCCCTGCAGGCCTTAGGTGTGGAGGGCTGTCCTCTGCCTCGGAGCCCCGGGGCCTGGCCGCTGACCCCGCCCCAGTCCTGCAGTTTCTTCTCAGCCTAGCGGGTGAGGCTCCACTCCCTAAACTGCCCATATCCCGTCCTCCTCAAGCTAAAACGCGGACTGGTTATTGCAGACCTCCTCTCCACGATCTTTCTGCCTGCTCCCCTGGATTCCAGCTTCCTTCCTCCTGCCTGTGACTTGTGTTTCTTCCAAAGCCCAGTGATGCCCTATTCATGACTGCTGGAATCTAGAACTGGAGTAAACCTGAGAAGGGGAGGACAGTGAATGGCCCTTGTGGACTGAACAAGTGCCCCTGGCTATAGCACCCAATCACAAAAATGGAGATACCTATGGAATCAGAGCACATTGGCCCAAGGCAGACCTTGTAGGACACAGTAGCACAGCACACAGCAGGGGTGTCCAAAATGTCTGTGGATAGTGATAGTGAGAGACCCAGGGACAGCCGGACCTGGAAGAGCAGGTGGTCCTTCCCACTCAGCTTAGAAAGGCTCTTCTGTATAATGGATGCTGACTAGACTGCAGGTAGCCCTGGGAGCAAATGTGTACCTCTGTGTGTGCTGGGTTGGAGCAGGGGTGTCCACATGTAGGTCACAAAAGGAGGAGTAATGTGTGAGCGTTGAGAAAGGCTGGAAGAACAGTAGGCTCACCACACACCCTGGCTCGTTTCCAGGATTACTGGGTCTAGGATGCCAATCCTAGCTATCTGTGAGCCCTGGAAGAAGCTCAACATGACCCTTTTTATTTGGTCCTAGGTTCCAGAAGGAAGCTGAACCTAGCTCTTGTTCACCCCAGGTGGGATGACTATTCAGGATGCTCAGTGGGACATCAGGCTTAGGAGCTGGTATGTCAGGTCTGAGGTCCAGGCCATATTCCAGCCTGAGTGTCTCAGAGTTCTGCTGGTAACCAGGATGTAACCAGGATTCCCCTGAGGAGCCTGCTGCTGCCCTCTCCCAACCGGACACTGAGATTACTCCATCCGGCTCAGCCCCCACCCAGGTTGGGGGTGCTGTCTTACAGCCCCAACCCCACTTTCCACCCAAATTCTCCTTCTTGGCTCCCCTCAGTCCTCCACCCAGGGACCCTAGGAAACCCTAGTATTTAGAACCCCAGGGACCTTAGGAAACCCTAGTATTTAGAACCCCAGGGACCCTAGGAAACCCTCACAGAAGGAGACCGGATGGCCAAATCAGCCACACATCATCATCTCATTAAGAAGTCAGACCCAACAGAGGAAAGCACATAGTCATCCAGTTTCCCTGGCCCTCAAATCCTGAGTGCCTGGCAGGAAAGGGGACAGAGGAGATAGGAAAAGAGCATGATCAAGTCAGCTTGAGGGCAGGTAGACCAACCAATCGCTGAGCCAGTAACTCTTGATCTTTCAATGGTGCCATGCCCCCCCCCCAGCATCTAATACACATTATGAAACTGTCCTTGGAAGATTATGCACACATACAGTTTCAAAGAATTCATGGAGTCCCTGAGTCCCATCTGTGCATCCCTGGGAAGTCCCTGAAGTTTTTACTAGTAAGGAAACAGGCCCAGAAAGGGAGGGTAGCTTGCCCATAGCCCATGTTCATTTGTGGTAGCCTCTGAAAGTGTGGGAATAGCAGAGGCGCAAAGCAACTGGCTTTGATCCCCATCATACACACTGGGGGGAGGGGCTGTTTCCAGGAGGAGCTGGCACTGAGAGGGTTGTCAGGGCAGATCCAACCAGGTTCTGGGCAGCTGTGCCTGGAGGTGCAAGCCCCTAATAAAGCCTCCCCAGTACAAAAGGCCTACAGCCTAGCTCTCTCTGTGGCCTTGGACAGATTGTCCTCCAGGTCACAGTAGGCAGCAGTGTGGGGTAGGGGGACCAGCACTGGCCTCTCTATTCCCCTGCAGCAGCACTGCCCAAGCCCAGGCCTCACAAGACCCTGGTGGTGACTGGAGTGGGCAACATGCTCCTCCTTGCTGTCCTCTTTGGGATGCTATGGGCACTGGCTAATGGGTAAGCAGTCCACTGGGACTCCTCGAGCTAAGATCCTCTCTAGCCCCAGGCCTGGGGACACCCTGGACACCAGAATGACCTCCCTAGTGCTTCTCTCTCCAACCTTATCTTCTTCCTTACTTCAGGGACCTCTTCTGTAAGTTATCTCTTATAGGAGTGGGGTCACAGGACAGGGCTTCCTGGTAACAAAGGGGACAGTGGCAGCTGCTGTAGTTCCCTATCCATGGACAGGCGATGGTGTGAGCAGACGGAGACTATCCATGTGGAAGAGGAAGTGACCCCCCGTAGGGAGGATCTGGTGCCCTGTGCCAGCCTCTACCACTATACCCGCCTAGGCTGGCGGCTGGACCTGCCCAGGAGTGGCCACGAGGGGCTCTCAGGGCCTCCAGCACCTGGGCTCTGTCGCATATACAAGTGAGTGAGGGTCAGAGCCTGGGCTGTCTGCCAGGCAGGAAAGGAGTGACGGCCGGAAATCCTGAGAGTGGGGGAGGATGGGGAGAACCTGGCATAAGCAGGCATTTGGGAAGTGGGCCCTGGGTGGGCTCGGGGAAAGGCAGCAGAAAGTGCAAGATTGGGGTGTGTGGATGAGAGGTACCTCAGTGGGTGGAGCAGGGAGAGTCCCAATGCCTGCTCTCTCTGTCTGCCCCCAATGACATTCTCACTTTTCGAGTGAAGAAAGGAGGAGGAAAATTATGTGATAAATCCCTCAGAGAGTAGTTCACTAGACCCAATGTCCCAGGCCTTTCCCCACGGTGGGCTGGGCTAGACACTAACATCTCTCCCTGATTCCCCCCTGCTTGGTGGGTGCAGACCTCCAGAAACTCGGCCTGCCACATGGAACCGGACGGTGAGGGCTTGCTGTCCAGGCTGGGGGGGCGCTCAGTGTACGGATGGTAAGCTCCTGAGCCAGTACGGGTGACATGTACCTTGTGGGATTGTGGGCAGCTAACCTCACTTACGTCTTCAGGGGAGGGGACAGGCTCCCTGAGGAGGGGAACTGACCAGGCTGAGCTACAGGCCATTCTGCTGACTATCCGGGTGTGCCCCATTCTCTCCACCATATGCTGAAGCCCTCATGGAAGACAGCCCTGGGGGCCACTGCTTTGCCACGTGGCAGTGCCAGCCTCTGGGAGGCTCAGCTAATACTTCAACAGAAAACCTGGAAGAGTGCTGTGCCAGACCTTGGGGACACAGCTGGTGGGACAGTGGCTCTCAGCTCTGCCTTAGCTGTTCCAGCCAACACTTTCCAGGTGGGTCTGCAGACCCCAGCCTACAGACAGGACACATCCTGGCCATCATCCCCATGCCAGGCCTTGAGCTCTGGGATCCTGCCTACTCCCCTGCCCACCAGAGTAACCATGCCTTATCCCCATGCTTCATGCTCTGTGGGCATGTTCTTACCCATGGCCCTCTGACCCCTGCACTCAGCAGCTCACATGTGATGTGTCGTGTCCAGGCAATGCTTCCTCTGCAGTCCTCTTGCAGCCCCTACCGGGGGCTGTGGGTCAGCTCTGGAGCCAGCGCCAGCGTCCCTCAGCCACCTGTGCCACCTGGTCAGGCTTCCACTACCGTACTTTTGATGGGCGCCACTACCACTTCCTGGGCCACTGCACCTATCTGCTGGCAGGAGCTGCTGATTCTACCTGGGCTGTCCACCTCAGGCCCAGGGACCACTGTCCACAACCTGGGCACTGTCAGCTGGTAAGGGAGGGAAATGGGGGTGGCCCCAGGAGAGAGCTAGACGTAGGGGGATGGGGAGAGTTGCTGACCCTATTTCACTGTGCATCTCCCCAGGTCCTGGTGATAATGGGCTCAGAGGAGGTGCAGATCCAGGGTAGAGATGTTTCTGTGAAGGGGCAGCTCGTACCTGATGGAGAGCCCCAGATGCTCCATGGTGAGGACCCTGTGGGTCTGCTGTGGAGGGTCAGTGGGGATTGGGGCTGTTGCCTGTCCCACATTGTTATTGGGAGGCCTTTAGAAATGAAGAACCCCGAGGATGGGGGCCCTGTGCCTCCCACTCCCCACCCACTCTGAGCTTGACCCTGGGCAAGTCCCTCGCTTTAATCTACCTGAGCCTCAGTTTCCCCACCTCCCTCGTGAGAGTGTCATTCTGAATGGGACTGCATGAGGCCGGTGAAGTGTGTGTGTGTGTGTGTGTGTGTGTGTGCGCGCGCGCCAGTGCCCAGTGTGTGCATGAGCATATGTGTATGTTGGTGTGTGTACATGTGTAATGTGCGTGTATATTGGTGTACTGTGTGAAGTGTATGCATGTGTGGTGCATTGTGTATATATGGTATGCGTTTGTGTACGTGCAATGTGTGTGTGGTGTGTGTATGTGGTATTTTGTGTTTATGTATTATGTATACATGTGTGTTGTGTACACAGGGGTGTATGAAGTGTGTATGTGTATACTGTGGGGGTGCATGTAAGGTGTGTGTGTGTGTGTGTGTGTGTGTGTTGTAGTTTAGTCTAGAGAGTGTCTACAATGGGAAAGGTGCAGAGCTCTCTAGAATGGTCAGAATTCTTTCCCTTCCCCGCTGCTTCCTTGGGCAGTTGGAGTCCTGCTGTGGTGGTGAGCAGGGACTATGGCTACAGGAGGCTGAATGGTGCCCTTTCCCTTCCCAGGGCTGAGCCTGCAGTGGCAGGGGGACTGGCTGGTGCTATCTGGGGGCCTGGGGGTTGTTGTGCGGCTGGACAGGTCCAGTTCGGTGTCCATCTCGGTGGACCATGAGCACTCAGGACAGACGCAGGGCCTCTGTGGGCTCTACAATGGCCGGCCCGAGGGTAGGTAGGGTGTGCTTGGTAGCTGGTCAGGGAGGAAGAGGGGACTGGACCCCAAGTCCAGCATCCAGCATCTCTGCTTCACCCTTCCTTAGATGACTTTTCAGAGCCAGGTGGGGGCCTGGCTATGCTTGCTGCCACCTTTGGGAATTCCTGGAAGCTCCCTAGCTCTGAGGTAAGACTGCCATCCTGGGCTCCTCCTGGCTGCTCTCCCCTGGCTGAAGGGGACAGCAGACTCCTCAGGGGGAGAGCAGGTAGGCCTCGTATCCCACAGGAAGCTCAGTGTCAGGTGCTGCCTGCAGTCTGGCTGTCTTGTATGAACTGACCATCAAGGGACACCTTGGCCAACCTCATCACTGATCACCTTTGGTGGTTAGTTCATCATCTAATCACCTGCTTGCAGTTGACTGTGACCCTGAGTCCCCTGCCTCCCCCTTGGGCTTGTCCCCACTGCCCTCCACAGCCCACATCATGGTGGGAACAATGATGTGGCCTCAAAGTGGCTAGGAGGGCAGTGGTCATTTTCCTAGTTAATGTCCCTCATCACTGCTACCTGGCCTGGCTCCATTTGTTCCCAGCCTGGGTGTCTGGATGCAGTGGAGGTGGATCAGGGCTGTGAGGGACCCCTGAAAGGCACCGAGGCAGGTATGGATGCTGGCCAGCTGCGAGCTGAAGCCCAGGATGTATGCCACCAGCTGTTGGAGAGTCCATTCTGGCAGTGCCATGCCCAGGTATGGGTGGGGGTGGAGGTGGTGACCAGCTCCAGAGGGGACTGTCCAGAGGGTGGGGCCAGGAAGGTACTAGAGAGGAGCCAGTTAAGCGACCCAGTCCTGCCGCTAGACCCTGTTGGGCCATTGGTCAAGACACCCCTTCCTGTCCTGGGCTTTACTTCTGGGAACAGGTCCCTTCCAGAGTTCAGGGGGTGGGAGGTGCTGGTGAGAAGGCGCTTGCCAGCTGACAGGCCGATCTTTCTCTGCAGGTCTCCCCCGATGAGTACCACGAGGCCTGCCTCTTTGCCTACTGTGCAGGGGCTGCTCTGGGGCACCAAGAGGGGCGGCAGGAGGCTGTGTGTGCCACCTTTGCCAACTATGCCCAGGCCTGTGCCAGGCGACGCATCCACGTGCTCTGGAGGAAGCCTGGCTTCTGTGGTACTACTTGACCGTCTTGCCCTGTGAAAATGACCGAGGGTCCTCAAGGGCCTCATTTTCTGAAGGCACTGCCACCCCTGGGCACCCTCCCAGCTGGCTCCCCTGGCTTCCTGGCTCTTCAGAGTCAGCAGGGTCTGGTGGAACACCTCAGCCCCTCACAGCCGACTCCTATGTCCACAGAGCGTCTATGCCCCGGGGGTCAGCTCTACTCCGACTGCGTCTCCTCCTGCGCCCCCAGCTGCTCGGCAGTGGGCCAGGAAGAGGAAGGGTCCTGCAGGGAAGAGTGTGTGAGTGGCTGCGAGTGCCCACCTGGCCTCTTCTGGGATGGTACCCTCTGTGTGCCTGCCTCCAGATGCCCCTGCTACCACCGGCGCCAGCGCTATGCCCCTGGCGACACTGTGCACCAGCTGTGTAACCCGTGGTGGGTCCTCAGGCCTTGATGGGGTGGCAGCAGCGTGGTTGTCTCTGGTCCTGCCCTTTATGTTTTCTCTGAAACCTGCCTCCTCCAAACAGCCAGGCTGTTCTGGCTGTGCTCCCTCCTGGCATGATCACAGTGACCTGTGATCTCTGCTGACATAACTGATGGCCTTTCTTAAAGCCCTGACCAGCTGACCTCTACCCTTTCCAGGGGTGGTGGGGACATCAGAGAGGCAAGGGAGCAGGGTTTGGGGGATTGACTCCAGCTTAGCCTCCCCACCCCAGGGTGGGACTGATGCCACACTGCCCTGTCCCACCCATATGTCCACAGTGTGTGCCAGGATGGCCACTGGCACTGTGCCCAGGCCTTGTGTCCTGCTGAGTGTGCAGTAGGTGGCGATGGGCATTACCTCACCTTTGATGGGCGGAGCTTCTTCTTCCGGGGCCACCCAGGCTGCCACTACAGCCTGGTGCAGGTGGGTAGAGGACCAACTCTGGGAAAGGGATCTTACCAGAGAAGGGTCCCTCCCCAAGGTGTCCAGGGGAGGGGGGCTATAGGGAAAGCACAAAAAAGTAAAAATAAAGCAAAACCCTAACCCTGCAAGGAAAAGCCCAGAAGGACAATGCTGGAGGTAGACCAGCTCCCCAGACCCCAGAGCCTCTCTTTGGGTTCCCACCCCTTCCTTTGGCTCTGGTGAAGGTCCTGCTGTCATGGCCATTTCAGGGACACCAAAGAAAGCCATCCTTATGGTCCTCTTCACAAATGGGGCAGGACAGGCTTGTCAGAGCCACTTCAACAAGACAACCCCAGGGGGAATAAGGACCCTTCTCCCATCCCAGCCCTCTCCCAATAAAGATGGGTCATTTCCCAGGGTCAGCACAGATCACGTTCCTTTCCACTCATCCAGGGTCCCCATTTCAGTAGTGGACCATTCACATTCTTTTGTTTGCACCCCTTCTTTCATGGGCAGTGTGGGGCATAGAGACTGAGTAGAATCTAAGCAGCCATCTCCCCGAGGCACACAAAGACCAGTGGGTGCACACACACACACCTGTATGCACGCAGACACAAACAGGCAGGCACACAGCACACTCAGGCATGCACACATAGATTTAGCAAGTGTAAGTCATTTGGAGGGTAACGTCCTACCCACGGGGAGGAAAGATGGGAATCATCCCTCCCTCATGCAGACACAAACAAATGTGCAATCACATATACTCGTGCAACCCCATGCACACACTTGCACAAGCATTTGTGTGTGCTAATCTTGGCTAGGGTCAAGCCCCATCTCTCACAGTGTCTGTCTGGCTGGAAAGCTCCCACATGGGTAGGAGCTGCCTTGGATGAGGCTAAAGATCTGCAGAGGCCTCCTCAGGGAAACGGAGGGTCTGCCCAGCCCTGTGTTCCTCTGTCTGTCCCTAGGACTACGTGAAAGGGCAGCTGCTGATCGTGCTGGAGCATGGGGACTGCGACTCTGGGAGCTGCCTCCATGCCCTGTCTGTCTCACTGGGGGATACCCACATCCAGCTCAGAGACTCAGGTAGCCTCAGGTCTACCTTCTCAGGGTGACTGCCACGCCCACTGTCCCCTCTTCTCACCCAGAAGACTTGGGTACCATCCAGTCCCTGCCTTCCACACTCCCCACCCTTCAGAGCCCAACAACTCTGCCCCAGATTCTGCAGCCGGGTTCACTGCCTCAGCTGCCCCCTCCCATCTCTGAGGAAGACACACTGTCCTGAGGACATGTCCCAAGGCCTCTTCTGCCTCATCTTTAGGGAAAACACAAGTCATACTGTTATGAAAATCTAAAAGATCTCATCATGACCAGACCAGGCAGGCCCCTCTAAGCCACTGTCCCTCCAACTCCCCCATGCCCAGGTCAGTTCCTCGCTCTCTTGTGCCAGCTCTTTGTGCCAGCCACAACGGGAAAAAGACATGCAAAACTGGACACTGAAGCCGGGCATGGTGGCACATGCCTGTATTCCCAGAGGCTTGGAAGGCTGAGGCAGGAGGTTCGAGAGTTCAAAGCCAGCCTCAGCAACTTAGCAAGGCCCTAAGCAACTTAGCAAGACCCTGTCTCAAAATAAAAAATAAAAAGGGGTTGGGGATGTGGCTCAGTGGTTAAGCACCCCTGGGTTTAATTCTTGGTTCAAAAGGGGGGGGCACTAACAGGCATCCTCCTTTGCTCCAGTAAAGGTCCTGCTGTCATGGCCACCTCAAAGCCACCAAAGAAATTTATCCTTATAATCCTCTTTCACAGACGGGACAAGACAGGCTTGTCATAGCCACTTCACACAAGACAAAACCAGAGGAAATGGGAACCATTCACTCACACCAGCCCTTCCCCCCAATAAAGATGGATCATTTCCCAGACTTCCCATGGGGGAGTCTCAAGTGGGACTGGTGGCCTCTGAGGGTCACTCTGATGGTCCCATTCCGATACAGGCCCTCCCACTCCCACCCGAGTCCTTCTGTTCTTGCAGCCCCATCCACCCACCTGCCCCCCGCCACCCCATCATCAGGCTCCTTTTCCAGGAGCTGTGCTGGTGGATGGGCAGGATGTGGGATTGCCCTGGATTGGCACTGCGGGCCTCAGCATCTCCAGAGCCTCCTCCACCTTTCTGCTGCTACGCTGGCCAGGAGTCCGTGTCCTCTGGGGAGTGGCTGACCCTGCAGCCTACATCACCCTGGCCCCCCACCATGCCCACCAGGTGTGCCAGGAGGCGGGTGAAAGGCTGGGAAAGGTTATGCTGAGTCTGAATGTGACTGTCCCACATGGTCTCCACGGCCCAGGTCCAAGGTCTGTGTGGTACCTTCACTTGGAACCAGCAGGATGACTTCCTGACACCAGCTGGGGATGTGGAGACCAGCACTGCTGACTTTGCTAGCAGGTTCCAGGTGGCAGGCAATGGAAAGTGCTCCTCTGGGGACAGCGTCCTGCTCTTCCCCTGCAGCACACACTCCCAGCACCTTGCTTTTGCAGAGGCAGTCTGTGCCATCCTGCATGGCCCAGCCTTCCAGGTAGCCGGGATGGCCTACCACTCACAGGGAGGCAGCAATGGGGACCCAAGAGAATGAGGAGTTCATAAGGAAGAGCCCCGCTTCCTCTCTTCCCAAGGACTGCCACAGGCTGGTGGACAGGGAGCCATTCCAGCTGCGCTGCTTGGCGGCAGTGTGTGGCTGTGCCCCTGGCAGGGACTGCCTGTGTGCCGTGCTGTCTGCCTACGCGCACCGCTGTGCCCAGGAGGGCGCCCTGCTGTCCTGGAGGAACCAGACTCTCTGCCGTGAGCCCCTGCCCAGGCAGCCCTACCTCACGCTCCCTCCCACCTCCTCCTTCTGGCCCCTTCTAGGAGAAGCTGGAGAGGGCAGGAACCTCTGACCTTAGGGGGTTGCTGGGCTTTTCTTCCTGGGGAAGCACAGCGGGGGTATGTTCCAGAGGGGTTGACTATGCTCCTGATATGCACATGTCCCTGGGTCCAGCTGTCCTGTGTCCTGGTGGCCAAGAGTACCAGGAGTGCGCTCCAGTGTGTGGTCACCATTGCGGAGAGCCAGAGGATTGTAAGGAGCTGACCGGCTGTGTGGCTGGTTGTAACTGCCCCCCTGGCCTGCTGTGGGACCCTGAGGGCCAGTGTGTCCCCCCCAGTTTGTGCTCCTGCCAGCTTGGAGCCCATCGTTACACCCCTGGCAGTGTCACCATGAAGGACTGCAATCGCTGGTGAGGATGATGGCTTGGGGGGCAAGAGAAAGAATATGGGCTGAAGAGGGAGGGCTGGAGAGGAGGGGCTGATCATAGCAGGCTGGGGTGCTGGGAGGTGCAGCGCTCAGGGCTCCGGCATCAGAGCTGGGTTTCAGTGAAATGGATCTGGTGCCTGGGTCCCCAGCGTCTGGGTTCCTGGACTTTGGCAGAGCAGACCAGTGGCCTGGAGGCTGAATCTCTGCTGGGCCTGCCTCTTTCCCCTTCCACCCTCCCGCAGCATCTGCCAGGAGAGGGGCCTCTGGAACTGCACCGCCCACCACTGCGCCCCGCAGCGTGCATTCTGCCCCGGGGAACTTGTCCATGCTCCTGAAGCCTGCCTCCTCACCTGTGACAGCCCCAGTGCCAACCACTCCTGCCCCATGGGCAGCACTGATGGCTGTGTCTGCCCTCCAGGCACCGTGCTGCTGGTGAGGCTGGGAGGGGATGGGATGGGGCACCAGAGTGGCCTTCCCAGCACCAGGGCACTGTCCTGTTCCCCTAGCTGCCCAAAACAGTGTCCCTACTCTCTGCCCAGGATGAGCGCTGTGTGCCTCCTGATCTCTGTCCCTGCCGTCATAGTGGGCAGTGGTACCCACCTAATGCCACCATCCAGGACAACTGCAACACTTGGTATGCCCAGCCCCCCTGACCTACACCCTTCTGGCCTTGTGACTACTGGCTCTCCAAACACAATGTTTCCCCCCACTAGAATGAGTTGGGGTGATAGGTGGGGTAGGGCATCTGGGCTGGGCTGGGCACTGGGGACCTCTGGGATCTTCCACACTGGGGTCCTATCTGGAGTCGCAGGAATCTGGACCAGTTGCCTCCCCTGCTACAGCTCAGGTCCCTTCCTCAGTGACTCTGTCCCTGCCCCTTGCCCACAGTGTGTGCCAGGGCCGACAGTGGCATTGCACAGGCCAGCTGTGCAGTGGATGGTGCCAGGCATCAGGTGCCCCCCACTATGTGACGTTTGATGGGCTGACACTCACCTTCCCCGGAGCCTGCGAGTACCTGCTGGTTCGAGAGGCCAGTGGCCGCTTCAGCGTCTCTGCCCAGAACCTGCCCTGCGGGGCCAGCGGCCTCACCTGCACCAAGGCACTGACCGTGCGTCTGGAGAGCACTACTGTGCACATGCTCAGAGGTGGCCATGACATTGCAAGGAGACCCTGACAAAGGGTGGGGGGCACTCCAGCACAGTATAACAGCCACACACCAGGGTGGCCAAAGTCCAGGTTCCTAGGTCGAGTCCTCACTGGGCTTGGTTGTCCTCAGAGGGGTGGGATGGGTGGCTCTCCTCCTGGTTGGAATCATAACTTCTCAGATAAACCAGGCTCCAGAGAAGTCTAATGACTTTCCTAAGGTCACAGAGGTAGAGAGGCTAAAGGAGGTTTGAAGGGGAAGAGGGCAGGGCTTCATGGGACCTGGGAGGCCCTTCACTCCATGCTGGCCCTGAACACCTTTCCTCCTCTCCAGGCCGGGCAGTGACGGTGAATGGGGTGAGTGTAACACCCCCCAAGGCCTACACAGGCCCAGGGATGAGTCTGCACCGTGCAGGCCTCTTCCTGCTGCTGACCACACGCCTGGGCCTCACCCTGCTCTGGGATGGAGGTTAGGCCCCACCCTTATGCACCTGACCCACACCCAGCCTTAGTACTAGATGGACTGGACTCCCCCCAAACCCTTCCTCCCTGCGCCTGCCCAGCTCTGAAATCAGGGTTGAGCTTCCAACAACCCTCAAAGGCAGATATCCAGAGTAACAGCCAGACCAGGATCTTTGGCCTCCCCTGCCCTGCTGGCCTCCACTGGGCACCCCCAGCCCAACACCACCCCCACCTCACTGCCCGAACAAGTGGTCAGAGTTTCCAAATTATGTTTTCATCCTGTTTTTCTTCATTATGAAAGCAATGCTGCCTCACCCAAGAAATATTTAGAAAATACCAAGTTTTAGGAAGAAGAAATGAAAATAGATTCAACATTCTACCACCCAAACACAAGCAGTTGGCGTTTTAGAAACAGAACTCTCAGTGAGAAATTGAGGGAAGCCAAAATAACCCTGTAGCGACTCGGCGCGGCAGAGGCAGGCTGCCTCTAGGCCTCGCCACCAGGACTCTGGTGTGGGAAAGCCTCAGCCCATCCTGGTTTCCCATCCAGAATGCAGCCAGATGGGGAGTTTTCCAAACTTAGTTTTGTTTTCCCCCTTGTGGTACCAGAGATTGAACCCAGGGGTGCTCTCTATTGAACCACATCCCCAGCACTTCTTAATATATCTTGAGACAGGTTCTCACCAAGTGGCCCAGGCTGGCCTTGAACTTACAACCTTCCTGCCTCAGCCTCCCTAGGCTCTGGGATTACAGGCACCAACCTAAGTTTGCTTAGGAAACTAGGCTCTTACTTCTGGCCCTTCCTTCCCAGTGTCTGTCTCTTCATTTATGACCACCAATTAACCCACCCCCTCAGAAAAGAGGGAACCAGCACTCTCTGTTGGGTGGGGGTACCCATGCAGGGCAGTATTATGTCCCTGGGTCTTCTCCTGACCTCAGCCCTGCTGAAGGGTACCAGGGTCATTTTTTACAATGATGCCACCAGGCACCCGGGTCCTGATACAGCTGTCCCCACACTTCCGTGGTCGTGTGGCTGGACTATGTGGAGACTTTGATGGAGACGCCAGTAATGACCTGAGGAGTCGCCAAGGAGTCCTGGAGCCCACAGCTGAGCTGGCTGCCCACTCCTGGCGCCTCAGTGCACTCTGCCCTGAGCCAGGAGACCCGCCACACCCCTGCACGGTGAGCTCAGGCAGACAGCGGGAGGGACGGTGGGCCTGCCAGAGCTCAGGGCTGGGGCAGGTGTCTAGTTGGCCCAGGGTGCTGGAGATGGTGCCCTGTGCTGCAGGTAAACACACACCGCGCAGCCTGGGCCCGTGCCCGCTGCGGAGTGATGCTCCAGCAGCTCTTCGTCCCATGCCACACAGAGGTGCCCCCACAGCAGCACTACGAGTGGTGTGTGTACGACACCTGTGGGTGAGGAAGGCTGGCCCAAGTGGGGGGCAGTGAGTGTGTGGGGGCAGCGCGGGGCTGCTGAGCCGACTGCTTCCTCCCACAGCTGCGATTCAGGGGGCGACTGTGAGTGCCTCTGCTCTGCCATTGCCGCCTACGCAGACGAGTGTGCCCGGCATGGGCACCATGTGCGCTGGCGCAGCCAGGAGCTCTGCCGTGAGTGTTCCCAACTCTCAGACTTGTCACCTGCATGGCCCTTGAATGGTGCTTAGCCTGCCCACCAGCTGGACACTTAGTCAGAAGTTCAAACATGTGCTACACGCTTACCGTGTGCCAGACACTTCCAGTTGAACCAAACATGCAAGAATGTCTGACCCACAGGACCCATGTGTCCCACATCACCTTGGGAGGGTCTCAGCCAAGGTCTACAATATGAACTCTGTGCCCTCCATAGGTGTCACCTTGGGCTGACTCACCTGGTGCCCTTGTACCTGAGTGAGCTGAGCCTCTCTCTCTCCACCCAGCCCTGCAGTGTGAAGGGGGACAAGTATATGAGGCCTGTGGCCCCACCTGTCCTCCCTCCTGCCCTACCCACCATGCTGAGCCTGGATGGCACTGCCGGGCCATTGCCTGTGTGGAGGGCTGCTTTTGCCCCAAAGGGACTCTGCTGCATGGTGCGTAGTCAGAAAGGCCAGAGGGGAGGGGACATCCCTGGGGAAGTGTCCTGCATGGATGGCACTTGTGTGGGGACCATCCAGCTGTGTGATGGGAAAGGGCCACATGACCATGGTGGTGGGCTGGGCCAGGGGCACTGTGCCCCCTTCCCTCTGGAGTCCTGTGCTCTGTGATCTCAGGAGGAATCTGCATGGAGCCATCTGCCTGTCCCTGTGAGTGGGGTGGCAGCTTCTTCCCACCAGGGACTGTGCTGCAGAAGGACTGTGGGAACTGGTGAGTGGGGAGTACCTGGGTGGACCCTGTGCCCCTGGACTGGCCACGCCCAGCCGTGGCTGATCCCAGGATACCATATTCAGCACTTGCCGGGAAAGCCAGTGGCATTGTGGGGGTGACAGTGCCCCCTGTGAGGAGCTGGTGCCTGACTGTGCCGAAGGAGAGTCTCCCTGCCAGGGAAGTGGGCACTGTATTCCACATGAGTGGCTTTGTGACAACCAAGACGACTGTGGCGATGGCTCAGATGAGGAGGGTGAGTGCTTTCACCTGTGTGACAGGCATAGATACCTGAGTTCACTGGGTGTGCAGCAGGTGTCCCCAGGGTAGCTTCCTGAGCTGCTGCTTCCACGGCCAGCAGTTATGACTTGGGGAATGAGGGACAGGTAGGGAGTTCCAGTCCTTCTAGGGTTATGGGTTTCTCTGACTCCAGCGTCCTGAGCCTGCCTGCTTACCCTATGCCAGGTTGCGCCACCCCAGGCTGTGTGGAGGGACAGATGTCATGCCGCTCCGGCCACTGTCTGCCCCTGTCCCTGCTCTGTGATGGGCAGGATGACTGTGGAGATGGCACAGATGAACAGGGCTGCCCATGTCCCTATGACTCGCTGGCCTGTGCTGATGGGCGCTGCCTGCCCCTCACCCTGCTGTGTGATGGGCATCCCGACTGTCCAGACGCCGCTGATGAGGAGTCCTGTTTGGGTTAGTTGTTTCTGCTCTGGACTTGGGCCCACCAGGCACGCTCTCCTACCAGGCCCAGCTCCTGGTTGCCCCAGCCTTGCCTGCCCACTTCTTTGCCAGGTTATATATTGCCTGTGAAGCTGGCACCTGTGAGTGGGGGCACCCCAAGTAGTGAGAAAAGGAGGCAATGTTCTGGGAGCAGCTCCTCCTTTCTGGCTGCAGGGCAGGTGAACTGCACCCCTGGGGAAGTGTCCTGTATGGACGGCACTTGTGTGGGGACCATCCAGCTGTGTGATGGAGTTTGGGACTGCCCAGATGGAACCGACGAGGGGCCTGGATACTGCCCGATGCCCTCTCTGCCTGTGCCCCCAGCTGGCACCCTGCCTGGCCCCTCTACTGGCTCCCTGGAAGGTGCCTCAAGTCCGCTGGGCAGTGCCAGCCCTGGTGAGTCTCCTGGAGAAGATGGGGTGAGAAAGCTGGGGAGGATGGGGATGGGACCACAGAGGAAGGCATGTGGGTGGTGCTTTGGGGATGGAGCCAAAAGAGGTGGAGGGCATTTGAGGGGAACTGAGGTCCAGCCTCATTTTCTGTACCCAAGGCCTTCTCTGAGTTAGGGGAATCTAAGGGAAGTTCTTGAACCAGGGAGAAATTTGGGGACACCAATAGGGCAACAGAATACAGAGGTGGGTTGGACTCCAGGAGGGACTGAAGGTGGGGAGGGCTGGCTCAGGTAAGGGGCAGGACGACTGGAGCCTGGAGCCGGGAGGTGAGCCAGGAGCCGCTGTGGGAGGGCGAGACCCGCCTGCGGAAGCCGGTCCACTCCCGCGGGGTCTAGTGCAGCCCCCCACCCCCACCCCCACCAGCACAGAGCTGCGGCCCCTTGGAGTTTCCGTGCGGCAGCGGAGAGTGCACCCCGCGGGGCTGGCGCTGCGACCAGGAGGAAGACTGCGCCGATGGCAGCGACGAGCTGGGCTGCGGTGAGCCCTGCGCGCTGCACCACGCGCCCTGCGCCCGCGGCCCACACTGCGTGTCCCCCGGGGAACTGTGCGACGGCGTGCCGCAGTGCCCCGACGGCTCTGACGAGGGCCCAGACGCCTGCGGTGAGAGTCGCCCCTGTCCTGTGCGGCCCTCCCCAAGCACCCCCTGCGCACAGCTAGACAGTGACTTAGGTTTGGAGACATCAGTCTGAGCAACTTTTGTGTTCCTTTGATTTTTTTTTTTTTTTTTTTTTTTGTACCAGGGATTGAATCCAGGACACTTAGCCACTGAGCCACATCCCCAGCCCTTTTTTTTGTATTTTATTTAGAGACGGGGTCTCACTGAGTTGCTTAGGGCTTTGTAAAATGGCTGAGGTTGGCTCTGAGCATGCTCTGAAAGGCTGGGATTACAGGGGTGACCAGCAAGACCCGCCCTTTGATCTTTTAAATGAAACTTTCTTTGCCCTCCTTCCCAGGCCCAGTGGAGAAGGAAGGGGCTTTTGGTTTGGGACAAGAGAGTGGGTGTTGGCTCTGAGGGCCTAGGGAGTGGGTCTGTTTGTAGGGCTCCCCTGTCCCCATTTTCTCCCCATCCCACCTGGGTTGAACTCACCCTGTAGCCCTGACAAGTTGGTCTTTCTGGTCCTGGCCACTTCCCCTGTGAGGGCTGGCTCCTCCCCAGAATCCACCCCTCCTACACTCCTCCAAGGGTTTCTTTGGCCATGGAGAGCCCCATGCTGGCTCTGCCTCCTGCCTGCCCTCCTCCCCCAGTGCCTTTAGGCCCTTCTGCAGAGAAGAAGTAGGAGGGGACAGGAGCACAGCAGGACCCTTCTTACTGTGCCCACAGGTTCCACCCAGCCTCCCCTGTGCCATGGCCTCTTGCCCTGTGGTTTGGCTCCCTGGCTGTGCCTGAACCCTGAGCAGCACTGCAATGGGGTCCCCGACTGTCCCCAGGGCGAGGATGAGCTGGACTGTGGTATGAACACTTCTCATGGGTCTGCAGCTGGTGCTTGCCCGGAGGTAGCTGCAACTCCCTGCAAACTGGTTTTCTCTCTTGCTCCCCAGAGGGACTGCCACCCCCAGGAAGTCTCAACAGGACAGAATTTCCCTGCCCAGAATACTCCTGCCCCAATGGCGACTGCCTTGATTTTCACCTGGTGAGGGTCAGGAAGGGGAGGTGGCAGGCAGAGCCGTGCACCAATGCAGAAGCCCTGAGCCTGTTGCTCCCCCAGGTGTGTGATGGGCAGCCCAACTGTGAGTTGGTAGGAGAGGCAGGACTCTCCCCAGAAGAACAGGGCTGTGGGACCTGGGGTCCCTGGAGCCCATGGGGGCCGTGCAGCCAGACCTGTGGGCTGGGGGTGCAGAGCCAAAGCCGCAGCTGTTCCCCATCAGGGCTGTTGGTGCTGCAGCACTGCCCAGGCCCCGCCCACCAGTCACAGGCCTGCTTTACCAAGGCCTGCCCAGGTAAGGGGCTGGGAACACAGGGGAGCGACTGTGGGACAGTGGGGCCTGGAGAGAGGAGAAAGGAAAGGCCTTCAACCCTGCCTTGCTCTCCCACCCCCTCCCGCCCCATCCCTCCCCTCACAGTGGATGGTGAATGGAGCTCCTGGTCTTCCTGGTCTCTGTGCTCTGAGCCTTGTGGGGGCACCAGGACAAGGCAGCGGCAGTGCCACCCACCCCAGAATGGGGGCCAAGCCTGTGCCCTTCTGCCCGGGGGCCCTCATAGCACCCGTCAGACTGGTGAGTGGAAGGGAGAGGGCACAGGTGGGGGGCGGGAGGCTGCTGGGGGGACACTTGTCCTTGCTGCTGTTCCTCCCTCCCCAGTCTCTGACCCCACTCTCAGAGCCCTGCCCTCAGGATGGCTGTCCCAATGCCACCTGCTCTGGGGAGCTGGTGTTCCAGCCTTGTGCCCCCTGCCCTCTGACCTGCGATGACATCTCTGGCCAGGCTATCTGCTCATCCCACAGGCCCTGCAGCAGCCCAGGTGAGGGGGCTCCGGGATCGGGCTCTGTGGAGGCCACAGTGTCTGCCTGGAAACCTCACCGTGCTTCTTCCCTAGGCTGTTGGTGCCCAGAAGGGCAGGTGCTGGGCAGTGAGGGGCAGTGTGTGTGGCCCCGGCAGTGCCCCTGCCTGGTGGATGGTGCCCGCTACTGGCCTGGGCAGCATATCAAAGCCAACTGCCAGCTCTGTGTCTGCCAAGATGGGAGGCCCCGGCGCTGCCGGCCCAACCCAGACTGTGCCAGTGAGTACCCTGCATCCTGTGGCCCTTCTCTCAAGGTCCCTGGTCTCCTCCCAGGCTACCCAGCTGGGCACTCACCTCTGCCTCCTGGCCCTAATTCTTGCCCTCTCTCAGTAAACTGTGGCTGGTCCTCCTGGTCCCCCTGGGCCGAGTGCCTGGGCCCCTGTGGGAGCCAGAGCATCCAGTGGTCCTTCCGGAGCCCCAACAACCCCCGCCTCTCCGGCCGAGGTCGCCAGTGCCGAGGCATCCACCGCAAGGCTCGCAGGTACCAGCAGGGACCTTGCCCTCGCCTTCACGCTCGCTCTTCCTGCATGCCCCTTCCCACGAGAGACCCCAAATCACTGCTCAGTGCCCTCCCAGCCTAAACCCCAGAACCCCCTGGAGACCCAGCCTTTTCCTCCTTTAGTGCTGTGCCATCTAGATCCAAAGCAGGGCAAACGGAGCCCACACACGCAGCTCGACAAATGCAGGAGTGGGAATGGGTCCCCTGTGTCTCTGGAGGTGTGCGGGGTGAAGCTTTTGGGGGACAGCCATTTCCGCCTGCACACCCTGCTGGGACCAGCTCTGCTGGCTGGTGGAGCTGGCACAAATTGCTTCCCCAATTTGGGGCCTGTTGCAATTTCTGGAATTCAGGAGTGGGATGGGGTTCAAGGTGATGACCAGACATTAACCCTGGATTTTTCCAGTCTTATCACTTGAAGTCCCCAGTCCTGAAATACCCTCAATCCAGGCAAACCAGGAGGGTGATCACTGTTAGTGAGCCCTCCCCATGCTGAGGCTGCCCTTCCTCCCCAGGTGCCAGACGCAGCCTTGTGAGGGCTGTGAGCAGCAGGGCCACACACACCAGGTCGGGGAGCGCTGGCGTGGGGGCCCCTGCAGGGTATGCCAATGTCTGCATATGGGCACCGTGCACTGCTCCCCCTATTGCCCACTGGGCAGCTGTCCCCAGGTGAGGCCCTGGGAGCCTGGAGGGGTGATGCGAGGCCAGGCTTGTGGAGGCCAATGGAGTGGGTTAGAGGTGGGCAAGTGGCTAATTTCTGTGCTCCACAGGGTTGGATCCTGGTGGAGGGAGTAGGAGAATCGTGTTGCCACTGTGCCCTGCCTGGTAAGTGGGTCTGGGTAGTAGCAGAAGGGGCCAAGGGGAGGAGGACTTTAGGAGGGAATTGGGGATGGTCCAGCTTCCTTATTCTAAAAGTGTACCTATAGGCTGATGAGGTTGGGATCAAGCCAGAGCACACACGGTTGTACATGTTGTTCACTGGACAATTTTTGCCAGCAGTGGGGACTAGCCTCCAGCCCCAGGACTGCTTCCATCCAGAGGCAGCCCCTTTCTAATGCCCACAAGGTTGTAATTAATGACAGCAGTCCTGGGTTAGCAACTGCACCTGCACCTGCTCTGTCCTAGTCCTAAAGTGGCTTTGCACTGGCAGTTTTATTCTGTGTGCTCTGAATATTCAGTGGAAATATGTAAAACCTTCATTCATACAAAGGGAAAGAGGTGTCCTTTCCTGCTGGGGTGGTCCTGGGATTTCTGGGCTGTCGTGGGAGAGAAAGTGCTCCAAATGGGAAGGACCTTGCTGAGCGAGGGGCTGGCGAGAGCCTCTCTGGGTCTCTTCCTCCTGACCCTTGGGTCTCCCTACACAGCAGAGAATCAGACAGTGCCTCCGACAGCCACTCCTGCCCCTGCTCCAGCCCCCAGTCCCCAGACGGGTCCTCCTCTGGCCACCTATGTTCTGCCTCCCCCAGGAGGTAAGGACCCAGCTGAGAGGGGTGCCCTGGGAGGGAAGCAGACCACTGGGAGTGCTGAGGAAGTTGTCCCATCTCCAGCTCTGCCCTTCCCGCCCCCTGTCCTGGGTCAGGGTCACCTGTGTGGCCCTTTTCTTCCCCAGATCCCTTTATGGCATGCCTCTGGCACCCCCTCCTGCCCCCTCCAACCTCCCCTCCTGCCCCCAGATGCCTGCTACTCTCCCCTGGGCCTGGCTCTGCCCCCGGGGAGTCTGTGGACATGGTCAAGGCAGCTGGAGCACCCCACCTGGGCTGCCCTCCTGGGGGCTCCCACCAAAGGGCCTGGCCCCAGAGCGGGTGCTTATGCTGAGTGGCACAGCGGGCCACCCTTCCTGCAGCTGGACCTGCTCCAGCCCCAGAACCTCACTGGTCAGTGAGGAGGATGGGGGGGGGGAGGAAGTGGGGGGGAACTGGTCCTTCAGCTCTGACTTCGCCCTTGGCCTGGCCCCTCCAGGCATCTTCGTGTGGGGGCCCACCTCCTCCAGCCCACATGTCAGCAGCTTCTCGCTTCAGTTCAGCACTGATGGTCTACACTGGCAGGACTACCATGACATCCTGCCTGGCACCTTGTCCCCACCCAAGGTACTAAATGCCCAAGGCCTCTCAGGCCAGTGACCCAACATCCCCTTTGTGGATTCCACAACCTCTGTACTCCTGGGCCTTTCGGTCTCCCCAAGGGACAGTCCTTGCATTAGTTGCTTAAGGAATAACTGGTAAGTAATAGGGACTATATTCTGTGGAATAGAGGGCCGGAGTGTCACTGTCGACAGCAGCCTGGGAAGGGGGAAGGTGGGGACACATTAAAGTCACAGAGGGCCTTGGAGGCCCAGACCCACGTGCGTCCATATGGAGCAGCCTGAGTGCGGCCCTCTCTGCGGGGTTGGCTCCACCGCCTGGAGACAGGCCCACGACCAGGAAGGATCAGTCCACAGGTGTTCCCTCTGACCTGTTTAAGGAGTACCTGCTCTGTCCCCGGTGCTGGGCTGTCCCTGTGGTCATAGCTCTGAGTGGGACCTGGCCCCTGCCATAGGAATCCTGCCACCTCAGTGGGAGGAGCTTAGGCCAGGACCAGACCCCCTGCAGCCTTGAGGGACTAGGTGGCTACAACCAGGGGGACATGGGCTCTGGCAGAGGCAGGATTCTTGTGAAGGTTGAGCAGAGAGGAGGGTCACTCAGTAGGGCCACAATGGCAGCCTGAGAAAGAGGCAGGACTCGGTCAGCAGGCACCTTGTGCTTCAGTCTTTCCCCAGGAACTGGGAAGATGTGGCCTCCAAGGTGTGGGCCTTCAGCCGGATGGTGCAGGCAAGGTACATCAGGGTGTGGCCACACAGTGTCCCCCACAGCGACAGGCAGCCTGGCTTCTTCCTGTGGGTGGAGCTCCTGGGCTGTGAGCCAGGTACAGGCTGGGCTGGGAACGGGAGGACCAGGAGGGAGCAGGGGGATGGCGGTAGCCCTCACAACACCCCCCTACCCACAGTGTCCCCACCAGTGCCCCCGTGCCCAGGGGCTGGGCACCGCTGTGCCAATGGTGAATGTGCTCTGCCGGGGGTGCCATGTGACGGTGCAGCAGACTGTGAGGATGGCTCTGATGAGGAGGGCTGTGGGCCCCTGCCTGTGGACACTGGCAGGTATCCTGGGGTCTGGCCTGGACTTGGAGGGACAGCCCTGCATTTCCTGCAACCTCTGTACTCCTGGGCCTTTCCGTCTCCCCAAGGGACAGTCCTTGCATTAGTTCCTTAAGAAATAACTGGCATTTCCTTCCACCCAGGGGCCCACAGACCCTCATGCCAGGAGCTGCATCTGGGCACCCCGAGGCCCTTTCCCCATGGTCTCTCAGGTTCTAGACCTCTCCTAGTCTGGTCTTCAGTGGTTCTCAAATATGGCCCTTGGGCCAGCAGCACCCGAAACTTGTTAGGCAGATTCTCGGGGTGGACCCAGAGATGCGTACTTTACAGGTCCTCCTGGTGATTCAACACAGCAAACTGAGCACCACTTAGCAGGCAGCATCCTTCCTGAATGCCCAGACCTCGCCCAGAGACCCCTGACTCCTCCTGGTTGGGGGGGGTGCTCCGACTGGGAGAGCCCCTGGAGCTCCCTCTGTGATTTTTCTTCTCAGAGGCCATTCCACAGCCAGGACTCCAACCTTCTTCTCCACCCAGCCGGGACCACTGCCTCCCCAGCCTAGTGAGGTGAGTGGGAAGCTGCAGACCCAGCAGGTGGGGTGCAAGGTTGGGGGCGGCCTCTCTGCCCCCCAGCACTGCTCCTGCACCTGCGTCTTCCTCTCTCTCCATTCATTCATCATTTCCTCTACTTGTCTTCCTTGGTACTGCTCTGTCAGGCTTTTAGTCAGGAGCATTCTGGGGACCACCAGCTCAGTGCCAGGTGGGGAGCAGGGGGCCAGAGGGACAGAGGAAAGTGCAGAGAAGCACAGGGAAAGGCTCTGTCCTGGAGGAATTTGGAGACAAAAGACCCGTGCCCCTGGAGGGGAGGCTGTGCTCATGGGGCAGTGCCAGGGCATCTTCTCTGGGAGCCTGGAGGAGCATTGTGCCAAGGTGTCCCCAGAGGCATCCTGGACAAGGCTTGAAACAAGGGGGATGGGTGGAGAAGAGGGTCCTTTCTTGCTGACCGCACAAGGTGGCTGAGCCCTCTCCTTCTCAGGGTCTGGCAGAGACTGACCGCTGGCATCCCAAGCAGGGTTCGTCCATGCCCCCCACAGGTATGTGTGCCAACTCCATTCTCCCTTCCCATGCCCCTGTCACCGTCTGTGTCTGCCCTTCCAGAGATAGGGGCAGTGATGTCTCCGAGGTTCAAGTGCCCTGACCCCTGACTTTATCCCCCAAACTGAGAGAGCTGCAGGGTTGATTCAGGGAAACACTGGTCACCTTGGTCAGAGCCAGGTCCTGCCCTGCTCACCCTCCTGGATTCAAGGGTAGATTCCAGGCCAGCTCTTAGGGCTGCACCTGGGCCACCTGCAGTATGACCACCTCCCTCAGGCTCTGGCCGGATAGGTCTCCCCTTTGGGAGTGGGAGGCCACTTGGCTTGGACATCCTCTGCTCACCCACTTGAATAGCCAGGCACTTTTCTAAAGTGTTTGCTGACAGGAAATATTCGTAAATGGGCTTGAGAGTGGGCAGGGTCACCAGGTTGGCATGTTCCTAAACAGGAAAGGATGGGGTCCCAGCCTGGTCATGTGCCAGCCTCCCCAGAGCTACTAACCACTCACCAGCACTGTGGTCCCCAGAGGCCCTTCTCTGAAGGGAGGAGGGGATGCTCCGCTGTCAGACAGCAGGCGTATTCTGGCTCTCCTGCTCCCGGGCAGACCTTGGACACACTGTGCCGCCTGCCTAAGCCTTGGCTTCCTCTCCTGTGGGACCGTCGGGCCTGGTGGCAACCTCTGAGCCCCTCAAGGGGTTCTGATGACAGCTGTCCACAAGGCCAGCTGGCCCATGGCTGTGTCTTTTGTGAAAAGGAGATGAAGTAACTTACACCACCCCTCAGATCCACAAACCTGTACTCATGGGATGAATTCTAGTCTCAATCTAAGTCTGGTTCTTGAAAAAAGCCTGTCTTTGAAGATGAATCTCTTGCAAAGAAAATGAGTCTCTCAACACTCTTCACTGTAGTGCCACAAAGTCAAAACTAGTTTGTTTGGCTTTTGTACAGCAGTAACAATGGGCTCATCTTGAGTCTTGCTAGTGTTCTCTTGTTCTGCTGCTGTGTTTAAATGACCTCAGTTCTTTTTCTCCCCTAAATGACCTATCTTATAATGAATTTGAACTTGAAAGTTGCCATAAGTGTCTTTTTTTTGGCGGGGGGGAGTGGGTAACCAGGGATTGAACCCAGGGGCACTTAACCACTGAACCACAACCCCAGCCCCCCCGCCCTTTTTTTTGTATTTTATTTAGAGACAGCTGAGTTGCTTAGGGCCTCACTAAGTTGCTGAGGTTGAAATTTGTGATCATCCTGCCTCAGCCTCCCGAGTTGCTGGGATTACAGGCATGTGCCACCAAACCTGGCACCACAAGTGTCTTCTGTGACTAGAGTACAAACCTCAGATCAAAACTAAGTTTTCTTCTGCTTTTCACTTAAAACCCTTCTCATGCTCTTTGGACTACCAAGAGCTGCTTTACTTTCTTTTCTCTTTTAATCTGAGGCCCCTTGGAAGGTAGGGAATGGTCTGTGGCCCCTGTGATTACCCTGCACCACACAGAAGCCTGGGACACCCTCTCATGTGTCCTCTCATAGGAAGGGGAATTGGGCAGCCCTCATTCCTTCTCCCCTCTGCCCACAGAGAAGAGGCCAGTGAGCCCTGCCCCTGCCTCCAAAGCTCCTCACCCAAGTTCTGGGGAATCCGTGCAGATGGGGAGCAACAACACTCCCACATTCCATGCTGGGTTTCAGAGACTGACACCAGGAATGGCAGCCATGACAGTGCTCCCCACACACCCCATGATTCCGATGACCCCTCCTGGTAAGCTCTGAGCTCTTCTACCTGGGTGCAAAGCCTGTTGTGAGCCCCACTTCCCCATGAAGGGGCAGAAGCCCTGGGAGGTTGGTCGCTTTGCTCACAATCACATGGATCAAGGTCATTTTGGTAGAACCAGGCCTACGACCCAAGTTTCCCGACCCCATTCATTCCCTTCCTTTTATGCCAAGAGAGGTGGAAAGTGGGGCACCCCAGATGCCAAGAGGAGGAAGGTTGGGGACTGCTAAGAAGTGATCAGGGAGGAAGCACAGGGCCACAAGGTCCCTCCTCAGCTGGCTATGGTGGCACCCACAGGCCAGAGAGTTGCCCCCAGCCCCTTCCCACCCGTGCGATGCAGCCCCGGGCAGCTGCCCTGCAAGGTGCTGGGCTGCGTGGAGCCAGAGCAGCTGTGTGATGGGAAGGAGGACTGCCTGGATGGCGATGACGAGCGGCACTGCGGTGAGACAAGGCCTGGGACCGCCAGAGGGCTTCAGACCTGAGGAGACACTGTGCCCATTTCCAGTCATGTGGGAGGATCTGAGAGAGCAGGGGGCAGCAAGAGAGGAGAGGAACTGAATATGAAAAATCCAGGAAAGTGAACCTCTGTAGAAATGGCAAAGAGAGGGAATAGGGTAGAGCTTGAGTCCCACCCTGTTTTATAAAATCTGTTGGACCTTTAAGGACACTCATCTACCCATCTATCCACATATCCACTCATCTGTGTACCCACCCATCCAACCACCCTCCCACCCTCCAGCCAGCCATCAAAGTAATCACTATGATCAAAACCTGCTCTTCAATCAGGAAAAGAAAAATCAAGTGCTAATCAATCACAGGAAGGGGCACCCCTGGGAGCCACCATTCCAGAATGCAGAGCCTGTGTTAATCAGCTTCTCATTGCTGTAAAAATACACTTAAGGAGGAAAGACTTCTTTTGGCTAAGGTTGCAGGGATTTCTGTTCATTGGTCGACTGGCTCCAAGGCAGAAACATCATGGCAGAGGAAAGCTCATCACAACATGGCAGCCATGAAGCACAGGGAGGGAAGGAGGGAGGGAGAGAGGTTGGAGACAAAATATAGCCGTTCAGGAACACCCCCAGCAACCTTCTCCCCCAGCTGGGACCCCCTCCTGAAGTTTCCACCACCTCTCACTAGGCCATCAGTCATGAACCCACCAGTGGATTAATCCACGGATGAAATCAGAGCCTCATGATCCAATCACCTTCCAAAGGCCCCACCTCTGACCAAGCCTTCCACACATGAGCCTTTGGGGGACAATATAACAGGGGGTGAACTGCTCTTCCAGGTGCTGTGACCTCTCCCTGGACACTCCCATGAGCCTTTGACAAGTAGAGTAGGCTAGGCCTGTGTAGACCACAGGCCCATGTAGACCTCACCCACACATGGTGGAAGGAAGCCTGCCTCAGGTGCGGGCTGCAGGAGGCATCTGGAGGAAGGGAGTCCAGGGCCCTGGTCAGTGAGTTCTATCCTGCTCTTGGCCCGAGGCTGAAGGGGCTGTTTATCATCTGGCCTGGGATCACTTATGTGGCTCCCTTCTCCTCTATCTGTGTTTCATGGGCAGCAAGTCCTATGCCCTTCATGGTGCCCACCACAGTCCTGCCTGGACTGCCAGCCTCCAGGACTCTCTGCTCCCAGAGCCAGCTGAGCTGTGGCAGCGGGGAGTGCCTGCCCACTGAGCGGCGCTGTGACCTGCGGCCCGACTGCCAGGATGGCTCGGACGAGGATGGCTGTGGTAAGAGCAAGCTGGGTCAGGCTCTAACCTGAGGCCTCACTCCCGCGTGAGCCCCCTCTGATCCCTAGGCATCTGTCCCCTGCAGTGGACTGTGTGCTGGCACCCTGGTCTGGCTGGAGTGGCTGCAGCCGCAGCTGTGGCCTGGGCCTCACCTTCCAGCGCCGAGAGCTGCTGCGGCCTCCCCTGCCTGGGGGCAGCTGCCCCCTGGACCAGCTCCGCAGCCAGCCCTGCTTTGTGCAGGCCTGCCCAGGTAGGTAGGCAGCAGCCGAGAGGGAAGAGGGGATTGTCCCAGACGCCTGTGAGGGGGAGGCCTGAGTTGGTTCCCATCTGAGACCCTCATCAGGAATGTGCCTCTGCTCTCCTTGGGACCCCAGTGTCCATCCCCCCATCTAGAGTGTGATAACCCCCTGATGACAGCCTTTAGCCCCTAAAGGGAAACCTGCTCCCTGGCCCCTCCCGCCTTGCCTCCTAGTGGCCCAAGTGAGTCCCTTCACCCAGAGCCATTCCTGCCCCAGCAGGCTCTGTGGGGGTAGAGAGGCCACATGAGGTGGGATTTGGCACTGGACCACAGATGTCAGCTGGCTGTGCCCCTCACCCCTGGGCTCCACACAGAAGGCCCTGTAGCCCTTTTGTTCCATGAATCTGAGGGACTGGTCCCCGTGCCCCTGGCTCTTCTGCTTGTTCCAGAGAGGGGATTCCCACATAGGGTCTCCTCAGCCCCACGTCTGGTCCCAACCCTCGCTCTGGTTGGTTTACCACTGTCATCAGGGTGCGCCCCACTCCAGGGTTCTGGCCATCAGGGCCTTCTCAGAGACTACACCTATTGTCCTGGGAGGAACCCAGTGTCCTCACCTATGGGGACTGTTCCTGGGACAGAGGAAGCTACAGACCTCCCAGAGCACCACTGAGCCAGGGAGGGCGCCTCTGCTCTGCCTGCCTCCTCTCTTTAGTACAGTCTTTGTCTCCTTGGCCCCCCCCCCCATTCTTCCTTCCCCACAGTGGCTGGGGCATGGGCAGAGTGGGAGACCTGGGGACCTTGCAGTGTCTCCTGTGGGGGCGGCCATCAGAGTCGCCAGAGGAGCTGCATGGACCCACCACCCAAGAATGGTGGTGCACCCTGTCCTGGGGCCTCCCGGGAAAGGGCACCCTGTGGCTTGCAGCCCTGCACTGGTGGCACAGGTAAGGGGGAGCTAGGCTGGGAGAGGTGTCCTACACGGAGTGTGGGCAGGTCTCTGGGCCTCTCAGTGCTCACCCCACCTGAGGCCCATCCCCTAGATTGCGGGCTGGGCCGTGTGCATGTGAATGCTGAGCTGTGCCAGAAGGGGCTGGTGCCCCCATGCCCACCCTCCTGCCTGGATCCCGAGACCAACGGAAGCTGCACTGGGCCCTGTGTGGAGGGTAAGGTAGACCCAGCCGGCAGAAGCCCACCAGCCTTCAGTCTCTAGCCCGTCTCCCTGCCGACCCCATGGAGCTGAGGGCCCTCCTCTCCCTCGCTTCCAGGATGCCGCTGTCCCCCGGGGCTCCTCCTCCATGATGCTCACTGCCTGCCCCTCTCTGAGTGCCCCTGCCTTGTGGGTGAAGAGCTGAAGCCTCCAGGGATGTCCTTCCTCCTGGACAACTGCAGCCAATGGTGAGGGTGCTGGGCCGGGGCAGGGCCCCGCGCAGGGCCCCCAGTGCCAACCAGCTCCCCCGCTCTCCTTCCCTGCAGCATGTGTGAGAGGGGGACTCTGGTGTGCGAGCCAGGGGCCTGCCCACAGCCCTGCGGCTGGTCAGCCTGGTCCTCCTGGACTCCCTGTGACCGCTCCTGTGGCTCTGGAGTGAGGGCCAGGTTCAGGTGCGTGAGGAGGAAGGAAACGGGGGAGAGACGGGAAGAGGCTCAGAGCCAGGCAGGCCTGGTGGGGAGGGTAGTGGAAGGAGGAAGGACAGGAAGGCAGCAGCAGGAGGACAGGCACTCAGGATGTCCTCTCTCCCAGGTCTCCCTCCAACCCTCCTGCGGCTTTTGGAGGTGCCCCCTGTGAAGGGGACAAGCAGGAACTGCAGGTCTGCCACGTGGATTGTGGGACAGGTACTACAAAGCCTGCCCCTCGTCCTTGTGAGCACAGAGGATGGGACCCACTGACACTCTGGATGGGGATCAGCAAAGCCTCCCCAGTGCCGGAGGCAGCCCTGGAACTGGCCTCGGGGGATGGGCTTGGTGGGGGTGAGTTACGGGCTGCCTTGACGGAGCAGGCTGCAGAGCCAGGAAGGAGGTGAGGCTGGCCAGGCTGGCTGGAGGAGGGACGCAGGAGCACAGAGACAGAGAGGTGCAAACGGTTCCCTCTTTGCACAGACGAGGTACCCTCAGGCTGTGCCAGCACTAGTGAGGCCTCTAGAGAGCAGGCCAGCCCTCACTGGGCTGACAGAACGGGGAGGAGAACATGAGAGAAGCAGAGCCAGGGTCAGCCCAAGGAGGAGGGGCAAGGGAGGAGGCTGAAACATGAGTCCAACGGTTCTGGGCCACAGTCTTGCAGCAGGAAGAAAAGAGAGGTCAGGTGTTCAGAGACTCTGAGTTTTCCCACATAGAAAGATCTGGAAGAACTGCTCTAGGAGAACTGTGAGGATGAGTGATGATCATGTCAGAGGTTGGCTGCACCGTGGGTATGTAGGTGTGGGTATGGAGCTGAGGCCAGGCTCAGTGGGGAGCTTTGTTCCTGGCTCCCACGTGTGAGAAGTAGGGCTCAGAGTGGAGATCCAAGCCAGCTGGGAGGTGACAGAGGCCATGCCCTGAGCCCGGAGCAGAATCCCTCAGGCTCATGAACACTGTCCTGGCCTTCTGCTTCTCAGACCTGACCTGAGTTCATCGACTCTTCTGAGCCCAACCAGGTCCTCTATGTTGGCCTGTCCTGTGTCCCTCTGCAGAGGTGCTGGGCTGGACACCCTGGACATCTTGGTCCTCCTGCTCCCAGAGCTGCCTTGTCCCTGGAGGAGTCCCTGGCTGGCGACATCGTTCCCGACTCTGCCCCAGCCTGAGGGATATCTCCTGCCCAGGAGAGGCCACCCAGGAGGAGCCTTGCAGCCCCCCTGTGTGCCCAGGTACAGCCCCACTGCTCCCGTGTCCAGACACTTGGGTGGATGAGGATCAGGAAATAATGACCCTTGAGCAGGTCCCAAGCCTTAGGGAGACGAACGAGCAGAGGGAATGGAGGAACCCTGGCTGTTCTGAAACCCCTCCCTGCCCCAGCCGTACACCCAGGAGCCAGCACATGAGTAATATGTTTGGGACTGTCCTAGAAGAGGGACCTGCATGACCCAGGACTCTGACCTCTCTCAACCCCTCCCCTATCCACATCTGTGCCATGTCTGTGACTGTGGACTTGACCCTGGACAGTGCCGAGCAGCTGGGGTGCGTGGGCTTCCTGGTCTGCCTGCTCAGCCCCCTGCAATGGAGGCATCCAGATACGTGGACGCAGCTGCTCTGGCTCAGCTCCTGGAAATCCCGCATGTCAGGGACCCCACAGCCAGACCAGGGACTGCAACACACAGCCCTGCACAGGTAGATTCCTCCCCATCCTCTAGCTGGCCACGCTGCTGGGATTAGGATCGTCTCCCCACCCTCACCGTCTCATATCACTGAACTCTTTCTTCAGGATGAGGTGCCTTGAGCCAGGGAGACTACGGGATGTCCACTGTCCCCTCCAGTCCCCTCCCTCCCCCACCTGCTGGGGACCAGGTTCCTGCAGGCTTCTTGCTCCTTCCTGCTAGGGACGGGGCTCCTCCCCTGGAAGTGGCCTAGGAGGGCAGGCTCCTCCAGGAAGTCAGACCAGCCTGCCACTCCCAGGCAGATTGCAGGGAGCAAGGCTAGCCCCTGGACTCCTCGGCCCCCTTCCTCACTCTCCCCGGCTCTTTGAGTCCTCCTCCTGGCAGACACCATTGTCTTCATGTTCTACTCTCAAGAATATTTGTATAAAGTGAAGCAAAGCTGTGACTGTACTGGTGACATTCCAGGCACTGGAACAAGCCAGTGAGGGCAGGGGGGTAGGGGCTTCATCAGCTCAGTCCTGCCTACCAGGCCAGTCACTGCCTGGGGGTTCCTCTCTCCATTGGCTTCCCCGGCCTTCCCTCTTGCCCCTGCCAGACCTGTTCTGTCTTCCTGTACAGCCCAGTGTCCAGAGGACATGGTGTTCCGCTCAGCAGAGCAGTGTCACCAGGATGGGGGTCCGTGTCCTCAGCTGTGCCTGGCACAGGATTCTGGGGTGGAGTGCACAGGCTTCTGCACCCCCAGCTGCACCTGCCCACCTGGTCTCTTCCTGCACAACGCTAGCTGCCTGCCCCGCAGCCAGTGCCCCTGCCAGCTGCACGGGAAGCTCTATGCACCAGGAGCAGTGGCTCGCCTGGACTCCTGCAACAATTGGTAGGCCACCGGGCAGGGGGTACAGTCAGGCTGGAGAAGGGGTGGAGAGGAGGGGTGGGTACGGGCTCCTGAGGTAGGCAGGGAGATAGGAATGGATTCACACACACACACACACACACACACACACACACGGGCTCATCATGCCTCCATTCCCAAACATGTCCCAGCCATAGGTGCCTGGCACAGGCCCTGTGAAGACTAGTGAATGAGATGCTGCCTAGCCACGCACTGCCTCTGCAGGGAATGCTCATCCCCATTTGACACATGGGAAGACTGGCTCTCAGACAGGCACAGCAGTGATGGTGGAACTAGAGACTGGAGAGGACCTTCTAACCTCCAAGCTTCCTGTCTCTCTTCCTGACTGTAATTCTCTTCCTGGGATCCACTGGATACCTGCTCAGAATGTAGAAGTGCCCAGTACTCAGAGCTAAACCAGATTCTGCCAGCAGATGGCGCTCTGACCCATTTCTCTTCCCACTGCTTTTCCTTTCTCATTTCATTTTCTCCATCCTTCATTTTCTCCTCCCTTTTCCCCTTCCGTCCTCTGCCCCCTCTTTCAATTCCCTCCTTTGTTTTTCCTCCTTCCCACTCCCTTTTCTCTTTTTCTGGACAAATGGATTGACAGTAGTTGACAATGGACTTTAAAACCTGCGTTTTAGCCCAGCGCAGTGGTGCACACCTGTAATCTCAGCAACTAGGGAGGTCAAGACAGGAGGATCACAAGTTTGAGGACAGCCTCAACAACTTAGTGAAACCCTGTCTCAAAATTAAATATATAAAACGTTTGAGAATATAGCTCAGTGCACTTGGGTGAAGTGCACTTGGGTTACAATCCCCAGTACCAAATTTGGAAAAAAAAAAAATGCATTGGAGAAAAGTATCCAGTTCTCCTTCCTAGGAGAACTCTCTTTCTGAGTTGCTCCTACGTCACACATTACTGAAGGCCATTTCCAAATGGTATTTAGTAAATGTAGATGGAATAAAAAGTACAAAAAGGTGTCTCCTGATGAAATGACGTGACAAAGGGACAGCACAGTACCTGGGGCATCCCACAGCCCACTGAGGCTGGATTTGAGTGGGGGGACCACTGCATGAGAACCTGGAGTCACATCTGAACTTCTCATGGGGGACCTGGTGGCCCAGCTTCCTCCTGGGGCAGGTGCGCAATGCTCCAAGGGCAGTGGCTGATTATGGTCAGGATGGGCAAGGTTGGGTCTCACTGGTCCCTCTCTCTGCAGCACCTGTATCTCTGGAGAGATGGCGTGCACCTCAGAGCTCTGTCCAGGTACCCACATACAGTGATGGGTACTCAGGGGTCCCTGGGGGCAATGTCTCGGGGAAGTCAAGGTGCAATATGGCTTGGCCTGGTTTCACACAAACGACCCCCTCACCCTGACAGTGGCTTGTGGCTGGAGTCCTTGGACCCCGTGGAGTCTCTGCAGCCGCAGCTGTGATGTAGGCATACGACGGCGCTTCCGGGCAGGCACTGCACCCCCCGCTGCCTTTGGGGGTGCTGAGTGCCAGGGCCCCAACATGGAGGCTGAATTCTGCAGCCTGCGGCCATGTCGAAGTGAGAATGGGAACTTACATCCTGAGACCTCCTTAAATAACCTTCCATAGAGAAGCCAATACTTGCACCATCCCCAAGGGCCCCTGAGAGATGCAGGGGATTTCCTTGGGGATGCCATTAAGAGGTGGTCCCCAGAAGATACCCTCCCTGGATTCAGCCCCCTCCCTCCCCAGAGGCATAGGCTTCCTGAGACCAGAGACAGCTGCTGGTGAAGTGGCTTCAGGGTTGAGAAGGGAGGGGTGTCCTTGGGTGGGAGGAGGAGGTGCACTGGGCATGGGAGGCAGGGCCTCCAATGACCTGGGTGCCACCCCCAGGTCCTGGTGGGGAATGGGGTCCCTGGGCTTCCTGCTCCGTGCCCTGTGGTGGTGGCTACAGAAATCGCACCCGAGGCAGTGGCCCACAAGTCCTCATGGTGTTCTCTACCTGCAACCTGCAGCCCTGTGCAGGTGAGGAGCTGCCCTGGGGACCCTCCATTTCTTGTTCCCACCAACTCAGGACACTGTCAGTCCCATCCGCTGCAGTCCTATCCCTTGGCCCTGTGCAGCCTCCATGACAACCCAGCCATACAGAGAGCCCTCCCAGTGCCCCTCCCAGGTTGGGAGCCCAGGCAAGATGAAGTGCTCCCGGCTGAGCTGTCAATTTCTGTGTCTCCAGGGCCAGTCCCTGGTGTGTGTCCCAGGGGTCAGCTGTGGCTGGATTGTGCCCAGGGCCCTGCCTCCTGTGCAGAACTCAGTGCTCCGAGAGAGACCAAGCAGACCTGCCACCCTGGCTGCTACTGCCCACACGGGATGCACCTGCTGGTGGGTACCCCCTGCCTGGTCACAACTGGGACCTCCTTGGGGCCTGGGAACTCTGGGATAACAAGCAAGGGACAGTCAAAATCTGGGCAGGGGCAGAGCCAGAGGTATGGGACTGCAGACAGGGAGATCAATCCTGCAGAGATGAGGAAAGAGCACTGAGTCCATGACTTAGCTCTGGCCTGAACCAGCAGGTGGCCCTGAGTGAGTGTCGGCCACCTCTCCCTGGACCTCTCTTCTCTCATTTGTAAAGTGGTTGATAGGTCTGGAAGGGCAGGGAACGGGAGCTGGGAGAAGCCATTGGGTGTGGAGGGTTTGAACAAAGGATTCCCAGTCACTGCCAAACTGTGGGTTAGGGTAAGGGACAGGTTCTGTGTGGCTCTGAGTCCAAATCAGTTTCTTCTGCCAGTAGCTTTGTGAGCTCAGGCAGAGTATTCTCATGCCTCAGTGCCCTCCAGAGTGAGCACGATGAAGAGTGCCTCTCAGGCCAGACCCATGAACCTCCCACGCTGGACTTTGAATCATGCACTACTAGATGAATGTTCCTGTTAAATTTGAGCCACTTCTGTCCAAACTCCATACATATGTTATTTTTTCGTTGTTGTTTTTGTTGGTAAAATTTTTTTTTACACCATTGCTGTACATATTGCACATTTTATATTTTCATAGCCGATTTCAAGGGCATATGATGGTCCCATAACAGTCTTTTTCTTCCAGAAGTTGGGAGAGGGGTTCATGTGCCATCCCTGGCAGCCCCTGAGGGCCTGTATCTGCCCGACAGGAGGGGCTGGGGGAGAGCTCTTTGCAGAAGGAGCAGGGGTGGCATTTGAGGGGAGCTGAGGAATTGGGTGCTGGCTTTGACCGAAGAGGGGCAGGCTGGAACTGGAGATGACAGAGGGTGTTCCTTTCCAGAACAATGTGTGTGTGCCTGCCCAAGAATGTCCCTGTGCCCACGGGGGGCGCCTCCATCCCCCGGGTAGTGCTGTGCTTCGTCCATGTGAGAACTGGTGAGGCCCCCAGTCCCACAGTGGCTTTCTGTCACCTAAGCACCCAGCTGTCCCTCTTCGGCAGCAGGAAATGTTGGCTTCACGGGCCAGAGACACCTTCCCACTGCACTCACCCACACGGCCATCCAGCCCTGTGGGGCCGAACCGACCTGAATCCCTCCATCCACCCACCCCACCTGTCTTCTCTATTCCCACCTGTGTTAGTTTCTATGGTCACTGTAACAAAGTAGCACACACCTGCATGCACGCACGCATACACACACACACACACACACACACACACACACACGAGGGATAGGGAACAACACTGGTGGTCTCACAGAGCTGGAAGCCAAAGTCCGAGATCTGGGCATCTGGGCACTGGCCTTCTGCAGTGGTGAGCGAGCTGTTCCTGGCTCTCCTCTGGTCGTCTGCTGGCAGGCTGGCTTGTCTCAGCTTGCAGATGGCTGTCCTCTGCCTGTGTCTCTTCCCTCTCTGCATGCCTATGTCCAAATCTCCTCTTCTATAAGGACTAGAGTCACACTGAATTAGGGGCCACTTTAATGTGATTACCTCTGGAAAGACCCATCTTCCAGTAAGGCCACATTCATAGGTACTGGGGGCTGGGCTTGAACAGGGGATCTGGGGGAACACCAGGCAGCCCACAAGCCACCTGACCTTCTGCTGTCCCCTGGCAGCTCCTGCATCTCTGGGCTCATCACCAACTGTACCTCCTGGCCTTGTGAGGAGGGTGAGAAAGGGTCCCCACCTCTTCCCTCGGCAGCAGAGGGCCTGGGCTGAGTCGGCAGGGGTTGTGGGGCCCTCAGGAGAGATGGGGGGCTGCTGCGCATCCATCCTGGTAATTACGCTCCCCTAGCATGCACTGTTCACCTTCTCCTTCCCCAATCCTGTGCACCCCAAGGCCAGCCCGCATGGTCACCCTGGACCCCATGGAGTGTGTGCTCAGCCTCCTGCGGGCCTGCCCGACGCCACCGGCACCGCTTCTGTGACAGGCCCTCTAGCGTGGCACCGTCCACCCTGGCCCTGGGGCCCTCACCAGCCACGCCCACACCCCTCTGCCCAGGCCCGGAGGCTGAGGAGGAGCCGTGCCTCCTGCCAGGGTGTGACCGTGAGTGCCTGCCTGGTGCTGTAGCCAACTCCTCCCCTGCCACCCAGGATGCCCCGTCCTTGTGGACACCTCCCACCACCACCGGGCTCCAACTGCCCTGGTTCTCCGCCAAGCCCTTCCCGATTCCTTCCTCTGATGTCCCCCAGGGGCAGGAGGCTGGGGGCCTTGGGGGCCCTGGTCCAGCTGTAGTCGGAGCTGTGGGGGCGGCCTGCGCAGCCGGACCCGAGCCTGTGACCAACCACCACCTCAAGGGCTGGGGGACTTCTGTGAGGGGCCTCAGGCCCAGGGAGAAGCCTGCCAGGCTCAGCCGTGCCCAGGTACCTGCCAGGGAGGGGGGTACCGGGGAGCAGAAGAGAAGCTGGAGGAAGCAGCCCTGGGAGTGGGACAGGAGGCCCCCACCTGCTCTCAGGCCACTCTGTCTCCCTCCTAGTGACTGACTGCACTGCCATTGAGGGGGCCCAGTACAGCCCTTGCGGCCCTCCCTGCCCCCGCTCCTGTGATGACCTCGTGGTGAGTCTGCGCTCCCTTGACACTCCCAGCTGACCTCTGACCCAAGGGTCACCTTGGGGAGAGGCTGAATGTTGCCTTGGGCTCGTGGCCTCTTCTGACTTGGTGCTATGTGGCCAGCTCTGATGGAGACGGGTGAGGTCCTTCACTTGACAATCAGCACACCAGGCTGGCTCCCCTTGTTCCAGAGAGTGACAGCTGTACCCAGAAGCCCTTGGCTTCAGTGCAGCAAATTAAAACTTGTATCGCAAACATATAGGGAGGGGAAATCACCCGGGTGTATCTTCTTAGATGCCACAAGCGTTTTGGTGGGCAAACCTCATCTCTTGTGTTTGTGCATGTGAGTGAATACTTACTGAGCACCTACCAGTCACCATGGACACCGAAGGAGGCCAACACAGCGGGGCCCTGACCCCATGATCACACATTCTGGGGGTAGGAAGACAGATGCAGCTCGAGATTGGACACCGTGATAAGCACCCTGAAGACTAAGATGGTCTTTGAGGCCCTGACGTGGGGAGCTGTGTGAAGGAGGTCAGGGAAGGTTCCAGATGTGGTGAGGGAGGGGGAGTGCAAGAGGACTTGGACAGAACATTGTTGCTGCAGCAGGCAGGCCTGGCCACAGTGTCCCCAGAGGACACGGCTCTCTCCCAGAAGCCTCCCTGGCTCAGCCAGGTTTCTAGGGTCCCTGCTCCTGAAGTTCTAGGGAGGTCTGGTTGTGCTTCAGTTCCCAGGTCACTGGTCCAGGTCACCGGCTGAACCCACCATCCCAAGACATTGGGGTTTGTCACTGGTAGGACGCCAGGTTCCAGGTCCATTCCCTGGGGAGCCGCCAGGTTCTCCACGTGGCCTTTCTGCCCATTCCCCTTCCGGCCTTTCTTAACAGAGCTCCAAGGCACGAACGGTTAGAAACAGGAGGCCTCTCCACTACGTACGGTCACACCTCTCTCCTCCCCTCCTCATCCTCTCCCTCCAGCCTCCTTCCTAGGGTCCTTCCACTGAGTCCCCCCACCCCTCAGGCCTTATTTTCTGCTGACCAGAATCCTCCCTTGCTGTCCCTCCAGCACTGTGTGTGGCACTGCCAGCCTGGCTGCTACTGTCCCCCAGGCCAGGTGCTGAGTGCTGATGGGACCATTTGTGTGCATCCTGGTCACTGTAGCTGCCTGGACTTGCTGACCGGGGAGCGGCACCGTCCAGGCGCTCAGCTGGCAAGGCCCGACGGCTGCAACCACTGGTGAGCAGGCTGCACCCCTGTGGCAAGGAGGCAGGGATGTCCGCAGGAGTGGCCCCACCTGGCGTCTGAGCACCTGAGCTCCAGAATCTCAGCCAGTGGGCGCCTTAGGCCCCACTGTCCCTGAGAAAATGTGGGCACCATGACTCCTATCTGATAGGTGGGGAAACTGAGGCAGCCAGTTCCATGTGTGTGCTGAGGGCTGGGTATACGCCCCCAGGGAGGAGGGGGCTGGTCATTTACTCCTGCTGTCCAGCCTCACCTGCAGCCCATAACCTGTAACCAGCAGCCATTCCCTAGTAGAACATACCAGCTGTGACACCCCTGGGTGGCCATCTGAGTGGCACAGGGAGAAGGCTCTTGGGATACTGGAGAGTGGGAATAGGGGGAGGAGGACAGGGGGAGGATGCCCAGGAGGCTGCATGTGGGGCCTGGGGCGGCACTGAGCTGCTGCCTCTCCCCACCCTGTGCCTGCTTCCCTGACCAGCACCTGCCTGGAGGGGAGGCTCAACTGCTCAGAACTGCCCTGCCCAGGTATGTGCCCAGTTTGGAGGGAGGGGATGGTGGCCTGAGGGCTGGGGAAGGGATCAACTACACCCAGTGCCTGCCATTCTCCTCTCAGTGCCTGGAGGCTGGTGCCCGTGGTCAGAGTGGACGGCATGCTTCCAGCCCTGCAGAGGCCAAACAAGGACCCGCTCTAGGGCCTGTGCCTGCCCTGCTCCTCAGCATGGGGGTGCCCTGTGCCCTGGAGAGATGGGAGCCCAGCATCAGAGGGAGACCTGTCCCAGCTCCACCACGTGCCCAGGTGTGGTGCCACCACAAGACCTGTGTCTCCTCACCCCTGGAGGCTACAACCTCCCTAACCTGGGGCCTCCTGGGCCTCCTGAGGTGACGATTGTTTCTTCCTGGTACAGTGGATGGAGCCTGGAGCCCATGGGGACCATGGTCTCCCTGTGACGCATGTCTAGGACAATCCCATAGGAGCAGGGAGTGCAGCCAGCCCCCCATCTCTGAGGGTGGCAGGCCTTGCCCTGGCGTCCACTGGCAGAGCCGCCCCTGTCACGACAATTCCACTCAGTGCGCAGGTGAGGGCTCCAGCGGGGCTGGGAGAGCCCGTCTTTCTAGGGAGACGCTGACCCCAAGTGCCCCACACAGCACTCGGGTAGGGAGGGCACTCAAGCCACTCACAGTCCTGGCCAAGGTGGCCAGTCTGAGCAGATGGCAGGTGTGGCAGGAGACTCTTGTCACCCAGAATGGTCCCTCAGCATCCACCCTCTCTGCTTCCCTCTTGCCCTAGATTGTGGGGGTGGCCAGAGTCTGCTGCCCTGTGGGCAGCCCTGCCCCCGCTCCTGCCAAGACCTGTCCCCTGGGAGTGTGTGCCAGCCAGGCCCAGGAGGCTGCCAGCCCAGCTGTGGGTGTCCCCCAGGCCAGCTCTCCCAGGATGGGCTCTGTGTGCTTCCAGTCCACTGCCGCTGCCAGTACCAGCCGGGAGCCATGGGTCAGTGCCTCCCCCCCTCACCCAGCAGCCCACTATCCCCTGCCTGGCCCCTGGGCCTCTGCCAATGGGGCCAACCTGAGGCTGCAGGAGGGGAAGGGGAAGGCCCCGCATCTCAGCTGTCCTGTCTCCTTGCTGAAGGACATGGGCACCGTGGGGTGGGGTGCAGGAAGGCAGGGATGTGAGGTGGGGATCAATGGGGAGCGCTGAGCTGTCTGGAACCCCCATGCTCACTCCTGCGCCCTTCAGGGATCCCCGAGAATCAGAGCCGGTCAGCAGGCTCTGGCCTCAGCTCCTGGGAGCGTCTGGAACCTGGAGAGATGGTAACGGGGCCGTGTGACAACTGGTAAGGGGCTGTGGAGCCGAGCAGCCATGCCCACAGGGGAGTGGGCGAGGCCCATCCCTGAAGCCCTCTCCCTTGTCCCCAGCACCTGTGTGGCGGGCATCCTGCAGTGCTCGGAGGTACCCAGCTGCCCTGGGGCTGGTGTGTGGGGCCCCTGGGGCCCCTGGGAGGACTGCAGTGTTTCCTGTGGAGGAGGGGAGCAGCTGCGCTCCCGGCACTGTGCCCGACCCCCCTGCCCAGGACTGGCCCGGCAGAGCCGCACCTGCCAGACCCAGGTCTGCAGAGGTGAGCCCCCCCTGGCCTAGGCCCTGAAGTCCCCACTGAGCTTTGAGTCCCATCATGGCTCGACCCTGACTCATGGGCGCCTTTTGACCCCTCCTCCCCTCACTCCACCTGCCTCTTCCCTGGCCATTAGTGAAGGGGAGGCAGTGAGGCCGTGGGGAGCCTGTGGGAAAGCGTGTTGTGGGGATGGGGATCCCGGGGGTGGAAAGCAGGCCACAGGAAGTGTGGGTGAGAGGTCAGCAGGAAGAACACTGGGCCGAGCTGGGCACTGACAGGGGTGTTGCCTCAGAGGCAGGGTGCCCAGCTGGACGTCTGTACCGCGAATGCCTGCCCAATGGAGGATGCCCCTTCTCCTGTGCCCACGTCACAGGGCAGGTGGCCTGCTTCTCTGATGGCTGTGAGGAGGGATGCCACTGTCCTGAGGGTACCTTCCAGCACGGCTTGGCCTGTGTCCAGGTCAGAACTCAGCTGGCCAGGGCCACCGGCTGCCTTCCCCTGCCCCTCCCTGGCAGCTCACCACTCCAGCGGACTCGGTGGCCTCTGGACAGATGACCCCTTCCTCACTTGGCCCTAAGCAGTACACTAGCCTGTAGGGCTGTTAGGGACTCTGCTGCCAGCATCAGGGCAGAGTTGGTGGAGCCGGTGCAATGTCCAGGGTGACTCTCATTCTGGGGAAAGGGGACCACCTGGGGCCCACAGCTGGTGCCTGGGCTTGTGCTCCTCACAGCACTTCTCCTAGCCCCTAGCACCAGCTCAGAGCCACCCACAGGGCTCTAATGCCATACACTCAGGCGCCGCAGTGTGTCCCTTTAGCTACAACACCCACCCCTCCTGGCACCAAAGGGCAGGGCCTCCTCCAGGGCCCTGTGGCTCCCCCACACCATCCCTCCACACCCCCTGGCCCAACCTCACCCATGTCTTCCACCACAGGAACATGGTCTCAACGCCCCTCCTTTCCCTGGCCCACCCTGGTGGGGAATTACCCCTCACCTTTGCTCTCCCTGCCCCCCCCATGCCTCTCTGCCCCTCTGCTGAGTCCAGCAGGGGCCAGGGGCTTCCTTTCCCAATCTCAGTGGCATCCCCACAGTCAGTTCCAGGATGCCATGGCCAGAAGGGGCCTGTGCAGCTGCCTCGTCCCACCTCATTGACTTAAAGATGATGTCACTGAGCCCAGAGAGGGGAAGGGACATACCAAGGTCATGCACCCAAACTCAGTCACCCTGATCCCTCCGATTCCTGTCTGAGGCTCCCTCTGCCTCCATATCCTGTCACCTCAGGGCCTGCTTGTGTCCTGCTGAGCACCCTACTCAGGAAGGTGGCTGATCCCTTAGGCCAAGCCCATGGCCTGTGTATTTCTCATGGTGTGTTTATGCCCCTGACCCAGGTCCCCTGTCCCTCTGGCATCCACTAGTGCCCTCCTGGGACCCAGAGCCCTCTAGGTCCTTACACTGCTATTCCTTCTTCTCCCTTAAGAAGGCTCCCTTAAGGTGCCCCGTGAGCAGTTGTCCTGGGTGACTGCTGTCCCCTCTGTCCCACCCAGGAGTGCCCCTGCATGCTGACAGCCTTGCTGCTTCGGGAGCTGGGAGCCAGCAGCACTGATGCTGGGGTGCACGCAGCCTCTCTGGGAGAGGAGGGTCAGCCCCTCAGGCCCGGAGATGAGCTGAGTCCAGGCCAAATGTTTCGAATGGGCTGCAGCAACTGGTGAGGGGGATGCCGAGGGCGGGACTGTGCTGGGGTGTGTGGGGAAACTTGGGGCCAAAGAAGGATGAGAGCCCAGGGAATTCCTCTCTGTCCCCTGCCCCCACCTGGCTGACTTCAAGACTCTGACCCACACTTCTCCCAGTCCACCCTACCCTGTCCCTTACGTGGGTCGCCTCTCCCCAGCTCCTGTGCCCATGGGAAGCTGTCTTGCTCCATAGAGGACTGCCCCGAGGCCCCCAGCTTCAGCCCGTGGGACCCGTGGGGCCCCTGCTCCCGCTCCTGTGGCGGACTGGGCACCCGCACACGCAGCCGCCAGTGTGTGCACCCCGCACCTGCTACTGGTGGCCAGGGCTGCCAAGGGCCCCGCCAGGACCTCGAGTACTGCCTCAGCCAGGACTGCCCTGGTAAGGAAGCCAAGGGGGGCTTCTGGAGGAGAAGGGTTTTGAGAGAGAAAAAGCGTTCTGATGGGCACTGGAAAGGAACAGTGGCCTGAACAGAGGCCTTGGCGCCCTGAGAGGGTGTGAGCTCGGGGCTGGGTGTCCAGGGCCTTCAGTCACCACGAGGGAAGGTAAAGCAGGCCTGGCGCTGAGCACCCGCCTCGGGCTGGGGCCTGGCGCACTGCAGGCTCCAAAACATTTCTGAGCAGGGTCTCCTTTGACACAGGGGCTGAAGGGTCCACGGCAGAGCCAGTGACGGGCCTTCCAGGTACCTCAGACTCCCTACAGCTCCCCATGTGGCCTCCCTGGGGCCTGCCAGGGCCTCCCCCCATCCCATCACGACTTCTGGAGAGACCGAGCCCAGGGCTGACTTAGCAGGAGGTTCCCTCCCCACAGGTGGCTGGGGCCCCTGGGCTCCGTGGTCCCCCTGCTCCCGCAGCTGCACGGACCCCACTCACCCCGCATGGCGCAGTCGGACCCGCCTCTGCCTGACCAACTGCACTGTGGGGCGCCCCTCCCAGGAGCGCCCCTGCAACCTGCCCTCGTGCACAGGTGCGCCGTCCAGCCTCAACCTCGGACTCTAACTGCTGCCCCTCTCCTAACACAGCCAGTGTCCAGTCCCCCCATCCCCAATATCTGATACCACTCAGACAACACCAATTTCTGACACTGATGTCTCATGTCACATCAGTGTCTGGAACAGGACCACTGGTCCTCTGCAGGAGCCCTGCTGTCTGCCCGGTGCTCACTCATGTATGTGCTGAGCACTCTCCACAAGACCACCCAGTCCCTCAGTAGCCCTGTGAGTGGGGGATTACTGTCCCCATGAGAAAAGAGTCATCAAGGCTCAGCTGCTGAAGCCACACAACCATCAGCACCAGATCCAGAACAGAAGCCCTTGGTCCGGATGAGGTCACAGCTGGCTGCACTGGAGGAAGTCCGCACTTGAGCAGGGGCCAGGGAGGAAAGGCGGGGCAGGCTTTGCTGGCTCCAGCTTCACTTTGTTCTGCAGAGTTGCAGCCCCTGTGCTCGGGCCCTGGCTGTGGGCCTGGGAACTGTTCCTGGACCTCCTGGGGCCCATGGGAACCGTGCTCGCGCAGCTGCGGGGTGGGCCAACAGCGCCGCCTACGAGCATACCGTCCCCCAGGGCCGGGTGGACACTGGTGCCCCGACATCCTCACTGCTTACCAGGAGCGTCGCTTCTGCAGCCTGCGAGCTTGCCCAGGTGAGGCGGCACACACGATCAGGGCACACCCATCCCACACCCCTCCCCAGACCTTCCCATAAGAGGCCTGGCATCCTGCTTCCTCCGAGGTGCCCAGCTTGCCCGACGTGCCACATCCGTCTCCCATGTCCGACCCAGGCTTAGCCTCATGGAATGTGTGGGGACCTGCCTGAGCCAACCCCTGACGGAGCTCTCTTTCCAACACAGTGCCTGGGGGCTGGTCGCGCTGGAGCCCCTGGTCCTGGTGTGACCGGAGCTGTGGTGGGGGCCAATCCCTGAGGAGCCGAAGCTGCTCGAGCCCCCCACCCAAGAATGGGGGTGCCCCCTGTGTGGGGGAGAAGCACCAGGCCCGACTCTGCAATCCCATGCCCTGTGGTATAGCAGTGGTGGCAGCCGCTTCTCATCCCTACTGGGCTTCAGTCTCTAAAGCATGTCCACCCCCACTTCTAACTCCATCCCCACAACACCCACAGGACCCATGGGATAGTGGGGGGCAGGCTGATACCTCACTGGCCAGTTAAGAAAACAGAGATCCAGAGATGAGTAGCTTGACCTGAGCACGGGGCAGGAACGCCCTGTGTGTACCTGGGCACAGCGTGGCCCAGGATGAGCCACCAGGACACACCCTGAGCACCCACCCACCCTGGGTAGAACTTACTCCCAGCTTTCCCCACTCTCCTGGGGAACCCCCAAGCTCAGACAAGATTTTCAGAGGATTTGAGGGTGAGCCGGTAGAAGCATGCTTGGTCCTCCTGGGGTGTGGCGGAGCCTGCAGCTGAGCCCTGTCCCCGAGCCCGCCCCACTTCAGCTCCTTTCATCGCTCCCCCCCAGCTCACGACCCCAACAGGCCTTGGCTACTTGGTCCCTTCCTCCTCCATTAGGAAACCCCCAGCCCACACTGCACACAGCCAGGCCCCTGGGAACAAGCCCAACGGAGCCTCAAGGTAGCTCTGAGATGCATAAATTCAGTCCCACTCAATGAACACTTCGTGCCCAGCTAGGTGCTGAGAACACCCCAGTGGGTAAGGGGAGCTCACTGTCCCAAGGTCACCATGCACCTATGGACACCAACATCAAAGAGAGGATGGGCCCTCTAGCCTCTAGAGATACGGGGGTCCTGGACAGGCAAGGGGAGGGGTCCTGAGCCCTGATGCTCAGGGTCCTCTTGACACTTGGCCTCCCCCTCCACCCAGAGGAGGGCTGCCCAGCAGGCATGGAGCTGGTCAGCTGTGCCAACCGCTGTCCTCGACGCTGCTCAGACCTGCAGGAGGGAGTCCTGTGTCAGGATGGCCAGGCCTGCCAGTGGGGCTGCCGCTGTGCTGAGGGTACATCCAGGTGTTCAGTGGGAAGGCAGGAGGGCCCCAGGGGCCAGCACCAGCCCTCAAGAGCCATCTCCCCCACAGGGTCCCTAGAGCAGGACAGCAGCTGTGTGCCAGTTGGGCACTGTGAGTGTACAGATGCCCAGGGCCACAGCTGGGCCCCAGGGAGCCAGCACCAAGATGCCTGTAACAACTGCTCCTGCCAGGCCGGGCAGCTGTCCTGCACAGCTCAGCCGTGCCCACCTCCTGCCCACTGTGCCTGGAGCCGCTGGTCAGCCTGGAGTCCCTGCAGCCACTCATGTGGGCCAAGAGGACTGCAGAGTCGCTTTCGGTAGAGGGCCACCAAGACTAGACATCCCCTGTCCTGCTCGGGTCTCCCTTGGCCTGGTCCCCTCTCTGATATGCCATTCCTGGGTCCTGTTCTCATCCCATGTCCTGGTCCACCTGTGTCCTGGTTACCCAAGCCTTTCTCTAGCCTCCCTTGTGCCCACCCTGGAGTTTTCCCTGGGGTATCACCCCAAGGCCTGAAGGGGAAGTGAAGGCCAGAGCTGTTGCTCATCTCTTCCACCCTGGGCCCTGCCAGATCGTCCACATCAGGCTCGTGGGCCCCGGAGTGTCAAGAGGAGAAGTCCCAGAGCCAGCCCTGCCCTCAGCCTCCGTGCCCACCCCTGTGCCTCCATGACGGCCGTCCCCGCACCCTGGGGGACAGCTGGCTACAGGGAGAGTGCCAGCAGTGGTAAGTTCAAGGCAGGAAGGGTGACCCTACTGTCCTGGAGAGCGGTACCCTAAGCATGGACTCCTTCCTCAGCTCCTGTACTCCGGAGGGCATAATCTGTGAAGACACCAAGTGTCCAGGTCTGGGGTTCATCCCAGGGGGCTGGGGCCCCTGGTCGCCATGGTTCCCCTGTTCCCGCAGCTACACTCACCCTGCGTGGCACCCACCTCAGCCCTTCCTACTAGCCTCATGTCTCTCAGGCCGCCCACTCTGTGTCCTGTGTTCCTACCCCTGCCACCCAACTGCTGCCCTGGTCATGATGGTCCCTCCCACCCTCTGATCTTTGCTGCCCACCTCACTCCTCTAACTACCTATGCCCTCCCACACTGACAGGGAGCTGGACGCTGTGGTCCCTGTGGTCCGACTGCCCTGTCTCTTGTGGAGGTGGAAACCAGGTGCGCACCCGGGCATGCATGGTGCCGGACCCTCACCACAGGGAGCCGCTCTGCCAGGGCCCTGACACCCAGACCCAGCCCTGTGGGCAGCAGCCATGCCAGCCGCTGCTGGAGGCCTGCTCCTGGGGCCCATGGGGCCCCTGTTCGCGCAGCTGTGGCTCAGGCCTGGCCTCCCGCTCCGGGTCCTGCCCCTGCCTGCCGGCAGAGGCAGAGCCCACGTGCAACGGCACTTTCCCACACCTGGACACCCAGGCCTGCTACGCGGGGCCCTGCCTGGGTGAGTATGGCGAGGAAGTGGAGCCCTGTCCTCTGCTCCCACCTGGGGAAATTCAGGGAATAACGTGTTGTCCCCGCCCCCAGCACCCCCAATATATACCTATATCCATCCCCCCAACATTTGGCTGGTTTCTTTCCTCTTCCCTTCAAGCCCTTTGCTACCTGACCTCCTCCCCAGGGAGACAGAGTCCACCCAGTGGGACCTTTCTACCCCTTGGTTCCCTCTTGCCCGTGTCCTCTGCAGGGTCTCAGCCAGGGGAGGGCGAGAGGGGAGGATGCAGGGCAGGGGCTGGGGGAGCCAGAGAGGTGCCTGCTGATGTCCCCCCACCACCCCCTGTCCCTAGAGGAATGCCTGTGGAGTGGCTGGAGCAGCTGGACGCGCTGCTCATGCCAGGTGCTGGTGCAGCAGCGCTACCGGCACCAGGGCCCAGCACCTGGCCGCATGGCAGAGGGCCCCCCCTGCACCCGCCTGGATGGCCACTTCCGGCCATGCCCGACTGGCAGCTGCTCAGGTGAGGCCCAGGAGCCAGAAGGCAGGTTGCTGACCAGGAGCAGCAGTGGCTCCTATCACAAACCCTGGGCCCCCTAGACCCCAGGACAGTTTCCTATGCCTGCACTGACCCCTGCCCCGGTGCCTGTTTACTGTCCCCGCCAGCTACACTTGCCCCACAGGCACACACCAAGATTTCCCCAGTCCATAGCTACTGGTCTCATGTGGCTTTGTCCCATGTAGCTGTCCCAGTGACAATGTGTCTCTCAGCTCCCATTGAAGCTGCCCTCCATCTTGTCCCTGCCAGTCCCTGGAGCACCCACCAGGCCCAACCCTCAGCTCCCTCCTCTGTACCATTACCTGGCTCCCTGAGGTCCAGACCATACTGATCCTCCCCTGGGGGGACACAGGAGCCCAGCAGGTTCCAGGTGGGGGACACAGCAGGGGCAGTCTTATACTCTCACCAGGTGACCCCAGGAGCCTCCCTGGGATCACGCAGTATGTGCTGGGGTGTGGGAGAGGGTGTCTCTGGGCTGCTGCCCCAACAGCCTGCCTCCCCCCAGAGGACAGCTGCACACCTCCCTTTGAGTTCCAGGCCTGTGGCTCCCCCTGCACCGGGCTCTGTGCCACACACCTGAGCCGACAGCTCTGCCAGGACCTACCACCTTGCCAGCCTGGCTGCTACTGCCCCAAGGTGAGGGCTGGGAGCTGGGGACACCCCAAGAAGAAGAGTGTCCTCTCTTTGTGATGCCCTGGGGGACCCCCACCTCTTCCAAACCCTCAAAACCTCTTCCCAGCTGTGTTCATTCCCACATTCATTCTCTTAGTGACCGCATGGGCACCTGCTGCCGGTCAGCATGGTGCTGGGCATTCGGGTGACACAGTGATCCCCACATAGCCCTGTCATGTCTCTCCTTCCACACAGGGGCTGCTGGAGCAGGCTGGGGCCTGCATTCCCCCCGAGCAATGTAACTGCTGGCACATCTCAGAAGAGGGAGCTGAGGTGACACTGGCCCCTGGGGACCACCTGCAGCTGGGGTGTAAGGAATGGTGAGTGATGGGGTGATGAGAGGCAGAAGGCTAAGGCCAGGGAGTAGAGCAGGGTCCCCCCAAGAGGCAGCCTGGCCTAGCAAAGAAGGCCAAGCTAAGCCCTCAGGTCTAACCCAGCCTGCGGGCAGGTGGCCCTAAGGTTCCAGACTTTACAGCTCCCTCATCTTGCCCCAAATACACCCAGAGCTCAGGCTATCCCCAAAGGAACCCTCCAACACACACAGCTCTGGGCTGGGTCCTGCCTGCCAGAGCCCACTCTGATGTCGCCTTCCCACAGCGAATGCTGGCACGGAGAACTGCGCTGCACCAGCTGGGGCTGTGAAGGTAACCCTGGCCTGGGGAGACAACTGTCCCCATTTGCCCAGGGTGGGGTTTCCAGGAACTTTCAGTGCTAAAACTGGGATAATCCCAGATAAAGGGGACCCTTCCCTGCCCCTAACCTCCTTCAGTCTTTCCTATTTCCTGTTCTTCCTAATCATAACCCTGAGCACCCTCCCTGCCCACTGGGGTCTCTGGGTTAAGGGGTCCCTGGGAAGTGCACAAACATCCTGCCCTTCCAGGGCTCCTGCCTCTGAGCAGCTGGTCCGAATGGTCACCCTGTGGGCCCTGCCTGCCCCGAAGTGCCCTGACCCGTACGTCCAGGACTACCCTGGAGGAGCACTGGCCTCCGAACACAACAGGCCTCTGGCCACCCTCGACATCCCTGCTGGTTTCGGAGCAGCACCGCCACCGCCTGTGTTTGGACCCTGAGACAGGGAGGCCCTGGGCTGGGGACCCTCAGCTCTGCACTGCACCCCTTAACCAGCAACGCCTCTGCCCTGACCCCGAAGCCTGTCAAGGTAGTGAGAAGGGGCAGAGGCCAACAGGAAGGAACAGGCCTGGAATGGCATAAGGGGATGGGAAGCTGGGCCACAAGTTCATTCTAGTGGACAGGAGTTAGCCAACCTGCTAGCCCTCCTGCTTGCCTCTGGGGCCTGCTGGATTCGAGGCTGGGGTAAGGTCCAAGCAGCAGCTGGAAAAAGGGAGCCTGGCAGGGCTTCAGGACATGTTTGCAGAGGTCAAGTCCACAGTCTAAGGCAGGGAAGGAGGTGGGGTCAATACACTGACCTACAGTTTCTTTCCCAGACTCATGCCAGTGGAACCCTTGGGGACCCTGGAGCCCCTGCCAGGTGCCCTGCAGTGGAGGCTTCCAAATGCGCTGGAGAGAGGCAGGGGGCCTCCCTGGAGGAGCCTGCCGTGGGCCATGGGCTCAGACCCAGAGCTGCAATATGGGGCCCTGCCCAGGTAATGCCATCTCAGCATCCAAAGGGTTGCCAGGACTGCATTCAGAAATAACACTGCACAGGGTTGGTGCCTCTGTCCTGGAGTTGGACAGGACAAGTGGGGCCACTGCCCTGGATGCCAAGAGTGTCCCCAACACAGATTCCTACCTTTTGGGCCCCAGGAAAAAGCTGTGAGGCTAAGGACACTGTGCCCACCCTTGAATGTGCCAATCAATGCCCTCGAAGCTGCATGGACCTCTGGGAGCGTGTGCAATGTCTGCAGGGACCCTGCAGTCCAGGTAGCCAGCTGTGCTCAGCCTGGCTTGGGAATTCTGGGGATGCCTGGTTCCCTTTCACTACCTCCTGCTTCCAGAAAGTGTGAGACCTGGGTCGAAGATCGAGTGGGCTGTGGGGTGGGGGGTAAGATCAGACTGCCAGGTCATCATAGAGTACAAAAGTGGGTCCTTACTTGTAGTAACCAGCTCTGAGTCCTGCACAAAGGCTTTATCAAGCCCTGCTTTTATGAGGAGGCTCACAGGTGCTATAAGGGTGACAGGATGGTGATCACATACACAGGGCAGGCTAGAGTAGTGTCTCCTGTGCAGCAGTGGGAGAGATTGTGCAGACCCATATTTGCACCAGGTGTGGCTGCTGGAGGGACCCACCATGTAAGCCTTGCCTGAGCACCAAATCTTCTTTGTCCTCCCCACTTCTACCTTTAGGCTGCCGCTGTCCTCCTGGCCAGCTGGTGCAGGATGGGCACTGTGTGCCCATCTCCTCTTGCCGCTGTGGCCTTCCCAGTGCCAATGCCTCTTGGGAGCTGGCCCCAGCCCAGGTGGTGCAACTGGACTGCCACAACTGGTGAGCTGCCATAGTGATGCCCTGGCGTAGGAGATGTGGGGCAGGTCAGGGCTGTGGACCCTGCAGAGGAGTGAGGTTTTGTTCCCCCTGCTTTGTCCCTTGTCTATAGCACCTGCATCAATGGGTCTTTAGTGTGCCCACACCTTGAGTGTCCAACCTTGGGGCCTTGGTCAGCCTGGAGCAAGTGCTCAGTTGCCTGTGGTGGGGGCACCATGGACCGTCATCGGAGCTGCAAGGAACATCCTCAGGGGGCACTATGCCAGGCCCAAGACATGAAACAACAGCAAGACTGTAACCTGCAGCCCTGCCCTGGTGAGCACCCTGGGCCCAGGGGCCTGCCATCCCTCCCTCCGTCCCTCCATCACTGCTGGATCCAGGCCCTGACCTACCTGAGTGGAGGCGGAGGTTGGGAAGTCCCATCAGCCTCATCCTGGGACACTCCCACTTCCCCACAGAGTGCCCCTCAGGCCAGGTGTTCAGTGCCTGTGCTGCATCATGCCCAAGCCTCTGCTCACACCTGCAGCCTGGCACCATCTGTACGCAGGAACCCTGCCAACCGGGCTGTGGCTGCCCCAGGGGACAGGTGGGTACGGCTGCTGGGTCCTGACTCCTGCCTGGGGAAGCGGGCAGGTTGGGAGGTAAGAGGCAGTGTCCACATTCAAGCAAGCCTGCCCTCCTCAGCTGCTGCACAATGGCACGTGCGTGCCCCCTGCTGCCTGTCCCTGCACTCAGCTCTTGCTGCCCTGGGGCCTCACCCTGACTCTTGAAGAGCAGGCTCAGGAGCTGCCTCCGGGGGCTATGCTTACCAGAAACTGCACCCGCTGGTGAGCCCAGAGACTTGGAGTGGGGAGCCGGGTGAGGACGGGGTTGCTGAGAGGGCGGAGGGAGGATTGTGCAAAAGGCTCTGAGCTGTGCTTCTGTCCTCCCAGTACCTGCCAAGATGGAGCCTTCAGCTGCTCCCTCATCGACTGTCAGGGTGAGATGTGGCTGTCCATGCCCCTCAACGCCAAGGCTGGCCGGCCTGAGCAGGGGTGAAGCTAAGCTAGCTCCTCAGGAAGCCCCTTCCCTCTCTGTCCCCACTGCCCCCTCCCTGCCCTGAGGCCCAGCAGTCCCTGCCCAGGACTCCTAGGCACTGTCACACCGCCCCACCTGTAGGGTGTTCACCAAGAACATGTGCACACTGAGCCAGGGCCACCGGTGAGGCCAGGTTCTCTGTGGAAGGTTCTGTCCTGCTGTTGAGGACATTGAGGCCCAGAGCGGTAAGCAAAACAATCCACAGATCTCGATGGATTCAGAGGAAGACACGGCCAGCCCCAGGCACTCCCAGCCTGGCTGGCAAGAGGGGGCCACCACCAGAACAGGTAGAGACAGGAGATCACGCCTGGGGCACTGACAAGCAGGCAGTGTCACAGCATGTGAACTTGGTGCCAGAACACAGAGGTCAGGGTGGCAGGATGGCCAGGGGGTGAGAACTGGCCTGGGCCCAGCTATTTGGGTGGGTGGGTGGGTGCAGGTGGCTAGAGCTGAGGAGAAGCACTTAGGAAGAAGAGGGGTCTGAGGGCTGCCCAGCAGGGCAGGGGATTGAGGCTGGGCCCAGGGCTGACCAGAGAGTGGGTGGATGGTCTTCTCTACAGAGTGCCCCCCTGGGGAAATGTGGCAGCACGTGGGTCCTGAAGAGCTGGGTCCCTGTGAGTGGACATGCCAGGAGACAAACACCACAGCAGCTCAGGGCAACTGCAGTGCTGTCCAGACCCCGGGATGCATATGCCAGGAAGGGTACTTCCGTAGCCAGGCGGGCCCCTGCGTCCCCGCAGACCAGTGTGAATGCTGGCACCACGGGCATCTCCACCTGGTAAGATGTGTCCCCCTGCCTGACCCCAGGCCGCCCCACCTGCTGAGTATCTGTAACTTCCCTGGCTGCCCTTACTCCCAGGACCTACAGCAGTGGAGCCAGGCTTGGCCATCTCAAGGGACAGAATCTAGCCCTGGGTGGGACCCCTGCTCTGGCCCCTAGGGCTTGTCACTTACCTGAGACTCATCACCCGACTCCAGTCCTAGACCACTGTCCTGGCTGGGTGCTCCCAGGCTGGGTTCAGGCCCAGGATGTTACCATGGAAAACTGGGAGAGACCAAGAGGTGACTTTTCCCCACCCCCCACTCCCAGCTTGGATCTGAATGGCAGGAGGACTGTGAGAGCTGCCGATGCCTCCGCGGGAGGAGCGTCTGCACCCAGCACTGCCCCCTCCTCAACTGTGCTCAGGTACCCCCTGGGCTCTGCAACGCTTCCAGGTGGCTCCTAGGCTCTTCAGGGGTCCTCATCTATGACTGATCTTAGGGTTCTACATAGGCTGTGTGGGGTGTGGGTGATGGGGCCATCCTTCTGACTCACGCAAGGGCCACTCTGCAGGACGAGGTGACTGTGCAGGAGCCAGGGAGCTGCTGTCCCACTTGCCGCAGGGAGACCCTTGGTACGTAGGACCTGGGTATTGGTCCCCAAAGATGCAGCCCCTTAGCCCTCAACCACTTCTGCATCTCCTTTCTCCCCAACTGCCCCTACACCCCAACTTTTTAGCCTGGTGTGTGCCCACCTTGCCCAGGCTGCTCATATAGGGATTAGAGGATGAAGCTCTATAGGGCTGCATCACAGCAGCTGGCCACCCCCACCCCACAGAGTCCCAGGCCCTGTCCCCCACACACCCCCTTCCCAGGATCCCCTTAGTCCTAGCCTCCCCCTCTGCCCTGCTTCCACCTCCTGCCACTTTTACGTGACCCTTCCACACACAGAGGCACAGTCAGCCTCCTGCCGGCATCTCACTGAGCTTCGTAACCTCACCAAGGGCCCCTGCCATCTGGACCAGGTAGAAGTGAGCTACTGCAGTGGGCACTGCCCATCTAGCACCAACGTCATGCCTGAGGTGAGCCAGAGGGTGCTTACAGGCCCGGAGTTCAGGTCAGATGGTGCCCCTGGGGTCCTGTCACCAGGACTTCTACCCTGAGACCATTTCCTCGTGCCTCTGACCACCTGAACGACAAAGGTGCTTTCCAACCTGGTCCCCAAAGATGCGGCCCCTCATCCCTCAACCACTTCTGCACCTCCTAGAGATGCTTTCCCAAATCTCTTTTGGAATTTTAAAAATGTAGTGAAGAAAGTAATTGGGAGATATAATCAAATAATCTTTGTAGTTTTGTAACATGGTATTATGTGAATGTATTACCTGTCTCAAAGGAGAAGAATAAGGCTGGGGATGTGGCTCAGTGGTAGAGCACTTGTCTAGCATGTGCAAGGCCCTGGGTTTGAGCCCGAATACCCCCCCCACACACACACACACACGGAATTATAACTAGTTTACTTGTAAAAAGATCACTATAGCGTTGAAGGGCAAGAAGGGGCCTGTTCTGGAAAGAGAGCTCACTTTATACTGGATCAAAATTGCAGTTAGGGTTTAATTAGGGTTTCAATATTATCAGCCCATCTATCCAACCAGACCCTAAGCCCCTTGTGGGGGGTAGGGGGGGCTGTGTCTTTCCCCTGCTGCTTTCTTTTAACCTGAAGGTTGTTGGTTGTTGACCATTCAGGCTGGCAGAAGTGAAGAGGGCGGTTTCTTGGGAAGTGGGGCTTGCTGGTGACACTTCCCTCCCGGCTTCCCTCCCACTTAGGAGGATTGGGATCAATACTCCCACCTCAGATGGGAAAGGCCAAGGAACGGTTTAGTCCCTCCCCAATTCAACCACCCTGTCTCGCCCAGGAGCCCTACCTGCAGAGCCAGTGTGACTGCTGTAGTTACCGCCTGGACCCCGACAGCCCTGTAAGGATCCTGAACCTGCGCTGTCCAGATGGCCGCACCGAGCCAGTGGTGCTGCCGGTCATCAACAGTTGCCAGTGCAGCGCCTGCCAAGGTGTGTCTGCACCCCACCCACCCCCCCCCACCCCCCGCACCGGATGGGGGCGGGGCTGCAGGGCGCGGTGGGGACCGGGCGGGGCAGGGCTCTGGGGTGGGGCCTGATGCGGGTGGGGCTCCCGGAGAGGCGGGGCCAGGGACGCGTACAGTTAGTTCCTAGACACTTCCATCTTCCTTAAGTTCTTACAATGCCATCTTGTCCCCTTCTCAGGATTCTCTTTATTTCTCCGATCCTACATAAGCTTGGGTGTTTGGAGGAACTCATACCTGGTTCAAATCCCAGCTCCTCTGTGACTCTGTAGAGCCCCCAACGACCTCAGCTTATTTAACCGATTTATGAGACCATGAGTGTGAAGTACCTGGTATATAACTGAGGTCACAGTGTGGCAGATGAGGGAGACACAGACGGAAGGGTGCCGATGCCTCCTGGGTTGCACACAGTGGAAGAGCAGATGCCAGCTTCTGCTGTCCTGCTTTCAATCCCCTTCCCCCTCTTGCCAGCCTATCTCTCCTCTTCTTGTCCTCCAGCAGGTGATTTCTCAAAGCGCTGACAGGTTCCACCAGATGCGTCCACTGCTGTCCCTCTTATGACATTTGGACTCAGAGGCACTGATCATCTCCTCCCATGCCCATCCATCCCCCATCCTCCCAAATAAAATCACACTGGCAGCAAGTCCATGTGTAGAGTCTCCATCCAGGAACTGGTAGGAAAGCCGTGGAAGGGTGGCTCTGAGTCCTGCCTCGCCCTGCACAAAGACTTGGTCTTCTGAGGACCTCTGTGAATCTGTCATGGATTCACCATGGCATTCATGGTGACTGGTGAACCTGGGAAAGACACTTTCCATAACAGGGCTTTGGTGTCCTCCTCTATAGCAGGATAAGGCTGAATATAATCTGAAGACCTCTCCCATTAGGAGTCTACAGTGCGCCAGGTCATATCCCTCCACTGAATGTGATTTCAGCTGCAGCACATTACAGAATTCCATGGAAGCTCAGGAACAAATTTGCTTCTCCTCCTCCTTTTTATGTCTCTCCCTCTCCCTGCGCCCCCACCCCCGTCTCTGTCTTTTGTTGTTGTTGTTTGGTTGTTTGGTTGGTTGGTTGGTACCAGGGATTGAACCTAGGGGGCTTAACCACTGAGTTACATCCCCAGCCCTTTTTATTTTTTATTTTGAGATAGACTTTTGCTAAGGCACTTAGGGCCTCACTAGGTTGCTAAGGCTGGCTTTGAACTTTGGCTTTGAACTTTCAATCCTCCTGCCTCACCCTCCCAAGCGCTGGGATTATAGGCAGGTGCCACCATGCCAGGTCTCAGTGAAGTTTTGATTCACATTTCCTAAATGACCAATGATGTTGAGCATTTTTTTTTCATGAGCTGTTTTCTGATATCCTCTTTTCAAGCTTCTTTTTCTTTCTGCCCTGGGCTTTTCTGACACACAGACTGCACAAGAGTAGCCAGGAAGGAATACAAGAGCAGCGATGGGATGTAGTTCATGTCTCTGGGGTGACCCTCAACCACTCAGGATGAGAGCTGCAGATAAATGCACCCCCTCCCATTCCTCAGAGAGTCATGGCGAGCATCCTGTACAATTCTTGAGAAGTGCAACCAAGCCCCCAGCGCTCATACCACTGATCTCTCTCTCTCTCTCTCTCTCTCTCTCTCTCTCTCTCTCTCTGGGGTTTACTGGGGATTGAACCCACACCCTTGCACATGCTAGGTAAGCACTCTGCCACTGAGCTACACTCCAAGTCACCACAGGGTGATCTCTAAAATGCACCTTTGTGTCAGTTCTTCCTCTTCCCTGCTTCCTTTCCCAAGTCCCTGTGAGACCCCTTTCTAGGACCAAGTTCTTGTCTCAGGCTCCACTTCCAGGACGGAAAGGGTGGGAGCCAGGCCAACCACTTCTGCTCTGGGACTTGGTGATGCTGAATCATAGTCCTCAGACACCCTGCAGGCCAGAGTCCCATCCAGTTAAAGCTATTGGCAAAGGAGAGAGGACCTAAGATAGTTGGAAAGTAAGAGTCTCTAGTTAATAGACATGGGACACAGGAAGGGGGACTCTTGGGTAAGTGAACATTGGGACTTGAATTGTACACAAGGCTATACATGGGGTCAGTCATACAAGTTGGTGGGATTCCTGAAAGGGCTACCACTAGGCGTATCCAATTTCCATATGTTTCCTAGAAACCATTACTTCCTGCAAAGCCTTCCCCCCTCCTTTTTCTCTGCACATCCAGCTCCTATCTGGTCACCTACACCCCTCGTTTATCTTCATCATGCTCCTCCAGCGTCTGAGTCCTCCCATTTTCTAAATCTATCAGTCCCTGCTTAGCTCCTCTTTCTTTCTTGACCAGTAGGGATGAACACCTTCAATTCCTTCATAGCTTATATCCTTCTCACAATCCCTAGAATTTCCAAGTCCTTAGCCAGTATCTCTCCTATATCTCCAGTATCTCTCCTGTACCTGATGTAATGCAGAAAACCATCATCCTCCCCCTCCGGGGAATTCAGTGGTCCACCTTAAGTCAGCCATGGCAGTCAGTGGTGACCCTCCCACATATCTGGGTGCACCAGAATCAACCATGGCAGAAATGGTGACAGATCCCTATCATAAAACAAGAGAGCAATGTGCATGGGCATCCCCTCAAAAGCACTGTTTCTGTGGTTGTTCAGGTAACTGTTGCTGTGTAACAAATCCCCACAAATGTAAATAATCTCCATTAATTTTCTTATAGGTTTGTAGAACAAGAGCCTTACATAGCTGAGTCAGATTCTCTGCTTAGGACTCACAAACCCAAAATCAAATTTGGTGACACATTAGGCTCTTACTTGGAGGCTCTCGGGAATAATCTATTTCTAAATTCACTCAGGATGTTGAATTCAGTTCCTGGTAGCTGTGGGACTGAGGTCACCCCTTCCTGCTGACTGTCATCTCATCTCTCAGTATTCCTTCTTGAAGCCAGCAAGAGCACCTTGCATCTCTCTCTCTGGCCTCAAATCTCTCTGACTCCATTTTTGCCCCATATGGAGAAAAATCTACTTTTTATAGGGCTTTTATGATTATGTTAGGTCCACCTGCCTAAGCCAGGAACCCCCATTCTAAGGTCAACAGTGCCATATCACACAACCATGGAAGTAATGTCATCAGATCCACAGGTCCTGGAGATCAGGGTGGGGTTCTCTGAGAGCCATTTGAGAAGGTCTTCTGCCATGGAAGTTTTTCATAGCCGTCAACAGTCCCAGTTTGGCTTCAAAGACCCTACTTCCCACCTGGTGGCAATAGCCAACCATTGATAATTACTGATTCTTGATCACATATAATTTTCCATGGGGAAGGACCATCAGAAATGTGGAAAGAAAATGTGCCAAAGGACTGACATCCCTAAGTCAAGCAACTTTTATAATTTGATTACCTACCTGATATCTGTCCTCCTGGACAGGTGACACTAACATATATTTGCGTATCCAACTGTCAACTAGAACATCCACCTGGATATCACTTAGGTCCCAAATCCATCATGTCCAAAAGAGCACTTCTCACTTTCCCACCACTCCACCCACCTCCAAGTGCTCTCCTTGTTTTATTCACCCCAAAGTCCCATCCCACTCTATAGACCCAAAGAAAGCAAGTGGCCTGAAGCTACACTACTGAGCCAAGTACTGGGGACAACAATCAATGCTCCAAGAGACCAAGTCCACCATGTTCCATGTCCCCACTGAGTTCTTTGTTCTTTAAAAGAGCTAACCCCTTGCTTGTTTCATAACATCACATCTCATCACCCACTTGCTTGTGAAACCCCCATTCTGAGCCAGCATCCCCACATCCTCCCTCCCAGCCCACACTGTGCTCTCTGGCTCCTGGTTTGTCTATAGTAGAGGCTGCCCGACTGTCAACATCTTTGGAAGTTTCTTCCACCACCGTTTCATGACTAACACTAGGATCCTATTCCTTGAAGCCTCCACCTTACCAGGAAGCTAATATTTCTTTCACATCCCACCTCAGAGCCAGGAAGAGAGACACTTGACTTCTGTGATGTTCACGTTGTTTCTCCTGGGCCAGTTCCGGCTCTTCTTCCTGCAAGAGATCTCTTCCTGTGTTGCCTGTGTGGCTACAACACTTTATACTGCTCCCCACTGTCCCACTGGGCACTCCTCACCATTACAGAAGAATTCTATAGAATGGTTCAGTCCTCCTTTCCACCCATGCTCAGTGTTTGAATGAACATGTGAAAAATCAAAATTCTGATCTCACTGGACACAGGGGTGCTCACTTGGAATCCCAGGTACCTGGGGGGCTCAGGCCAATGCATTGCAAATTTGAGGTCACCTGGGCACTTGGAGAGCATCTATCTCAAAAACAAAAACAAAAACTGACCTTATACTCTTTGCCTCCTCACCTACAATGTCCTTCTCCTTGGCTCCACCCTGGGAATCCACTCCCACACCTAGACCTCATCTTTAAAAACCTTCAGATATTTACTTACCAGTCATGATTTCCTATCATTCCAGTTTACTTGCTCTAGTAGTTTACTGCTATCATTTTTGCTGTTTTTGTAATTTCAAATTCACTGACTTTATAACATTTACTTTTTATTTGTTTCTTCCTCGCCTCTCTCATGACTCAGCTTGGATTCACAGTCTACGTAGTGCCAAATGCAAATTATACGTACTTGAGGAGTTTTTAAAAATGCCAATACTTGGTCCCCATCTTAGACCTATTAAATCAGGATTTGAGAGCTCCATGGGTAGTTCTAATGTGCAGCTGCAATTGAGAATCACTTTTCTATCATTATGATGGGAATATCATTAATTCCCTTGCTTTTTTCTCCCCTCATTTCCACCCACCTGCAATATTACAATCTAGAGTTAACTCAAACATCTGTCCCAGTTTTGGCTTCAAAACAGAATTTTGCAGCTAGGTTGTTTCTATCTTAAATTTGTGACCATAAATCTCAACTCTGGTTGAAATTGAACTTGGCCATCTTTTATGTCTCCCCAGTAAGTTCTATTTCCCCTTCTCCAAGATGAATATGCATACCTCTCTTCTTTCCCTGGCTTCATTTTCATGAGATGACCTTGTCTCAAAGAGATGTCATCAGTTGAGAATTTTCTCAGGGAATCTACTTAAGTAAACCTATATCTACTCTGTCTTCTCCTTCTTCCCTCCACATAAGCTAGAAGTATTCCTGACCCAGTCAGGGATCCTCATGAAAAACAGGACCCCTTAGCACTAAGGGATGAATATTTTTCAGAGGAAATAAGACAGTGTAAGGCTCTAAGGCTCTAAGGCTCTCGATCTTAGAGGGTTAACAGCCATATCAAGAAATCAAGAGTTAAAAGGTGAACCCATCTTCCAGGCTGTGGGAATGAAATAACACGCCAGGAGATGGGAGGCTGGGAAATCTGCTCTGCTGAGATTATGTGGTCAGCAGAAGCCAGACAAAGTGGGGTCTGCACTATTTGGAAAATAATGATATTAGAGACTTTCCCAGATGATAAGAGTAATTCCAGGTGGTGAGAGGCAAATGCACACACAGCATACTCACTGAAGTAACCCACAGTTACCTTTACCTTATTAGCATAGCAGAATGTGCACCCCATGGTGGACACTTAACACACAAGAAGACACATGATGAGGCAGGGCGCAGGCACATCTGAAGTCCCACTTCTTCGTGTGCTGACTTCCAAAGATGCAGTTCCTGCCTACTCCAGGGATGCCACAAAACCTACTCTGCTTCATTCTTTGCTTGAGCCAGTGCTGTTACTCCCTTCTGGCTCAAGCAGAAGGTCCTAACTAAAACCTTTCTGTGCTGAGGTTCTTCCTAGGTCCAGCGCTCATTTCTACAACTTGGACCCAAGAACTCAAGTTTGGTAACATTCGCAGCCTAGAAAGAGCCCTTTGTACTCTGTCCCCAGCCCTTCTTTTCTTCCTAAGAGCTTGGGTCATAGCATCATCCATCTTTGTTAAACCATCAGTTTCTTCCCATCACACAAGGCATGATCTTATGTCTCCCACCTTAGACCTCCTGTTTTGACCCCACATTTCCCTCTAGATACTGTCCTTTTTTCTTGGAACAATGGAAACCTTTCATGGAAATTTTTGTTGAATTATTTATCTACCCTAGATATCTCAACTGCCTTATCTCCAATACTTTAATCCCAAAAGGACTTTTTATTTTTTTTATTTTTTTTTAATTTTTTATTGTTGGTTGTTCAAAACATTACATAGTTCTTGATATATCATATTTCACACTTTGATTCAAGTGGGTTATGAACTAAGGACTTTTTAAATAAGAATATCAGAATAGCTCCATGGGCAGAATATAGCTCTCCAAGGTGGGGACGTAGCTGACCGGGGAGCCCGAGACTGGAAGGCCACCTGGAACCCAGAGTTCCTCACTGTCTGCTTTCTCATCCACTTCACTTGTGTCTGTCTCATTCTTCTTCCTCATTAGCACAGACCCCTCTATCTCTGAGTGCACCTCGAGGAAAGTGGCTGCTCACAGCACACAGCTCTACCCACAAGGAAGGATGGCCTCTCTCTTGCATTCCTAGAGAATGTGTTCTTATTGGCCCTGCTGAATTTAGCTCTATTCAACCTTGACCAGGAGAGCAGAGTCATATAATAGAAAATAGTCACTCAGGACCTACCCAGGACTGATCATCAGAATATTTTATAATTAGTATGGCAATATATAAAATATTTACAATATAAACTATATTTGCTTTATTTTTATTTAAAGCTTTGAATTGGGACTCAAAAGAAATACTTGTATGTATATATATACACATATAAAACATAAGCATAAAACATATGTATAAAACATAAGCATATAATTTAGTGAATAATAATTGTAAAACAATCATCCAGGTCTGGAAATAGCAAACTTCTCACACCAGAAACCTTGCATATCTCTTCCCAACCACATCTGCTTCCTTCTGTCCTAAAATTAATTTGACAGAGACATTTATAATAGAGAAATCCCCCTTTATCCAGTTTTACTTTCCACCATTTAGGCTATCTGTGGTCAACTAGAGTCCACAAATATTAAATGGAAAATTCAAAAAAATAAACAAAATTTTCAAAAATATTTTTAGATGTACATGGACACAATACCTTTATTTTATCTATTTATTTTTATATGATGGTAAGGATCAAACCCAATGCCTCACAAGTGCCAGGCAAGTACTCTACCACTGAGCCACTCCAGCCCCCAGGAATAAACAATTTATAAGTTTTGTATTGTGTTCCTCTCTGAGTAGTGTGATGACATCTTGCACATCTTGAACTCAGGGGCACTCAATCACTGAGCCACATCCCCAGCCTAGTTTTGTACTTTATCAGAGACAGGTCTCAATGAGTTGCTTAGCAATTCACCATTGCTGAGGCTGGCTTTGAACTCACTATCCTCCTGTCTCTGCCTCCCAAGCTGCTGGGATTACAGTTTATTATTTGTTATTATTGTTAATCTCTTACTATGCCTAATTTAAAAATGAACTTCATTACAGGTATGTATGTATAGGAGACAACACAGTATATGTAGGGTTTGGTATTGTCCACAGATTCAGGCACCAACTGGGGGGGTCTGAGACCATATTCCTTATGGATAAGGGGAGCTACTATAATCACTTACATACATATGACATTTGGAGGACTTCAACATGTATATCGGGAGGAGGGATACAATTCCATTCATAGCACTTCCTTTACCTGGCTAATGCCTACCTCTTATTTTAATTCCGTTCAGGTACCATTTTTCCAGGGAATCCTTGACAAATTCTCCCATATCCCCCTTACCACCTCACTCCAAGATAACAAATTATGCCTTCTTACCCCTTTCATGGCACTTGTAATTCTTGACTGAATTCCTGTAGGGCATGATGTAACATGGGGCATGTTGCACCAGAAAAGAGGAAACTTAACTTGCTGGCTGCTACCCGCTTCCCAGTCCTGGGGCCACATGTGGCTAAGAGAGCACCTAACAATTAGCCAGAAGGTATTGCCATGGATAGGCTCAGAACCCTTCTGCCCTCATGAACACTCCTGTCTCCCATTACTGCCTGTAGGATGGGTGTAGATGTAAATTCTCCCCATCCTGTTGACCTTTACCCTGATTGGCTCCTGTACATTATATTAGCTATGTGTGTTTTCTCATTAAAGGAGATCCTGCTTTGACTGTTCTCCCTGGTGTGTCTGATTTTCCTCCGGGAGGGAGGGCTGGGTATGGGTGCCAGTCGACCTTTACCTTTCTTGGTTCCTCCTGGTCCGGGCGTGCTCCCCCAATCTCTCCCGGGGGCTAAAAACTCCGACAAATTCCTAGAGGGTCAGGACTGTGTTTCACTCTAGGAAACCTATGACAGTGCCTTTCTCGTGGCAGACTGTCAATGATGCTTTTGAAAACCTATGAAATTTGCCAGATTATATTGTTATATTGTATGCATGTACGAATATGTAAGAAAATTAAAAACAAAAATGTATGTAAGGAAAAGTATTGTCCTCCTGGTTAAATAAAGCCTGGAATCTTCAAAGCTGACGTTGGCACAGACCAATCAGGGCGCTGTGCCCTTACGGCGTGGTCTAGACGGCTCCTGGGCCGTTGCCTAGTAACCATCGCCCAGGGAGGTGAGAAGCGCAAAGAGCGACCACCCGGAGTCCAATCAGGACCCTGCCTTACGGGAGCCAATAGAAGCCTCGACAGTCGCTCACCCACGCCGGACTACACTTCCCGTGATGCCCCGCCGCCTCGGCCAGGCGGCTGCCGTAAAGCTGTTCGTTCGCACGACGCTGGTCCCAGCTCAGCGCCTCTCCGCACTCCTCTGGCGCTACAGCCCCCGACGTGCCAGAGCAAAGTTCTCGACCGCGCTCCCTCCGCGGCAGGGCGTCCTCCCGCTCCGGCAGCCGGGGTACCCAAGTGGGTCGTGGCGGCATCATCCTCAGGCCGGGCCGCGGGGGGAGGGGGCGGCCTGGAGGCAGTGGCGGGGTCAGCACGGTCCGCGCCGGCGGGGCCATGGAGCCCAGGGAGTCGGGGAAGGTAGGACTGGAAGGGCCCGGGGGCGCCCACTCCCTTCCCGCGGACCCCTGCCTAGGCTCTGTCTGAGCGGGACAGTACGGGAGAAGTGCCGGCAGCTGAGCCAGCCCTGCAGGGAAGGGCTTGCCCTCCCGCGCTTCCTCCGCACTTCGGCGGCTGCCTCTGGGATGGACGCCACCCCTCGGGTTCTCGCATCTTCCCGCTCCCTTGCTAGCGCCTGGCCGGCCGCCCTCCGGCCAGATGACCGCTCTGCTGGCGCCGGCTGGGGGGACCGGTCCAGTGCAGTGCTGGGAAAGTGCTACGTGTCTCCGTTCACCGTCGCTGCGGTCTGGAGGGGGCCCAGGTGGTTTTAAGGCTTTGAGGCTGGTTAAGACGCCAGTGGGAGCCAAAGGGTGGGGATCGAGAGGCGGGGTGAGAGCCGGCCCTGCCTACATCCTGCTTCCCCAGAAAGAGCTGAAAAGCGGGGGTGAGGGGGTATCTGGCATGTTTCTTGCCCACTTCTCTCTAGATTATCAACTTCGTGGAGCATCTGGGCTTTGCTTAGAAGCATATTCCACAAACTTGTTTGAGGCTTTGGGCAAGAGGATCTTTGAGTTGGAAGAGGTGGGAGAAAGTGCTTGGAAACAGTTAAGGGTTGTTAGAGCTCCGAGGCAGTGTCAGCCTCAGCGTCAAAGAACCCCGTGATTGTAGGCACATTAACTTTGAGACAGTGGCAGCTTCTGGGATTAAGATCTTTCTGGATGTTCTTTGCAGCCAATTCCTTTTTTGGAGCGGGAAGCTCAGGCATGCCAGGCAAGTGCTCTACCATTGAGATTTGTCCCCAGTTCTTGAGGATTGTATTTTTATGGCACAGGGAATTCTCTCAGCAAACATTTTCAAGTGTTTATTGAGTCTCTTTCTTGAAAGGAAAAAAAAAGTGTCCATTTAATAAAGACTTTGTTCATTGAGTAAGATGCCTGAAGGAGCCCTCCAGAAATACTTACCTTAGGAATTCGAACACACCCCAGAAAGAAGGAATAGGAGGATATCCAGGAAAAAAAGATTCCTGGAAAGACTGGAAAGTCTTTGCAAATCTAGCACCTGGCTGGCTAGGCGCTGGAAGACTTGCAAAAACACTCCTTGCTTAAGCACCTTTTCCATCTTCCTTCCCTCCACAAGCTACAATGATGCGTTTTTCACACTGAGCCACATACACAGTCTCCAGGCCAAGACAATAAAGTCAATAGGACCTAAAGAAAGATTGGAAGGAACTATGTGCCAGCATTTTGTTAAGCACTTTGGGGAATACAAAAAAGGAAAAGGAAATGCCCTTACCCTTAGATAATATCCCCAGATTAGTTTAGATTGAACCTGAATTTAGATGAGGAGGGGCAAAATTTAAGGGAAAGAGGGTAAAAAAAATAATAATAACTTGACAAGCAGGGCAAGCCTGTAGTCCCTGCATTCAGGAATCTCAGGCCAGCCTGAATGACACAGTGAGACTCCTGAGACTCTAGGGGGAAAAAAAAAGTAAGAAAGAAAAAGGCATTAAAATTGGAATTAGTGAATTGAGTTGATTTAAACTGTTCCAGTCAATGGTAGGCTTTAGCCTTTAACAGGAAGAGAAGAATAAAAATATTTGGGAAATGGAGTAGGAATTGATGTCCTTCTGGGATCCAACCACTAATTTCACCCTTGATTCTAATCCTCTGTCTCCATCCTGGGAATTGATGATACCTAGAACCTTCTGCATGCTAAGCAAGCACTCTACCAATAAGCTACACCCCAGCTCTTTTTACTTATTTTGAACTCACCAAGTTGCCCAGGCTGACCTTGAACTTTCAATCCTCCTGCCTCAGCCTCTGGAGTAGCTGCGATTACAGGTGTGACTATCATACCCCGCTACTCTTGATTCTAATCTTTGATTGCAGAGTATCTCAAAAATATGCTCACCCTTCCTAAGTATATTTGTTTTCTACCCTAATAAATAAGAATATTATCCAAAAATGAAATAAATTGATTGTAAAACCAACTGGCAATGTGAGATGTGCTACAAATGAATGACAAGGCAATGGCCTGGGTAGACTGTGGTTTTGGGGGACTCAAAGTTGGTAGCTAGGGGTTCTCTTGAGGTGGCAACTTGGTCAATTATTAGAATCTTCTATAGATGCTATTTTGTGACATTGGTTAACTGAAAGCAATCTTGGGCCATTGGATGGCAGTAGGATATCTCACTGTTGGTGGAATGATGGATAGAGGGCACCCAGCACTTTTGTCCCACTGAGCCACATCCCTACATCCCCAGCCCTATTTTGTATTTTATTTAGAGACAGCATCTCACTTGAGTTGCTTAGTGTCTCATTTTTGCTCAGGCTGGCTTTGAACTCGCAATCCTCCTGCATCAGCCTCCTGAGCTGCTGGGATTACAGGCATGTGCTGCTGCACCTGGCTCTTTAAAAAAAAAAAGTTCTGCTCTCGTACTTATAGCGTAGTTGTCTGTCACTGCCTGATGGATTTTAATCTCTCTTCATATCTTTGGTTCACCTCACAGCAAGCACATAGAAACACTGAAATAAGCCAGGCATGGTGGTGCACGCCTATAATCCTAGCAGTTTGGGAAACTGAGGCAGGAGGATTGCAAATTCAAAGCCAGCCTCCAAATCTTAGTGAGATCCTGTTTCAAAATTTAAAATGCAAAGGGCTGGGGGTGTAGCTCAGTGGTAAGTGCCCTTGAATTCAATTCGTGATACAAAAACACAAACAAAAACCACTTAAATAATGGATGTATGTTGACTGAAAAAATGAATTAAGTGCCCATGAAATTCTTTATAATGTGGTATCAGAGAAAGGGGTGGTGCTGGTGAAGGAAGTTATAAAATAAGCCAATCAGCATTGGTTTCCTGAGTGCCACCTACTAAAAAGGGAAATAAAGCATTCCCAGCTCTAGGGAAGGAGCACTGGCTGGGGCCAGGTGATGAAATCCCTCATGAAAGATGGAATTGAATAGAACCCTGGTGGGCAGGTTAGCTCTAAGTAGAGGGAGGAAATGGTCAATCATGGGATCTAAAGATGGGTAGGTGAAGAGGAAAGGTGCATGGTAGGTTGAATGATTACAATGGTACTAATCTGGCTGGAAGGAAGACTCCTGGTGGGGAAGCCCTGAGATACAGATTGAGGCTCTTTGGTACCAAGCTGAGAAGCGAGAGCTTCATCCTGTAGATGGTAGGAATCACTAAAATAGAATTTCCAAAGCCACTTCTTACCCTCTATAGATAAGGAATTCCTTTTATTTAAGCAGATTTGTTTCCTTTACATTGCCAATCATCCAGAAACAGAAGGCTCTTGCCATAATGTTTAAAAGAGGGGTGCCAGGTTTTAGTGTGGTCACTTTTGCTGGGAGTACACCTCTTTATCATCCGGACAGTCCAAGCCACACTCCTGGTTGTGCGGCTAAGGTGATGGGGCTCACTGGCCCTCATATGCTTACCCCTTAGCCCTGGGGGAAAGGTGTGAATAGGGAGCCCTGCTTGTCCTTGGTCACAGGCATTGTATTTTATTTTTATTTTTTAAATTTGATTTAATTTAATTTTTTATTAGTTACACATGACAGTACAATGATCTTGACATTTCATACATTTGAGTCAAATGGGGTATAATTTCTCAATTTTCTGATTGTGCAGGTTGCAGAATCACATTGGTCATACAGTCACATATATACATACAGCAATAATAATGTCTATTCTGCTGCCCTTCCTATCCCCCCTTCCTCTCCCCTCCCCTCCCCTCCCCTCCCATGGTCACAGGCATTTTAACCTACTCCAGTAGGAGCAGGGAGGCCTCCGGTCCTGGTGTGCAGCCGGCTTCCTGGGTTATGCCTTCCACATAATCTTGGGGTCCCCTCCTTGGCCCTCCTCCACTGTTTTCATGTTCAAGGCCCTGTTCCTGTGTACCTCCTTTGAATGCAGGCTATTCTGCAGTAGCTTTTGGAGATCGAATCATATTTTACTTTGGAAGACTCTCTCCACACAAGTAGTTATTTAAAGCATACATTTTACAGTACAATTCCATGTCTGTTTTTAAACATATTCATAGACAAAATAATACTGAATGTTAAAAGTAATTCTATTTCAGTGATGGGAATATGGGGATCTTAAAATGTGTTTTTTTTTTTAATATATTTTTTAGTTATACATGGACACAATATCTTTATTTTATTTATTTTTATGTGGTGCTGAGGCTTGAACCCAGGGCCTCGCACGTGCGAGGCAAGCGCTCTACCACTGAGCCACAACCCCAGCCCCTTAAAATGTGTTTTTCTGGGGCTGGGGACATAGCTCAGTTGGTAGAGTGCTTGCCTCGCATGCACAAGGCCCTGGGTTCAATCTCTGGCACCACAAAAAAAAAAAAAGAGAGAGAAAATGTGTTTTTCTACTTATTTTCTACATTTTCTGAACATGTTTTAATTCTTAAGAAAATGCTCAAATTATTTTTGAATTTATATTAGCAGCTGATTAGAACTACCCGTATAGTTTTTCTCAAGAAGCATATTCCATGTGAGCTAAAATAGATGTATCATTTATTTTAAGTGGCATGCTTCCATTTCCCAAAATGTTGTTTTTCTCTGGATTTCCTGTGCCTGAACCTTTGAGGATTTAGTAGTGGAACTGGGTTGTCCCAGCTTTGCTCTCCGCCAAGTAAGGATTCCGTTTTCTTGGATCTGCCCAGTTACTACTTTTTCATCTGCTTTTCACTTTCCAAATTTATGTTCTATTGTGTCTTCTTTGTGCTCCCCATCCTGGAGCAGCTTTGTTTTTTTTTGGGGGGGGGGGTGGGGGTGTTCTTTTAAATTCACAGGGAACAAAGACAATCAGATGAGCTCGTTAAGGGGCCATCTTAATGTGGAAGACCCCCAGAGCTTCTCTGCAAGCCACACAGATGCCAGATGTCAATCTCAGCTCTAAAGCTTTGCCTGACTTGACCATCAACTTCATTCATAGATACAGTTCTTTCAACTACTTCTAGAAATCTGAAACATCTTCCAGGGTGAAAATTTATCATGTCCAAGATTTTGTAAAAGAAGGGGCTGGGGTTGTGGCTCAGTGGTATTTCTAGTACGTGTGAAGCAGGGGGTTTGATCCTCAGCACCACATTAAAAAATAAAATAAAGGTATTGTATCCATCTATAAATAAATATATTTTTTGAAAAAAGATTTGCTGGGACTGGGGTTGTGGCTCAGTGGAGAGCACTTGCCTAGCATGTGTGAGGTTCGATTCTCAGCACCACATGTAAGTAAATAAATAAATAAATAAAGGTCCATCAGCAACTCTGTGTGTGTGTGTGTATGTGTGTGTGTAAATTTCTTCAAAAAATAATTTCTGAGGGCTGGGGTTGTGGCTCAGTGACAGCACTTGCTTTGCATATGTGAGGCACTGGGTTTGATCCTCAGCACCACATTAAAAATAAATAAATGAACAAAATAAAGATATTGTGCCCATGTATAACTAAAAAAGTATTTTTTTAAAAAAGATTTTCTTGGGCTGGGATGTGGCTCAAGCAGTAGCGCGCTCGCCTGGCATGCGTGCGGCCCGGATTCGATCCTCAGCACCACATACAAACAAAGATGTTGTGTCCGCTGAAAAACTAAAAAATAAATATTAAAATTCTTTTAAAAAAAAGAGATTTTCTGAAAGAGTGTGCCATAAATTGTAAATAAATCCTTGGCAGAGAGATAATGGGGAGTGTGGGAAGCAGGTGAGGAGCTGCAGGGAAACATCTGGAAGTTCTTCAGTCAGCTCTCTTTATGGCTGTACTTCGTTTCACTGAGTGGCACTTGAAGAACAACGTGCCTTATTTTCACTGTGATTTGCACCCAGGGAGTGAGTAGGTCATGCATGTAAATTGACTGTGCCTCCACCCCCAACCCCAAAGCTGGTAAATTCCCAGAGTAGGGGCGCCTTGGGTGGTTGTGAACACTGTATGGAAGGCCGATCTCAGGAAGAAGTTGGTACTTCACAGGTGTCATTTTTCCTTGCAGGCTCCTGTGACATTTGATGATATCACAGTGTACTTGCTCCAGGAGGAATGGATGCTGCTGAGTCAGCAGCAGAAGGACTTCTATGGTTCTGACAAGCTGGTGCCACCACTTGGTATGGATTTCTACATGTCTCCACCACTGTCAGTGTAGATCCCCAACCAGGACAGTGTGATATCCCCAACCAGGCCAAGACATATTGGAGAATTTTCTGGGGCCACTGTACTACTGAGCTACATCCCCAGCCCTTTATTTATTTATTTATTTATTTATTTATTTATTTTGAGACATGGTCTCCTTAAATGGCTGAGGTCCTTGCTAAGTTACTGAGGCCGGCCTCAAACTTTTAACCCTGCTGCCTAAGCCTCTGAGTTGTTGGGATTAAGGTGTGTCCCTTTGTAGGAATTTTTACATGACTCCTCTGCTCAGTCTCACATCTTACTTTCCTGCAAACTACACACCACCCTTTCCCTTCTCCCCTTAAATTAATGAGGAGATTAGAGAAGTCTGGCTTGCCAAGGATACCTTGAGGTCTGTCTTCTGGATGCCTCAGAATATCCCCCCAGTAGAAAGACTAGTCTGTGAATCTGCGAAGATCATAGGGCCATGGGGTTAGTAAATAGTAGTGGGAAGAGCAGCAGACTTGCTATGGAAATCTGGTCTCTCTTCCAATTCTGCCACTGGATACTGGCATTCCTTTTGCCTTTTTAAGCCTTGGTCATTCTCTTAGAATTGCCTAGAGATTTAATGAGATTAAACAGTTTAAAACTTTGTACAAATGTAGGTATCTTTCATCTCCTCTATTTTTTTTTTAATTTATGTTTAGTTGTAGTTAGACACAATAGCTTTGTTTTATTTATTTATTTATTTTTATGTGGTGCTGAGGATCAAACCCAGAGCCTCACATGCACTAGGCAAGCTCTCTACTGCTGAGCACAACCCCAGCCCATCCTTTATTTTTTAAATGCTTTTTTCTATGCTTCTGAGGGTAGATTTTCTGTACCAAGGAAAGAGTGGTTGTATCAACATGTGTATGTTGTATTGTGCAGGTTGAGCATTCCTAATCCAAAAATTGAAAACATGAAATGCCCACAAAGTCTAGAACTTTTTTTTTAAGAGTCACCTGCACTCAAAAGATTTTGGATTTCATGCCATATGCAGTGGCACATGCCTGTAATCCCAGTGACTTGGGAGGCTGAAATAGAAGGATCACAAGTTTAAGGCCAGCTTGAGCAACTTAATGAGACCCTGTCTCAAAATAAAATAAATAAAATTTTTAAAAAAGAATTGAGAGTGTAGCTCAGTGGTAGAGCACCTCTAGGCTCAGTCCCCAGCACCAGAAAAAGAAAGAAAAAGTTTTGGATTCCAGAGCTTTCTGGATTTTGAATTTTCAGATTAAGGGTGCTAAGCTAGTAAAGTCTTTGCAAATGTTCCAAAAACGGAAATACTTTGGACACCAAGCTTTTCAGGTGAGGGGAGCCAACCTGTATTCCCTGACTGCAGTTGGATGACTATCTCCCATGCCTTTATCTTCTCTTTCCATGAAGAAAAAATGAAGGCATGGTAAGAGCAAAGAGCTTTCTATTGGTGGAGAGGTTGCAGCTGGGTTGGTCTTTCTGTGCCTGCTAAAGGGACAGGAAAACCATGGATTCTCCTAAGCCAGAAGTTGCATAGTAGCAGCTCAGATTAGACTTAAAGATTATAGTTGTTTTGTTTTGCCCCATTTTTACTCCCAACTTTCAGGTCCAAGTTTTCAAATTTCTGCTCCACTCTCTGCTCCTGAATATCACAATAACCTTGGCTAAAAGCCACCAGCAATACCCATGCCACTTCTTGAATGCTGTCTACCAGATTAAGAAGTTCATTGCTTTTAAAATCAGCCTCACAGAAAGTCTCTAGACATGGGCAAAATGAAGACAGTTTCTCAGCCAGAACATAACACAAAGGGCCTCTACTCCAAATTCCAATAGAGTCATCCTCTGAACCCTCTTGAGCCCTATCTTTAATGTCCATGGTCCTATTGGCATTCTGGTCTTCTGACCTCCACTAGAATCAGCCATTAAGCTCCGCTTACAACAACCTAAAGCATTTCCAGCTTGCACTGTTAAATATCTCAAAATTCCTCTCACCAATTCAAAAAAGCTCAGAAAACTTCGAACCACAGGATCAGGTTAGGCATAACAATGACCCTACTTCTCAGTACCAATTTCTGTTTCAGTCAGCTTTTTCACTGCTCTGATTAAAAGACCCAACCAAACACTTGTAGAGGAGGAAAAGTTTATTTGAGGGCTCATGGTTTCAGAGGTCTCGATCCATAGACAGCAGAGTCCATTCCTCAAAGCTTAAGGTGAAGCAGAACATCATGGTAGATGAGTGTGATGGAAGGAGGCAGTTCACATCATGGTGATCAGGAATCAAGAGAGTGAGAGACTCCACTCTCCAGATAAAAATATATACCCCAAAGCCACATCCCCAAATAACCACTTCCTCCAGCCACACTCCACCTGCCTCCAGTCACCACTCAGTTAATCCCATCAGGAGTTAATTCACTGATTAGGTTAAGGCTATAACCCAGTCATTTGTCCTCCAAACTTTCTTGTTTTGTCTCAAACATAACAGCCATTAAGAATTTTCATATAAAAATAAGGATGTCTGGCTTCTCTTAACAAATGGGACTGTGTGGCAGCTCTGAGTCTGCATTCTGTGCAGTAGCCTTCTGGAACTGAGTAACCACTGCCCCCATCTACAGGGTCCTCTAGGCTGCCGCAACCTCCATGCCCAGTCCGGTTTCCTCAGTTGTAGTATCAGGTTCCCCTCACCATTTGGGCTTGAGAGCATCCAACTGAACCATTACATTTCACACTGTGTCCCCATTCTCTCAGGGTTCTCTCTGCAGAGTTTCCAAACTACTATGCTAAACCACCCGCTCCTGCTTTCCTCGTCCACAACTCCAAGAGAACACAATGTTGTGTTCACAATGCCAAGGAAGGACCCGACTTCATACTGGGCCTAGAGGCACACCCTTACTTGCTCTTCTCTATTTCCAACTCAGGCCCAACTGTTACCAGCCCTGAACTCTTCTGTGAGTTTGGGAAAGTGTCCAAGCCATGGCCAGGCAATGTCCAAGGCCAGAGGAGTCTCCTGGACCATCACCCCGGTGAGTGTGGCCTATGCCCCAGAGACAGAGCTCAGCAGGAGGGAACAGGGAGGGGTACCAGGACCATTCTCATCAGAGTACCTGACATATCTGCAAGTCTGCTCTTCCCCTGGGTGTCACCTTATCTGAATATGCACGCCTCTCCCAGTGTTCTTCTCTGCCCTCTTGGCTCCCTGTCTTTGATTTCTACCCTGAAGTATATGCTTATTGTTCCCAGAAGGTGTGGTTCTCTCATCTTCTACCATATTCCCAGTGCCTGTAATGATGCCTGGCACACAGTACATGTACCATAGGTAATCAGCAAATGAAGGAAGAGTGAAGAAATGAAGAAACAGCCGTCTGCTAAGTCCTAGAGATTTTTCTTTCCTCTCCTGTTTGATAAGCTTCTCTGCAGTTGGCTTAGCTAGAGCCAGGCCAGATGGCAACTTGTTATATAAGATGAGAGTTAACCCAACTCCCCCTATGGGAGAAGGACGTGGGGAATAAGCCTATATGATTTGAATCACAGAAGTTTGCTCTCCCTGTGGTTTCTCAAATGGACCATAGTCAGTGACTATAAAGAATCACAGAAGCCAAGTATGGGGATGCATACCCATAATCCTGGCTATTTCTGTCTGCTTGAGAGGCTGAGGCAGGAGGATTGCAAGTTCAAGGCCAACCTGGGCAACTGTCTCAAAATAAAAATGTCTGGGGCTGTACTGTGGTAGAGCTCTCCTGAGCTCAGCCCAAGTACTGTAAATAAACAAACAAGCAAATATATAAATAAATAAAGAGGCTCATTTGTTTTGTTTGATTTCACATCACATTTGGAGCCTGTTGACTGTGTTAACACTTTTGAGCTCTTGGGGTTAACTGTTTTATAGACAGGTCCATTGGTTTGGAGCCAATGTCTAGTTCTTGGCCACTGGCCATCTAAACTTATGTTAATACAGAAGAAATGGCTTTAGTGTGTTAGAGTTTCTAAGGTACATTTCAAGGAAGGAGGGAAAAAAGAAACTTCTAGTGCAGTTTGAAGAAGAAAATCCTCATGAGATTACGAGAGTCTTCACCTCTTTGGAAAGAGGAAGTTGGGTTTTGCTCAAGCCTGTGTCAGCTTCGCCAAGTAGAAGTGCAGCAGTCCCCTTGTCCATGGTGTCACTTCCTACTATTTCGTCACCTCGGCCAACCATGGCCAGTAACAAGCAGTAAGATACTTGAAGGAGAGAGAGATCACATTCTCATAACTTATGTTGTTATCATTATTCTACTTTATTATTGTTGTCAGTTTCTTATTGTGCCTAGTTTATAAATTAAACTGTATCCCATCCATGTATAGATAGGAAAAAACATAGTATATATAGTTTGGTGTCCATGGCCCAGGAATCCATGGGGACCTTGGAATGTACTCACTGTAGACCACAGGGGACCACTGTACTCAGAGATGGATCACAGCTTAGGTAAAACTATCTGGAGATAAAAATAGTGCCCAGGAGATAAGTAACTTTTGCCCTAAAGGTACAGGATGCTGATGCCTCTCTGTTAGGCCTACCACAGCAGGGGGCTCTTGGAGAGCAAGGAGTCTAGTTAACTGGCTTTAATGACCAAGTTTAACCCTGTGTTTTCTTATACCTATGTTCTTATCCAAAAGTAAGTTCTGAGAGCTGGGGGTGTGACTCAGTGATAGAGCACTTGCTTCATGTGCTCAGGGCCCTGGTTCAATCCCCAGTACTACAAAAGTAAGTAAATAATTAAGTTCTGAACCCCTGAAGATTGCACTGCTGTCTTAGCTTGTATTGATCAAAGTGCAAAGATCTTCCTTTGGCTGGGTGTATCTTTCCTTTAAATTGTTTTTTAAAAAGGGGTTTGCTTAAAACATGTCTGATACATATCTGTCAGCATATCCTACACACAACTAAACCAGTCAGGGTCACTTCAGGAGAATTGGGCTGGCACAAATTAATGACACACAGACAGAGAAAATACCTTTTTCTTTGGTTTCTGTCACCCCCAGACCCAGCTCCCACAAAGGAGGCACGGCAGGCAAGAAAGAGAGGTAGGCTATTCAAAAGAACACTCTATCCATATAAGGCAGAGGGGTCATGTTACAAGAGACAGCCCACTCCCATTGGGTAACACCCACTCCCAAAGCTGTGCTCCTCTGCTGAGCCGAAATGGGGATCCACCTGCCTCCTGGTCAGGGAAGCCAGTCTCCACATTTCCATCACTCAAAGCCAGGGGGTGCTCAGCTCCCAACAAGGATTTTTCTTCTGGATTAGGCAAGGTGGACCTGGGAACTCCAAGAAACTAGAAGTGGAGAATTCAAGTATGGTAGAGCTCCTACAAGAACACAGGCTGTGTCACTTTGGACTGAGCATGTGCTTTCCACCTTTCATAGCAGATCCACTGTGAATTGTGGGCTCTGATCATAGAATTTCAAAGCAAATTCCTTTTGTCTCTTCTTTTTAAAGGAAAAGATCAGGTGGGCTACATGGGAGAAATGGATGTGCAGGGTGCTACCAGGGAAGGTGGACTGTACGTGCCACCTCAGAAGAAAGCTTGCCTTGGCCGCTGCAGTGTGGAGAGTGACACCATCAAGGGAGACTGGACAGGGAGAAGCAAGAAACCTCTGAAACCCCGATCTATCCAGAAGTCATGGTTTGCACAGTTTCCATGGTTGATCATGAATGAGGAACAGACAGCTCTGTTTTGCTGTGCCTGCAGAGAATACCCATCTGTCAGGGACAAACGGTCAAGATTAATAGAAGGTTACACAGGACCATTCAAGGTGGAGACTCTCAAATATCATGCCAAGAGCAAAGCCCATATGTTCTGTGTCAATGCCCTGGCCGCCAGGGACCCCATCTGGGCAGCCCGTTTCCAGAGCATCAGGGATAGTTCTTCAGAGGTCCTGGCCAGCTCTGAGCACCTCTTCACAGCAGATTATCCCATGTTCTACCCCCCAGGGCCTCTGGAAGACTTTGATAGTATGGCCAACCTCCTGCCAAGCTCGAGAGCAGAACTAGAGGACCTTGGAGGGAGTGCAGCAAACCCTGCATTGTATCTAGACTGCATTTCAGATGTGAGACAAAAAGAAATCACCAGTGACATCTCTTCAGACATTAACATTTTGTGTAATGACACTATTGAATTCTGCAGTCAGGTAATACATACATAATGATTGAACTCAGGGGCACTCAACCACTGAGCCACATCCCCAGCCCTATTTTGTATGAGTCAGGGTCTCACTGAGTTACTTAGCCCCTCCCCATTGCTGAGGCTGGCTTTGAACTCTCAATCCTCTTGCCTCAGCCTCCCGAGCTGCTGGGATTACAGGCATCTGCCACCGCACCCAACTAGAACATCTAACTTCTGATATAAGGAATGATAATCTTTATCCAGAATCCAAAACCTACAAAATTCAAGAAATAATCCACAATCACACAGTGACCACAGAGCTCTTAAATAATCAGTATTTTTAAAATTTCAACTTCAACTTGTGGAGTGATGTAGCACTTTTAAACTCTGCAGAGTTTTTTCAAACATCTTGTACGATAGTTTGTCTAATGTTGTTAGGAAGCTGTGGAGCTGGTGTTAGTAACTCACCGTGTCAGGAGACGGAGCCTCAGGAGAAGTGTTGTAAATGTGGGACTCTGCCCAGGGCCCTTGACAACCTGCTCCTGCTTTCCTTCTGCTTCCTGTAGTGCTGCTTGGGTCCTAAACAACTCTAGCATTTGCCTTGTTTATTTTGAATTATAGTTTTCTGGAAAGTTGGTCTCTGAGGAAGCCGTGTTACTTGGAATTTTCCCCATTCTGAACTGTTGCGTGTGAGTAGAATGTTACTATCAACCACTGTTAGTGCTCCTTTGGGAGTCCAGCGAGAGTAGCCTGGGTGTGCCTCAGAGCTAGCACCATAAGGAACCCAGCTGAAATTAGTAAGCATGAATTTTTCCAGAGTCCTGAAAAACAGCAAAGTTTCTTTCTCGTTCTCTTTTTTTTTTTTTTTTTTCAGTATTGGAAGCCAATAAACAAGTCAAACCTTTATAATGAATTCCTTTAGCAGTAAGACATGCGTAAGCTTAGTCACTGATTATAAGTATCCATAATTCTTTTTGCTGTCTTTCTTCATGTCCCATAGGGAAAGCCCAGCCGACGCTCCCAGAGGCAGGCAATCCCCTCTGTAGTCATGGAAGAGCAGAGGGCACCCCTATTAGGACTCTAGAAGACAGGGTGCAGTTAGAGGCTCCACTGAAATTCCTACCCATGTGTTTTTGTTTTCTCCCAGGAGATCCTAGGATCTGACTGAGGCCTATTTGGTTTTACCTACTAATTCTGGGCCTCACAAATTTGATTCTTTGACTTCCAGTGAAGAAATTAATTCCTCAGCATGCATCTGGGTCTCCTGGTGGGCTTCTCAAAGGCTGCTGGAAGTGACAAGTGGTATCTGACTCCAAAGGTGAGCTGAGCAGCACTGCTCTCTGTTGCAGGACCCTCCTGAAGAGGGGCTGCTGGAGGTTCCTGTGGTGTCTGGGGAGCTCCCGGCAGTGTTTGAGGATGTGGCAGTGTATTTCACCCGGGAAGAGTGGGGCCTGCTGGACAAGTGGCAGAAGGAGCTGTACAGAGACGTGATGCGGATGAACTATGAGCTCTTGGCATCCCTGGGTAAAGCTTCCTGTAGTCTTTTTCATTTTTCCCCCCCAATATTGGAAATTAAATCCAGGGTCTTGTCAGCACTCTACCACTGAGCTACATCCCCAGCACTGTTTATTTTTTGAGACAGAATCTTGCTAAGTTGCTGAGGCTGTCCTTGAACTTGCAATCCTCCTCCCTCCGCCTCCTTAATTGCTAGCATTAATGCATGCACCGCCACATCTGGCTTCCTGTAGTCTTTTATATGCCAAAATCAATTGACTTCAGAACCCACATAAACATCTATGGCTTGTGGCCCTCTTCCCATTTCTGCTCTTCCCTTGTTGTGGGCAGAGAGGGTTCATGTCTTTTGTTACTCAGAACTCTCTCTGCTTTGGAATACTGTACTTTGTCACCTCTTCATCCATCTACCTGTCCATCCACCTGTCTGTCCTCCACCAAACACTTATGGAGTGTCTCCATAAGTGCTAATGAACAAGCGCAGACCAAGGCCTCTAATTTCAAGGGACTTATTTGAGAGGTAAACATTTAGATGAGAAACTGTCAAATGACACAGGCAACCTCCATAGGAGCTTCAAGAAAGACTGCCCTGGGGCCACTGAAGTAGGGCCCTGTCAATCTGGGTGTGGGAGGAAGGGATCAGGATCTCTTCACAGGGAGGATCTGTTTAAACAGTCAAAACTAGGTGCGCAGGAAGGAGGAAGGGCATCTTGCATGACAGCAGGAGCAAAGGCTGGAGGTAAAAGGGCCTCTCGGTGGGTCCCATGCTCCTGTCTGTGCAGCAGTGCTGAGGCTCCTCCATTTCACCCAGGTGCCAGCACAGGTTGGCAGCCTTGGGCATCAGTTCACTAGGTGAGGGCATGCAGCATGGAGAGTTATGGAGGTAGTGATGGCTACCGCATCATCCTCCCCTGTGTCTGTTTCTTCTTCACTTTCCCTCCTTCCTGCAGACTCCCAAGGTTCTTATGCAGCATAAGATGGGAAGACAGCTTTTCATCTTCCAGAGCTTGTATTTCTTTCTTTATTTTACCAGCCTATATCTAGTGTCACAGTAGAAGCTTGCCACAGCGGGCTGCTGTGTTAACTTAGGAATTGCAGCAATAACCCACGTCAGACTTCTGTAGACTTAAGCAGCAAGGATAATATGACTTCATTGATTTCATGCCCCTTTTTTTACACTCCAGCTAAGATCTGGACTATTTTCTAAATATTATTGCACTGTGTATTTGTTTTTAATAATTGTTCATCAGTCTTTTTACAGTGTGGTGATCAAACCCAGGCTTTGCACATGCTAGGCAAGTGCATGTGCACCACACCACAATTGTCCCTAATTCGTAAATGGCCTCCCAAACATTCAGAAATGGCTTAAGTCATGGTTTATTTTGTGGTGACAGAAGTTTCGTATTTGAGTCCAGGGCACTTGAACACAGTGTACCTTCAAAGACAGTTGCTACCCTGCTGTGCTGAGAAACAATGAGAACCAGAGGAAATTGATTTGTGAACGTATACACCGGCAAAAGTTGGGTTTTCCTTTAAAGTAACGCGCAGCAACACAGGAGCTCCTGTGAAGAGTTGTGAAAGGAACAGGTCGCTGTCACTGTGGAGAGCAGGCTCCTTGCAGTGCAGTGGGTGCTAGCTCTATCTTGTTTAGCCTGTACTTGATCCCACAGGTTTTGTATTTTGACACATGAGCTAAGCATTGTAAATTTTCTTTTCTTTGTTTTGAGTTAGGAAGTGGGGAAATGTTCACTAAGTAGGGGAAATTGGAGTATAGTTTAGACTTGGTGAAGTTTTGTTCAATGAGCAAAAAATATAATCAGAGGACGGGGAGCTAATTTGCTTGTGGGTTGGATCAGGAATTAGGAAGGCTTTATGGTGCCGCGACTAAAAGGCTCCAGGAAAAGTGGGCTGACTGGGCTGCACAAAATAACCACACAAGAGACATAAATACCTTTTTCTTTGGGGTCGCTGGGACGGCTCCTCTGACCTTAAGGGTCCACAGGGAGGGAGAGAGAGAGAAAGCACGGCTGACCCCTTTTATTGAGGGAAGCTATTCAAATGAGGCAAGAGGTCAGGTTTCAGGGGGCTGAGTCTATCTTCATGATGTCCACTGTCAGCAAGTTGACTGACGTCTGGGTAGGCCACACCCAAGGGCACAGTAAGAGAAGGGGACACATACAAGGCACTTCCATGGAACATGCTATCCTAAACAGGGCAAGGGGTTATATTACAAAGGAACAGGTGAGCATTTCTCCACCCATGGGGATGTAGCAAGACACATCCGGGCACGAAGACACAGTCACTCGAACCCTAGAAGAGCCAAGCAGTCTAGCAGCGTGGGTGCCTGATGCCACATCGCCCAGCAGGGGAGTTAACTCAGTCACGTGTGAGGTTGGTCTCCCACATTATGGAGAGTGGGCTTGTCCTGAACTGAAAGCAGTGCAGAGTCCTGGGTCTGAACCGCACTTGGGATCCCTGTGAGGTACTTCAGTTCAGTGTCCAGCCAGTCTCTCTTCACCCTCCTCCAACTTAAATACATTCTCTTGTTTGAAGTAAAAGCATGTTACGGAGCCTGGGAATTGTAAACATAGCCAGGCATATGTGATTTGTATGTTTAAAAGGAATCAGGCCAATAATTAGGGTAGAAAACAGTGTTAAAACATAGTGAAGATTCTCTAATCAATATTTTTACTTTGGATTATTTCTTTTAGTTGCCTACACTTGAGCTCCCTGTGGCAAGTGCTTTAAGAGTTAAAAAACAAATATTATTTTGCATTCTTTTAATTATTTTTTGGTAAGTAGAACTTCTTCTTGAAATGAACTCAGTTTTTGACTGCTTCTTATCAGAGTTTACAACTGAAAACACAATTAGAGTTTCAACTGAAAAAGAAAATGTTCTTTTAGAGTTAACACTATTGAGCCTGTTTTTAAACAGATAGTCTCAATTTAATACAGACAATGTTGATATTAATTTCTTTTCTTTTTTGGTCCTGGGGATTGAACTTAGAGGTGCTTAACCACTGAGCTACATCCTCAGCCTTATTTATTTATTTATTTATTTATTTTTGTGTTTTTTATAATTTATTTTAATTAGGTATATATGACAGAAAAATGCATTTTGATTCATTGTACACAATTGCAGCACAACTTTATATTTCTAGGGTTGTACACAATGTAGCATCACACCCTATGTGCAGTCATACATGTACCTAGGCTAATGATGTCCATCCCATTCCACTATCTTTCCTGCCCCCTGCACCCTCCCCACCCTCCTTCCCCTTTGCCCAAAGTTCCTCCATTTTTCCCATGCCTCTCCCTTCCCTGTTTTGGATCAGCATCCGCTTATCAGAGAGAACATTTGGTCTTTGGTTTTTTGGGATTGGCTTACTTCACTTAGTATGATATTCTCCAACTCCATCCATTTACTTGCAAATGCCATGATTTTATTCTCTTTTAATGCTGAATAATATTCCATTGTGTATACATACCACAGTTCCTTTATCCATTCATCTTTTGAAGGGCATCTAGGTTGCTTCCACAGTTCAGCTATTGTGAATTGAGCTGCTTTGAACATTGATGTGGCTGTGTCCCTGTAGTATGCTGTTTTTAAGTCCTTTGAATATAAACCGAGAAATGGGATAGCTGGATCAAATGGTGGTTCCATTTTTAGTTTTCTAAGGAATCTCCATACTGCTTTCCAGATTGGTTGCACCAATTTTCAGTCCCACCAGCAATGTGTGCCTTTTCCCCCACATCCTCACCAACATTTATTGTTGTCTGTATTTTTGATAACTGCCATTCTGACTAGAATGAGATGAGTATTTATTTGATTTTGGTGTGAACCAAGGGGTGCAACACTGAGCCATATCCCCAGCCCTTTTTATTTTTTATTTTGAGACAGAGTCTCACTAAATTGTTTAGAGTCTTGCTAAATTGCGGAGACTACCCTCATACTTGCAGTCCACCTGAGTCATTAGGAGTATGGGTGTGTGCCACCACTCCTAGCTTGATAATAATTTCTATTAGTTTAGCATAGACTGAAGCTTTTTGACAGATGTGCATTTCCATGTTATACCCACTCACCTGCCACATATTCCTTGGCCTTGCCAACTGTCTTATCAATAGTGCTGAACTTACAAAAACTTTTTTTTTTTTTTTGGTACTGGGATTGAAACCAGAGGTGCTTAACTACTGAGCTATATCTCTAGCCCTTTTTGTTTTATTTTGAGACAGAGTCTCACAAAGTTGCTAGGGCCTCACTAAGTTGCTGAGGCTAGCTTTGAATTTTCTATCTTCCTGCCTCACATACCATCGGTGATGCTGGGATTACAGGTATGTGCTGCTCTGCCTGGCAAGAACATTCATCTTGATTATGTTGATTATGGGGAAAGAGGCTTTTTTTCCCACCCTGTTTTGCAGTGCTAGGGGGTGGAACCCAGGGTCTTGCACTCTACCATTCTGCTCTACTCCACCCTTCTGTTTTATCTTTAATGTTTCCTGTTCAGTGGACTCACTCTTTTACAGCTATTTTAATTATCACTGTGCAGAGTTTCTGGATGTTCTTTTATTTTCATACTTGAAACTCTGGTTTGACTTTGGCCATAGTGGAAAGTGGGATAGGGTCCGCTAGCCTCGGATGAGGTCAGCCCAGAATGATCAGAAGTCTCCTTTGCAAGCCAAGTCCTCTTTTTGGATGTTTATGGAGTGTTTTGGTTTGTGCTTGTGCATTCACAGTGGTTAGTCCCCTCGGTCCCTTTCATTACTAGAGCTTAGGAAAGTCTGTTTGGAAATTCCCTTTGTCACTTGTTCTGAAGGAAACAGAAAGAAAAGGTTTTGGTTGCTCCTGGGGCCAGGGTGCTGGTGGCAGTCAAAAAGGTGGACAGTCCCCAAGGGAAATATAATCTGAGGCAAACAGAGTATATTTGCAGGTATTTGGTTGGTTGTTTTTTTCCAATTATTCTTTTAAAATATTTCTTCAAAATTATGTTTTTAATCAAAGTAGTCCCAGTAAG